AACCAGAAAACATAGAAACTATTAACCAAGATTTCTGCGAACTCAATGAAATAAATTTTTTGCATCAGTGGGATGAGGATATTTCTTCTCAATTGACCAACTCAGACATAAGATCCTTTTTGAAAACGATAAGCACAACATTTAAAAGTGCCCAACTCTTTTTAACAATTAGTCAGAAATATAATGTTACTGCAGCAAATGAAGATATTGATGGCCTTATGAAAAAACTTGTATTGCATATGGAAGAACCTGGATATGATCTTACCTACCTGACTGAAGAAGATATAGTTTTAATGCAAACCGTCGTTAATACTTTAAAAGAGGTTGTTAATAATTCCTTTTCGTTTGTAATATATATTTTCAATAAAATGAGAATATTTAAAAAAAGTGATTATAAAGTCATTGGTCATATTCCAGGAGAACGGAATCAAAAGGTGTTTATTAAAACTGAAAATGTTAATGGAGATACTGGTTATGGTTATAGATTTGCCCATTTGTATAATTACACTGTACAATTACGAACTGATTATCAATTTAAAAAACAAATATTTGTTGCACCTCTAAATCCGGAAGTAGAAGTTGAAAATATATACTTTGAAGTTAGTTGTAATAGTGAGGGAACTGAAGAAACTACACGTATACTGTATGAAAGAAACAACCACCTTCAGAATGTAATGGCAAGAAGAAGGTTTGAAGGCTTATCTGTAAATGAATATAATATTATAAATTGTATCACTGATTCATACATGGAGCATACAATGCCTTTAATGGAATGTCCACGTCTTGCACGTGACATGCGAAAAAGGCGGAATCTAGATGCATGTTTAAAGTTAGCCTTGGCAAGGAGCGCAAATCTTACACACGATCAGGCATTGAAAACAATAGGAAAATATACATTCCCAGATGGAGACAGCATTTGCCTCCAATTTGTAGAAGAGTGGACAAACAATACAAATTTAACAATTCCCGCGTGGGGCGAACAATACATAATAGATAACTCTCCTCTTCTTTCTAAATTAAGATACCAATTCTCTCTTGACTCTAATGATTTATCAGTCTACAATGGTACGTTAAGAATTTTTTCAATTTACACACCCAGAGAAAGGAAACAAATTGAAAATGGAGAACCAATAAAGAATATAATTAAAGATTTTAACAATCAGCAGGCACGTTATGTTGCTACATTTGAAGATTACTATGCCATACGAAACTTTGCGACAACTGGATATACGAGAATAACAGGAGATACATTTGAAGCGAACCAAATGAAGACAGCATTATATAAATTGGCAATAAGGCAATCGGACGATCCAATCGAAGAATTTGACCAAACATTATACAAATTTGAATCAAAACCTCAAGAAATTGTTGAAAAAACGATATCTATTGGAGAACACATTACTTTACAGAAATTTACCACGACTATAGTAAGTAAAGAATCCGCCTTGACATTGGCCACAACTCCGGCAAAGGGATTTATAAATATTTTGTATGAATTTATGCTTCCGACTCCTTATGTAAGAGCAAAAATAAAACAATCTTGTTCGACTGTAGACAATACAGTAATACTTCTACCTGGGAGTAAATTTAAAATTAACAGTATTGAAAATGTACATGGTTTTTTAATTGTAATATTAGATTATGTTTCCAGTGAAAATGATAGATACAATTGGTATAAGAGAATTATGAAACTATTTAACAGAGTACTCTAATCTTTTTATAATTTTAACTTAAATTTTATGCTCTAAAAACTACTTTGTTCCAATTGTAATTAAATATTATTCTATTTATTGTATACACAGAAGAAAATGAATATTTAAAAATAGATATTTAGAAACAAATATTAACGTTTCACATCTAGATATTAAAGTAAAACATCTGCACAGCTATTTTCATTTTAATTTGATATGATATTCTATAGCATAGGCCTTTCATTAACTATTAATGTAAAGTTAATTTTGTTGCGTGTGGAATTGGTTAATGTTAAATCGCACAGAACGTGACGCCATCTGCGAGAGTAAAATTTGTTATATATATTTTATTTTGATGCCAAATTCGGTATTAACAAAACGCTTTGTATTTTCTGTGTAAATCTCTAGAGCAATGACTGAGTTTGTAAAAACGCTTCTTTATGTATCTATTTAATTGTAGCTTTAATATTTATATCTTATTTAATAAGTTTAAATGTTAAAAAGTAATAAAAAAATTTATTCTCAAACAGACTAGCCGATAGATTATAATATTTTCAGTCTTTATAAAATAAAAGAAAATAATTAAAGTTACCATCAACCGGAGAAATTATAAAACAAATAACGCAATTTTTTTCAGTCGTTTCTTCATAAAAAATCTGAATTCCATTTAAAAATTTTTAACTATTTAAATATTAAGGTATTTGTCGCGTAAATTCGTTTTCGACAGAATTTTTTTAAATTTCACATAATTATTCTTTGGATATTTATCTACAAAATAAGGCCTATTAAAATAAAATTGACCGTCTGTAAGTCTCAAAAAATGAAATCAAAGTTTCGATTTTTAACATGTACGGTATAGGAAAACCATATGAAAACCACAGATTTTTAATTTTTGCACTTATACTAATCGACAGATTTTTTAGAAAAACTAAAGTTTTATTTATTGAACCAAAATGAACTTTTATAAAAAAAATGAAAATTTTTCACCGTCTTGTTTAAAAGATATTTAACATCAAACTTGAAAAATTATTTTAACATTTACTGTAAATGACAGGTGAATTTGTAAACGTGGCAATAGCGCTTGTTAAATACTACAGCTTGTCTGCTACTTTTGGCGCGAAATTTTAAAGACGGCCATACGCCAAACTTGCGACGTTGCCACGATCGTTTTTCATGCGAGAGGTTATGAATATACATTGAGAACATCTGTGTGTCAAACTGTACGTCCGCAAAAGTTTTTCGGAAACTCGCATTCATAATCGTTTCATAAGTACAGTCAACGGATACAAACTTTTGACAGTGACCAGTCGCGCGACAAATACCTTAATTAACATTAATAATGAATAAATTAATATTAATGAAACTTATTGTATTGCATAAAATATTATTATTGTAATAAAATAGTATTTTCCTGCAATTTTATAGCAAAATACTTTTATAAGTTGTTTAATTTCAAAAAGGTTTGAATTTGGATTTTTTGAAAATCTTAATTCCTGTGGAAAAAGAATAATAATTAAATATTTATTTAAAAAAGAAATTATTGATGTTTTTGAATAATTTTACAATTAAAGAAATTCGTAAAAATGTAACGGAACATTTTTTTTGAGTAAAATTTTTTCCTTTATTTTCTAAAAATTCAAAAATTTTCATTTTCAATAAAATCAATATTTAAAAGAATTTTGATTTAATAATTAAAAAAAATTGAATTTTACAAACAATACATGAAATCGATTTTTTATAGAATTTTAATTTTATAAATTGAAAAGAAATGAAATTTTTTAAAGAATATTCCAAAAAATTGAGTTTTTAAAGAATTTTAATCTCTTAATTAAAAAATAATTGAATTTTATATAGAATTTAACAAAAAATTTAATTACCGAAGTATTTTAATTGAACAGTTTAGAAAAAATTTAAATTTTCCAAAAATTTATCTTTCGAAGAATTTTAATTTAATAATTAAAAAATAATTTAATTTAAAAAAAAGTCGATTTCTGTAAACATTTTAATATAATGATTGAAAAATAATAGAATTTTAGAACAAAATTTTTAATAAAATCGACATTTGAAAGAATTTTAATTTAATAATTGAAAACAATTGAATTTTACAAACAACTTTACGTGCAATCGATTTTTTTGAAGAATTTTATTTAATAAATTAAAAAATAATTGAATTTTTTAAGGATTTTCCAAAAAATTGAGTTTTGAAAGAATTTTAATTTTATAATTGAAAAATAATTGAATTTAACGAATAATTTTTTTAAAAAATCGATTTTTTTAAAGAATTTTAATTTAATAGTTGAGAAATAATTGAAATTTCCCAAAATTAATTTCAAAAAGGTTTGAATTTGGAATTTCTAAATGTTTTAATTCCTGTGCAAAAATAATAATAATAAAATCTTTATTTAAAAAAGAAATTATTGATGTATTTGAATAATGTTTCAATTAAAGAAATTCGTAAAAATGTAAACGGAACATTTTTTTTGAGTAAAATTTTTTCCTTTATTTTCTAAAAATTCAAAAGTTTTCATTTTCAATGAAAATTTGTAATTGACAAATAGAATTTATAAACGTTTGTTACGTTTATTTTTGAAAAAACTTTGAATTTTATTAAAACATTTGTAATTAAAAAATTGAAATAATGTAAATTATTCCCTAATGAAAATTGAAAATTTTCTACAAAAATATTAAGAAACGGGAATATGTAATGTTTTTTTTTCCAAAATAAAAGAATGAGGTTTGTGAACAATATTGTTATTGAGAAATAAAAGTTATGCATAAAATGGGGTATGTATTTACTATTTCTTAATCATAATTTTTTAACAAATTTTCTATTTTTTATAAATAAACAAGAGAAAAATTTGCATAATTTAGATCAGTCAAACGAAATTTTTTATAAAAAGAGCATATAATAAACAAAATGGGTAAATTTTTCATTTGTTAATCGTAATTTTTTTTTAAATTTTCTAATTTCTAATATTACTTTATTATGAATCATGAAAAAATACCTGCATATTTTCGTTTTTTCAAAACAAATTTTTTTTAAAGAAAAAAAAACAAAAGAATACACAAAAACTAACTTCAGGTGTGGACAGAATGAAAGAATGAATTATAGGATTATTATAGTTAATTTTAGGGTGTACTTACCAAATTGTAAGATCTTAGGCTTATCGTCAGTGATTTTCAGTTTATGAATGTATAAAAAATACTGTTCAAATCAAAATGCATTGCAGCTTTGTACTTAATATTTGATAAGTAGCCATGTGAAACTATAAACGGCTGATGAAAAAATACAGTTACTCTAAACATGTATTATCGTTTGATGAAGATTTCATCATTTATTAAAATTAATGTTATTGAAACAATGATACATAAAACTGCAGATATAAACAAATCTAAAAGGCAGAGTAGCAATATTTGATAGAATAATAAATAAATGTTGTTTCATAAAATTGAAGTTAATTTAAAGCAGTAGAAGTAAGCACTGCAACACCTCTTTCGTAAAAACTGTGTGGATCTTGACTTGGAGCAATGTTCAAGTCTACTGTAAATAATAATTCTGTCCTTGTACTGTTCAAGTAAACGGGTAATGTCAATTTTCCTTTCTTAGTTTCCTCATTCGAGGACCGAATCCATCGTAGCATAGTCACAGGTAGGTCTGTCATAATAGTGGAGGTGAGATACAACTGATTATCCTTGCAGTGTGCCCCTTGTAATTTGAGGCCAGTGACGGCGAAGGAGCAGTCATCGGTTGCTAAGTTGTCACCGTCTCCGATCATAACATCCAAATGGAGTTCTTCGAGAGACCAACTATTAGCTTGAGCGATGCACTGCCTAGTGGCTGTTATATATGCTTCCGGATTTAGTAGTCCTCCCAACCAAACAGGAAAACTCTGAAATTATATTTTTATTTTACTCGCTTGTTGACCTGTCTTAAGCTTAACTTCTACTCTGCAACTGTTTTACACAGTAGAATTTAATTTACAATCTTTTCAAACCTAATGCTAAATATAATCTACATCCCCTAAAAATCATAGATTTACTTAAAATCATATTTCAACCTACGTTTCTGCAGTATTTACTGTTTTTCCCCATACCCTCAATTCGTGAATAAATTTTGGAATACCTAATTGTTGAACAAAGAATTTTCCTGTATGCAATGCAAAAAGTTTGGAATTCGAGACTCGATCAAATAATTTAGAGCTCATCTTTTTTCGGGACTATTCGAGTCGACATTAATTAGTTCGAGTTCAAGTTACTTGCATACAAAGATAATAACCGATTACAGACTCACATCATTTTTAATTAACAATTAATTATTGGAATCTTTACAGTCTGCTTTTTGTGCTAAGCACAGTACATGCACAGCTTCTCTAAAATTTACAACAGACATTGAAGTATCCATAAATAAAAAAATACATAACAATTGTAATATTCTTTGATTTTTCAAAAGCTTTTCCCTCTGTGAATCACAAATTATTAAATTGAAAGCTCCACTCTTTTAAACTTTCTGAAACGGTTTGTGATTGGTTTGAGTCTTATCTTAGTTCAAGATTTTAAAGAGTGGTTACATTTCTGATTGGGACCGAGTAAAGTGTGGTGTTCCTCAAGGCAATAAAGTTTAGCGAGAAAGTATGAAACTTTGGTTTAACAGTGGATCATTCCTTATCTTGGAAAGACCATATGAATGTAATTTCACGTAGAACATACATTGTATTTCAACAATTAAATAGAAAAATCGGACAAGTGTGTGTTACACTCGCAATAAAACCGAGGGTTCCGTACACCAAAATTAAACTCGTTTCTTATACAAAGATATATGGGAAACAAATATGATTGATTGAAAGTAATATATGCGAAATAAGAAAGTTCGTAAATATGACACCCAATCAGATTCGCTAAAATTTTCCTCAAATCTACAATTGAAAATGTAACAGTGTACCGAATTTTAGCCCAATAGGTGACGATATGTAACTTTACGTGTTCAATAATCTTCACCCTTTGATAAAAAATCTAAGATTATCAGTCATTTTCAAAAATTCGAAAAACCGAATTTCTTAAAATTCAACATTTTTTCTTCTCTTTTATGGCATATAGCTTTATTATTTCTGTGCTCTTAAAAAATAATTTACTTATTTAATAATCTCAACCCTTTGGTAAATAATCTAAAAGTTTCAGAAATTATCAAAAATTCGAAAAACCGAATTTCTTAAAATTCAACATTTCTTCTTCTCTTTTATGAAATTTTGCTTTATTAATACGAGACGCATACTTATTCCCGAAATCTTTTTTTACCAAATAGTTATTTGATATAAAACTACCTAACTTGACAAAAAAATTTTGTAACATAAATTTCTATTGACGTAAAAATCATTTAACATAAATTTCTTTTGACATAAAATTCATTTAACGTAAATTTTATTTGTTATAAAATTCATTTGACATCAATTTCATTTGGAATAAATGTCATTTAAAGTAATTCTCATTTGACATAAATAACATTAGACATAAAATTACCTTGACATAAATTTCATTTGTCGTGAATATCAGTTAACATAATTATTATTTAACGTAAAATTAAATTTATATAAATTTCATTTAGCATAAATGCCAATTAACATAATTCTCATTTGACATAAAATTTACTTGACATAAATTTCATTTGGTATAAATCCCATTTGACATAATTTTCATTTGACATAAAGTTCACTTGATATAAATTTCATTTGACGCGGATAACTCATTACACATAATTCTCATTTGACATAAAATTCAGTTGTCATAGATTTCATTTTACATAAAGAGCATTTGACATAGAAATATAGGCGCGAATTTCAAAATTGGCGAATCACAATGTTGTTGATAATATCTAATTGGTTACTTTTAAAATTGGCGCCGATATTTTTATGTAAAATATAATTTGTGTGAAATGATTTTCATGTCAAATGAGAATTTTGTTGAGTGACTTTTATGACAAATGAGAATTGTGTTAAATGGCATTTATGCTAAATGAAATTTATATAAATTTAATTTTACGTTAAATAATAATTATGTTAAATGATATTCACGTCAAATGAATTTTATGTCAAAAGAAATTTACGTTAAATGATTTTTATGTCAATAGAAATTTATGTTACATAATTTTTATGTCAAATGGGAATTAAGTTATCTGAGTTTTATGTAACATAATATTTCTGTTTAATGAATTCTATGACAAATGATATTTATGTTAAATGGTTTTTGTGTGCAATGAAATTTATGTCAAATAATTTGCATATTATGTGAATTTTAAGTTAAGTAGTTTTATATCAAATAACTATTTGGTTAAAAAAGATTTCGGGAATAAGCATGCGTCTCGGTCAAAACCCACATATTGACTTTTTATGACTATTGTTGTACAGTTTATGATGATATAACAGACGAACTAAACTCTAAATTGAAGAGATCCTTAAACGCATGTATAAGATTCATCTATGATTTACCTAAAACGGAACATATAACTCAATACAGAATTAAAGCAGAATTATTAAATGTGGCATCGAGAAGACAATTTTTTATGGGTAATTTACTATATTCACTTTTTAAAAACAAAATTTCATCATATCTACTAAACTTTTTTGAATTTAAAGAACACAGTGAAACAATGTACAATAGGCTTCGAGAAAGGAAATATGTTTTACAAATTCCTCAACATTGAACTTGTAAAATGCAAAAATCGTTTAATGTAAGAAGAGCGAGATTGTGGAATAAGTTACCAATTACTATTAGAGAGGCTTCAAATCAGTTTCAATTCAAGAAACTTTTTTTCCATTTTCTTTTTAAATGTGAGAATCACTATTGTTTAAAAAAACAATAAATTACATGTAATTGTTTTTTGGAGGGCTATGTAGCCCTAGGAACTTATTCTAAATAAATAAATAAATATAGAAACTTTCTTGATTTAAAATTTAAAGAAATATACAATTTACAAGCATACCTTGATTTCTTTTGCTCCACCTTGTGACACTAGTCTTGAAACTTCCTGCAACTGAGAGACTCTGTGGCTAAAATCTGTAATCCATTGTATGACAGTGCATCCTCTTGGCACAGTATACCTTCTCCAACCGCTGGGTAAAATGCCTTTTATTAATTCCGACAGTATAGTCCGATGATAGTTGGTTTGCTTCTTTTCACCCTATTAACAGAAATATTCTTAGATCCATGTGGAACTTGTAAAGTTTGTCGTTAGAAATTCTCAAAATATTGTAGGAAACCCTAACTATTGCTTTGTTTATTATACGTTATTTTGATATTTACTTTATTAGATACCAAAATATTTACCTGGCAAATAAGTACAACGTCTTCCAAATCGTGAATAACATCTTGAAGCAGCTTGGACCCACTGTTGACCTCTCGCTCGAAATATCTGTACAATGGATCTTTAATATTTTCGACAGTTCTTTTCAGAGTAGCCAAGTTTTTAGGAAGCAATTGCAACCAAGTGGTAGCCGAGTTGTGCAAAGTCCTCATCCACGAAGGGCGACCATCGCCTTCAGCCTCGCCAGGCAAGTCTAGCGATTCGTCGTTCGAGTACGCCAATTCGTCCTCGTCTTCTAATTGCTGCATTTTCAAAAGTTTCGACACGAGGTCTGTTCCTCTTGTAGTCAGTAGCACTTTCTCGGCATTGTTCGGCAGACCGAGCCAGGAAGGTGTTTGCCGATCAGAGAGCAGTTCGATCCACTTTAAGAAGTGGTCACGTCTGGTGCCGTCGGGCATCGTAATGTGGCGTTGGTTGCTCTGCACTCCGTCGACATTCGCAACCAGCGCAAAGTCAGCTTCAAACGAACGAGGTGTGAACAGCTTGCGCAGGAATGAAGCCAGCAAACGTTGATCGAAGTCGTTGTCAATCTTTCCACCGTAAATGCACTGAGACAGGAGGGTGACCAGAGCATCCCAGGGGACCTTCTCCGGTGGGAGATTAGTCCTGCCCATGGCTGTGGTTTCTATCCAAGTGTCCAACGTATCACAAGCGACTCGTAAATCACTCTCGTTGAATTCGTAGTACTTGGCCCATCCGAGAGGAACGTAGCGGAGTCGCTCCTGAACAATGGCGTGGAACCAGGCGAGCAGGAAGTACAGCCTCGCTCTTTCGCTAGGTACTTTCATCATTCGCGAAGCCGGGACGGTGCTGAACGTGCGCAGTAAGTTCGCCCTGATGCCTGGAGGCGGTTCATAGACGAAAATGCGACCAGCTCTCAACAAATTGACAGGAACCTTGGGGTTTATCTCCATGGTGAGGAAGAGACGGAAACTCGTGTGCGGCGACAGGCTGTGCAGCTTCTTCTCTAGCTGCACCAACCACTGAGGAGCAAGATGCACATTCTTCAAAAGCACCCACCTGCCAGCTTTGACTGCCATATTAATAGCTCTGTCCGCTTGATGGAAACCTTCCGCCGAACCAATGGCGATACTGGCAATCTGCTTACCCAACTCCGCCGCTAAATCGTCAACCCTGCCGGACGCATCATATCCAGGAACTGAGCACAACAACGCTGGGACTGTTGCTTTCAATTGATTCTCAACAACGGAGCCAAAGTCCAATTCAATTTCCGCTTCGGCCATAAACGTCTCTCCTAACGCAGAGCTTACAAATAGCGACGTGGCAGCAATCACCCGGTCTGGCCTGAAGGCCTGAATAACCAGCAACTGATACATGGCGACTCCTATGGGCGAGAGAGGCTTCTCTTCCTCCCAGAGTTTGGGAACACACGTCTCCGGCGTGGGACACTGCAACCACTTGTTAAACTCGGAATTCTCTTGAATAACGTTAGCAAGATTCTTAAAGGCCGGGATTCTTAGACTCAGCCTGACCATCGCTTCCTGTTGCTCCGATCCTAGACAAAGAACCGGCTGTCCGCGAATACTGAGCACGCCCTCCTTGCCTCGGAGGAAGAAAGCAAATTCATTGTCGTACGTCGACTCACTAGAGATTCCTTTCAAGTGAATACGACACAATAACAGAGCGAAGGTCAATCGGTCCGTATGCAGCATTCCCCTAGCCACTCGTTCGTAACAAGCCGAGAAGAGATCGTTCGTTATCACCGAAAGTCTCTGAGTGTAGTCCGTCAACGCCGCCAACTTTTCATTCTGCGACAGAACTGACGTGAAAATGTCCAAAAACATCTTCAACGAATATTGGTAGAGGAAATGAATTTGATTCAAACTATCCATAGTGAAGTAGATGTTCGAACAAGCTTGGGACAATGGCATGTACTGCTGAGACACGGTTTCAATTTCCGCAATGACCTTATCCGTTTCCTCGACTTTCTTGCTAATATCCGCCGCTTCTTGTTTCAATGTCTCCAAAGTCGTAATAACCGAATCGTCGTCCAGAATTTTCCCCTTCGCATCATTCAGTGCTTGAAGTAACGACTTCTCCAACTGTCTCAATCTAAGATGGAATTCTCCCTGCAGTTTCAGTAGATCAGATCTCTTTTCGTCGATGTCGGGTCGTTCTGCCTTGAGCACTTGGTTCAGGCATTGGCTCTGCAACGAACTTCTGGTAACTGTGAAGTTGACGAAAGTAACACGAGAACAAATGTCGGGAGGGAATTCAACAGTCGGATCTCTCGTCGAAAGAAAGATGACGAAAGATGGCGATAGATCGATGTCTTGATCGCCGAGTGTAATCAAAACACGACCGCCCGTTCGTCTTAATTCTCTATTCAAAACTGGATTTAAAACGGGATCGTAATTCTCCACGTCCTGCACTAGCAAAGGATTGCCAAATCTTAAGGCGCTCTCCAAATTCTTCCTGAACGAGTCGTCTAAAAAGCTGGTTTTTGTGATCTTACGATCTTTGAATTCGTTCATTATGAATTCGGTTGCTTGACCCGAAGGATCGATAATCAACGGGTACCTGTTGAATCGTTTCAACATAATAGCATTTTCCGTGCACAAGTCGTCAGTCGGTAGCGCATTTGCTTGCCAGCGTAAGCGCTCGTCAGGGTTGGACAGATATTCAGTTCTCGCGATGTCAGGTCTGAATTGGATATTCGCATGTTGCAAGTGCTGACACCAAGTGGTAAACAGATTTTGACGATACTGTAAAGAAAAAACAAAAACAAATTTAGTAAATTTAGTAAATCTAGTTTCTTTGTAAAAATTGCAAAAAATGAAAAAACAGATACGTACATGTTGGTCAAAGTATCCAGCGTACGCTAGGAATGCAGAGGAAAGAAGAACGTCGCCTATTATTGTCGACATTTGGCTTCTGAATGTTTCACTTGTCGTTTCCCATCTTTCTCTTTCAATCACCAACGACTTTAGTAGTGCAATTGAGCGATCAACTTTTCCTTGGACATTTTCCAAATCCGTCTTAATAGCTTGCGCTTGTGAAATTAATTGTGCATATTCTTCCTTGTAAGACGCAATACTTTGCTCTAGTTGGGCGATCAAATTTTTCACCTCTTCGCCTTTCAACTTATTCGTTTCTGCTTGACGCTCGAGAGAATGCAATTCATCCCGCAATGGTTCAACTCGTTTCAACATGTCAGCATATTCAATCTAAACAGTTAGAAATTTAACAAATCATTCAAATTTTAATACTTTTAATATTCTCAATGACTTGATTCATAGTTACTATAATTTTCATTCGCAAAGTGAAAAGAAATTTCTAAAATGACAATTATTATTACCTGTGCTATTGCCCACTTTACCATAGGACCACAAGCCATACTGGCACGATTTACTTTCTCGAAATTGTAATCTGGATTTGAAAGGTAACGACTTTTCATTTTCTCTCTAACTTCGTCACTGCAAGAAAAATAGAATATGCTTTAATATTAAATAGTCCTTTTACGAATAATTTTTCTATCAAGTTCAGGACATTAACAATATTTTCTAGTTGAAAAAATATATAATTTTTCTACTTGAAAAACAGACTGCGCACTCGATAATTAATTTTAAAAAAGTAGAAAAAAAGTAATAAATAGTAGATTTTAGTAGATGAGTGCGAAGCCTGGAAAAATATAAAATAAATATTTAAAATATCTATCAAAAAGGTGAAAAGGGAAATTTTTTCCCTGAAAAAAAAAGACAAAAAAGGACAAAAAATTTACCAATACAATACACTGATTTTGGGTTCCAATCGATTTTCTTATAAATTTTCAACTCCAAGTTTGTATTAAGTCTGAAGAAAACTATTAAATTAAAAAACTTATAGGGAAATCGCCTGGGTCTCAAAACTAATGTATTGCCTGCGGGATCCTCTAATTAGAAAATTGTTTAATGAAAAGTTTTTAAAAAGACTTACGTAATATCATCTGTACTGAAATTGGAAACGATGGTGTTAATGAAATTGTCTCTCATGATAACAGCTCGAATGGACTTCCAATCACTTGCGTTTTCGCCCAACAGGAGACAGATTGATTCTAATGCGAGTTTGACAACAGCGGGAGGATTCGCCATAGATCGAACTTCTACTAAATGTTGTTTCTTTATAGATTTCACAGCTGTAAAATAAAAGTAAATTAAAGTAAGAGAAAAAATTAAAGGTAAGTGGTCTCGTTACCTTTTTTTAATTAATTATTAGGTATTTATTAAATTTATCAACGTACCATTTTGTGCGTCAATCACAGCTGGTTCCACTTGTGCTAAATCTGCCATGACATCTTCGCGCTTCTGATCAATAGCTACCGTTTGAATAGCTAATTGTTGTTGAATTTCTTGACTTTGAACTTTTTTCTTTTCCGCTTCTTGTTGATCTTTAACCATTTGCCTCAATTTTGCATTTGCTGCATCATTTTTCGCTTGTAGTTCCTAAAGGCAAAGAAACAATTGAAGAAATAAATACGACAAATAAGTTGCAACAGGAAGTATTTTGCGTAACTCTAAATTTTAAGTCGAAATAGGGTACATGACAAATCTGTTAAAATTCGTTAAATTTATTTAATTCGCTTCTGTTATTTTACTGTTTTCACTTTTCGTAAAACAGAAAGCTTTCAAACATTACTTCTCATGGAAGTTTTGAATTCCATCCAATCAATAAAAGTTGCAAGATGAATTAAATATTTGATAAAATTTACTTTATCTTACCTGAGATTTGACAGCTAAGCTTTTCTGCATTTCTTCAACTTGCTCGACAGTCTCAGCAATTTTACTTAATCCCACATTCAAATGCAATTGCTGTTCCTCCAAGTCGCTTCGTTTCTCTCGATAGAGTTTAACGAAATGATTAATAAAGTCCAAATAGTGTCTTGGCGTAATAGCCATTGTTCTGCTGCCTCTCTTCGCCAATCTCGTGTTGGCTTTGTGCAGAGTTTGGTGCACATAAACGAAGGCGTTGATCACGGCGTCTCTGTGAGATGGCTGTGCTGTAATCAAGGAGCAAGCTGAGGGGAAGAAGTCCGGAGATCTCCAAGACGGCCTCTCCAAATCAATTCGACTCGTGAATTCTTTTCCAACCTGGAAGAGAGCATTGTCGGACCAGTCTCCAAACCAGTTCAACACACATCTGTTGAACAGGGCTGGCGACGTCGCGGCTCTGTCCTTCAGACCATCAGTGTTTGGATTCATCGTGAATACGACGTGTAAATTCTTCATGACCTGTCCAGTGAACCATTTGTACAATTCCTCGTTCGAATCCAACATGAGGCCCTCCCTTTGCGCTCCCTCCTTGCACTGAGTCATCAGTGTCGTGTACTCGTCGCCCTCAAATAATCCTGGAACCTCTCCATTCGCCAGCAGTGTATTCATTCGTTCCAAAAAGCCAGAATCGAGAACATTCGACTCGTCTAAAATGAAAGCTATCTTCTCATCCTTACAACCGGACCGCCTCAATACTTGACGCAAGTCCTCGTCAAAGTCTTCACCAGTGTACTTGTTATGCACCTACGGCGAGTTCAAAAATCTGACTTTAGTTTACTATTTTAAGTGTATTTTTACTGCTTCAAGAAATAGCGAACTAGACAGTAGACACGTACCTTTATTTGGAAAATGGACAGTCCATTCATCCACGCAACGAATCTTGATAGTGTCGTTTTGCCAGCACCTGAGACTCCGATCAGCAGCAAGTGTCCTTGAGGTTGACGGAATATTCTGTCAATTCTCAAAACATGCTCCAATACTTCATCGAAAAGCACTAGCGGAACATCCAACTCTTCTTCGTAGAAAACCTTGAGTCTCGCTCTAACGTAATCCCTCAATTCTTGTCTATTCACTGGAATATAATCTTTAGAAAGCCAGTTGCTGTAGAGAATTGGTCTCGAAAGTGCTTTCTCTTTATCGACGCCAATAAAATGTTTCATAGCAACAAAATCAATGTTCTTATTGGTCCAAGCTCGTTCAGTGTCATCAACCAGTCGGTCTTGGAATAAACGCAAAGCTTCATGAGCCCACAATCGCACCAAGCCTTCGACGGAAAGATTATCCAATGGTCGGATTGCCTCGCAAATACCACGAACCCATCGCGTCATTTCGCGGGGAGAATAAACATAATGTGGCTGCATGTCTTGAGTGAATCTTTCTTGAGAGGCCAAATAAAACTCGACCATGGCATTCGTTAAAGATTCGGAAAATCCTCTTAACGAAGGTGTCAATCTATTAAAAGAAACGTTAATTATTACTCTATATTTCAGAACACAATTCCATTTATTCAATATTTTTAATTTCTCTTCTATTAATCATCGCAAAAAAAATGTTTAATCATATACCATTTCTAAATTTTTTAAATGCTCTCCGTTAGAGCTGTGCAAAATAATTCGAACCGAACTGTTCGAATTTTTTCGCCTAGTTCGAATGTCGGTTTTTCGACATTCGACATTTCGACGCCCCAAAACCGAACAAAACTCGGTTCGGTTCGAATTTTGCACAGCTCTACTGTCCGTTTTTAAAAATTTTAAATTCAAAAAGTTGATGCATTAGACTTACCTGAGCATTGCTCGCGTAAAAGTTCCATAAATCTGCTTCAGCGATGTTTCGCCCGGATAATCGACATATATCACTGGCACATGGCGCAAAAATCTGTGACTCAAAGGCTTCCTTCCGGGATCAGTAGGTGGATTACAAGCACCCACAAACTGAATTCTTTCCAAAGTCACCCACGTTTGATCACTAGTGCGATAGAATCCCTTGTGCTCCACCAATTGCCTCAAAAAGGAAATAACTCTCTGCGTACCATAATTGTCCATATCAGGCAAGTTTATTTCGTCACAAAACAAGACCAGCCATTTGCCCAGTTGAACCGGCGAAAGAACAACTCCGTTAGGAGTCTTACGGTATTCGCAGTAATGGTCAAAAGTTTTCAACAGCAACTCCGGAGTCGTCGCAGAAGAGAAATTCAACCCAACGACTTCCATGTCTGGGAGAGCACGTAGAGCAGAGAAGAGAGTCATAGTTTTACCAGAACCTGGAGGGCCGCAAAGAACTGCAAAAGAAAAAATCGAAACGCCCGTTATAGCATTGCATGAGAAAACATCTCCTTTTATTAACACAAAATATACTAACCAAGTGGTTTGTGCTCAGCCAACCAGGTGTACAGTAGACTTTCATGCCTCACAGTGTCCAGGGTCGGAACCACTATGTCGGGACTTGCCACTTTATGGGTTTCGACTTCAATCTGGGGCACTTTGTTGCTCCACAGTAGCCATTCGCCATGTATGTTGACTTCAAAGTCTATGATGGGCACGTTGCTCAACGTCGGTAAAGGTATAGTGGTAATGGATCTGATGAAGTCTCCGACGTCGGACCTGACCTTCAATTTGGCGTCGCCCGCGAAACTCCAGAGTAGAGCGTAAACGAGGCACTTGGGCATGTAGCGCTCCAACTGCTCGCTCGGCAAAGGAAAGTCGACGTGGGCATGGTTGTACAGCAAGACGTTGCGAACCGCTTGGTTCAGCATGGAGAACAGGGAACTAAGCGCGCGTAGTCGAGTGAAGTCCATTATGTGCTCCTGTCTCATCGCGTATTCCATGCACTTGACCACCAATCCGTCAGGTGCAAAGTAACTCTGCAAAATGCAAGCCACCTCCCGTTGGACGGAGAGAGCAGGCGACAGGGAGTCTTCCTTATCCGAAGCCTTTTTACTTATGTTCTCCTCATCTCCATCCTCCAATGGAATGCTTCTCAACCTCAGCATATAGTTTTCGAAAATCATTTCAGTCGACAGGACGTCTTCGGAGAACCAGACCATTCCACATCTTGAGACAGTGGCCAACGTTGCGTACTTGAGGTCCTGCACTTCGAACATGACTCTCACATTCGGTGGCAAACTGAGGCGTTCACCATTCGGGAGTGTCAAAAGTTTATTATCATCAAGCACCGAGTTTAGATTTTCAACCCATTCCGGATCAACATCTCCGTCGAAAATGATCCACTGTCTTTTGTTAATTTCGCCTCTGACATTATCTATAATTTTTCTGAGAATGTGTGTGAATAACCCATCGGTCCATTCTCGAGTATTTGGGTCTAGTACTCCGTACAATGTCTCCTTGCTGATTGCTTTTGGATCAATCACGTGAGCTACTCCTTCGACTCCTTCGAACCTCTCCAAAGCTTTCAGCAAAACTTTCCATGCCATACTTTTACCAGAGCCACTTGGTCCGACCATCATTAAGCCGTGGTTCAGATTGCAAATTTGGTACAATTGGAGAACCTACAAATAAGAAATTGACAAATGTACATAAATAGAAAAACCAGTGTTTTTACAAACAGATGACAAACGTGCAATCAGCCAGACAATTAGAAACACTAAGAAACGACAGAAGTTGTCCAATCGACATTGTATTTAATAGCCTCTCACCTTTTGAACCCAAGTCACACCGATCATCTCCTGAGTGTGCAAAATGCAAATAAACAAAAAATTACAGTATACAAAAAATCGGTCAAACGCAAGTTTCACTCACTCAAACAGGGTTCCGTTCATGATTTCTTAAAATTTATTTATTTCGGCTGTATTAGCAGGAATGTTGGACTAATTTCATATTAAGAAAAAATGAAAAAATGTAGGAGCCGAAACTCCAAATACGGACAAGATGCTATAATTCTTGACAGAATACGTAGAAACGGCTTTCAAAAATGAACATCAAAATCAACATGTTACTCAGGTTTTTTGAGTCATGATTACGAATTTAATGTCAGATTTGCAATATTTATAATACTTTAAAATTACTTCGAGTTTTTTTAATCCCCAAATTTACGTGAATCCGTGAAATTTTTAAAAATTCGTCCGCCATTTTGAGTTTTTAAAAACTAATACCGGATTCGTCATCAGCGACCCCGAAAGTTCTCAAGTGACAAATTTCCAGTTTATCCGAGTGATTTTCAATTTTCCGTCCACCATGTTGTAGCCGCCATTTTTAATTTTAAAAATTTTGCAAAACTGACCTCGGATTTACATTCAGCGACCCCAGAAACATTATTTACAATAATGTTTTTAATCGATTCTAATCCGATTTATTATTTTTTTTCATATAATCTACACTTGAAAATATTTATATTTCTGATAAATTTTAATCCTAAATAAAAATAGTTAACCCTTTAACGCCCAAATGTACAAACTTTTAGCATGAAGTTTGAGGACTTATTTCTATTTAATCAATAGATGGCGGCTCAAAAATGGAGTCTGAAGTTCAGATTTTTTTTTGCGAAATTTCACCCGAAAGTACGAAATTGTTAACTGTTCAGATTAGCTTGAACCCCCAAGTTTTTGGGGTCGCTGATTATGAATCAAATGTCCAATTTTCAAAATAAAAAATGGCTCATCTAATATTGCAGACGAATTTTCAAATAAAAACTCATGGATCCGGTTCGTTGAAAATCGTTAATCACGTTCTTTTGCCACTAAAATGTTTAAAATATTTTTAATGTTGCTTAACTTTCACCACGTGGAGGTAAACGCATTTTGCAAAAAAAATATAATTAAAGGTTAAAAAACATTTAAATGGGGTCATTCAAATATTACGTAAGCATATTTTTCAGGTTCTTAGACCCCCCCCTCCCCCATGTAAGATTTTTTATATGCATTAGCGCCATTTTTTCTAATGGAAATAAGTAATAGCTAGACCCCCCCCTCCCCCTTAAATGCTTACGTAATACTTGAATGGTCTCAATCTAGTTTTTTTGAGATTTAAATCTAAATATCATAAATCAAAAAAAAGAAAAAAAATACATAAGAAATATATAAAAAAAAGTACCTAAAAAAAATATAAAATTAGAAATTAAGAAAAAGGCTTTCCACTTCACGTTTACCTTCACATGGTGAAAGTTGGACAACATTAAAAATATTTTAAACATTTTAATGGCTAAAGAACTTGAATAACGATTTTCAACAGACCGGTGAGTTTTTATTTGAAAATTCATCCGCCATATTGAATACGCCATTTTAAATTTTAAAAATTGGACATTAGATTCGTAATCAGCGACTCCTAAAAGCCCCGGGTAACAAGTTTCAAGCTAAACTAAAAACTTTTAACAATTTCGTACTTTCGGGTGAAGTTTTGCAAAGAAAAATTTGAAATTCAGATTCCATTTTTGAGCCGCACTTTTAATTTTTAAATTTCCCTATAGTCCTATCTTGCAGCTTATATATTTTTGTCACGTTATTTGTAACATTTGGAATTATTTTCCTGCTATTTCGTAGTTGAAAAAAATCGGACTTTATTTATAAAAAACATTAATAACTTTTTTGTTTATAAATGTTTGATTTTTCTATAACGTCATTTGATAGAATGCACATGAAAACATTAGAAATGATGATTGATGAATTTTTCTATTGATTTTTAAGTATACCGAAATAAGTCCTCAAACTTCATGACAAAATTTTGTACATTTGGGCGTTAAAGGATGGGAGAAGCAAATTTTGTGGACGAACAAACGAATGAAATAATTTGGGTCTCTTTACGATTACTTCGTGAACGGAACCCTAAAAATGCCGTATTTAAACAACTCTAGTGTTGTGCTCAAAAATAAATGGTGAATGCTTGCACTCTTGAGCCAATAACCATAGATTTTAGACGTTGAATCTCAAAGTTCAGAATACTTTTTGTGAATATGTTTAAATCTATAAATGTTATAAATGAAATTTACTATTTAAGATCATTATTTGTAATTTGATATTATATATTTATAAAAACCGACTTAACGGAGTCGCAAAAACAACTGCACACAGTCGACATTTATGAATTCTCATCATGTCAATATTTAAAAAAAACCTCGTGTTACTTTTAAAATGTAATGCTTAGAACAATGATTATATGATGCGATGGTTAGCTGTAGTAATTTTTCCTCTTCACTTCATTAAGTAAACTAGGCGATTATGATGATATTGAATTATCTTTGAGGTTTAAGTAATAATTTCAAAGTGGTAACGTATCATCAACACATATCGCATGTTAGTTTTTAATAAAGTAAGTAAAAATGTCTTAAAATCGAATTTTCTCACCTTCTCTTGCCAGGCACCTCCCTGCTCATCTCCTTCTCCGCAAACAAGGAATTCTTCAGCACATACTTTTCGAATTTGATCCTTCAATCCTAAAATATAAAACAACAGGTATTAGAATTTTTCCTAAAATGTTGAACATTAACGCACGAGTTACGTTACATTTTATGTTTCGAGGATGAAAACAGGTCATAGTACTTAAGTTATAATAATATTCACCTTTCATCTCAGCACGAGTGTAGCCAACATTTGGAAAGACATCATTCAATAAACTGAACAATAAGGGAATATCTTCTGCTACTAATTTCGGAACCAATGTTTCACAAACAGATTGAATTAAAATCTCCTGCTCAGGTAAGTTTTCAGCAATTGATGCCTCATCAATGTCTACATCACCACGGTTCTTCATTCCCTCCTTAATTTTTTGTATGCGGTCTCGTTTCACATTTCCGGCAGAAATCAGCACGGACTTGAGTGCACGTAGACCGAAGTCGTAGTGAGATTGATTCGACAGCTGTTCGTCACACAACCTAAACAATACATCTATTCAGTACTTGCACTTGGAGGACAAATTTATTTACTTTCTTTTAAACTTATTTTTAATACTTTAGTTAACCCTCCGTCACACACCTAGGGAGGGATTCCCTCTACGGTTTCAGTATTTTTTAAATAACTTTTGTTTTCCTCATTGCAAAATATAAACAGTTTCTATACCTTTCGACAATTTACTCCTCAACACATTTCTAAAAAAACATTTAGTTTAAACATAATTAATATTTAATTATGAAGCTTCAAAGCCAGAAAATACTCGAAAAAGTGAGGTTATGTTAAATAAAAAAATCAAGTTTTCAAAACATTTTTTGTTCCACTGTTGGTTAATGACAAAATTATATTATAAATATAATTAAAATGAATTGTTTAATGATTTTTTTGCTTATTTGTTAATGTTACATTATTTTTACATGTCAAGTGGAATTCCTTCGAAGATGTGCATTCGTGTAATTAATTTTTATTTTTGAGACCGAAAATTAATTTTATTAATTTTATAATTTAGAATAATTTACTGCATATTTGTAAGTTTGTGTTAAAACTAAATTTTTGTTGATTCCTTTGTTTATGTTGTAATGTTGCTTATTTTACAATGTGGTGAGGGATTCCCTCTAAACGTGTGTAAAGTCGTAATTTTTTCCCATGTGTGTGACGGAGGGTTAAAGCATTTATTAATTACCCTTTTACCAAATACTTAAAGTAGTTTTAATATTGTAAAAAATACGAGATTAAACATTAATTACTCACTTAAAGAATGGCACAATTTTGCAAGCTAACTTCTCGGCTGTTCTGAAACCTTGACTGAAAAGCATGACTTCAGCGATTAACTGACGATCTGGAGTAGTCATAGCCAGGGATCTAAACAATTTTTTCAAATTGTCTGGCAGATTGGACCTGCCGGCATAGCCAGGGTTCATCGTGATGAATATCGCCATGTCGGTTGACACTTTCACTTGTTTTCCAACCAATTCGACACACAAAGTTCCTTCCTTTTTGCCTTCCATTTGACTCTTCAGAGCTTCCTGGATAGTCTGCACCTGTTGCGAGACGGCTGACAACATTCGCTCTTCTAAGCGATTGAACTCGTCGAAACATCCCCAAGCACCGACTTGACAAAGTCCGACGAAGATGCGACCCATAGCCTTTAAAACAACATTGCATTATAAAAATCAGCTCGAATGGAATACGGAAAATATTTAGTAAAACTGAAGGATAACTTACCTGGAAGTCAAACGTTTCATCACAATTGAAGACCAAAACAAATCTGCCGAGTTGATGCCCCAAGGCTTTGACAGATTCAGTTTTTCCAGTGCCTGCGGGTCCGAAAGGCGAACCTCCCAAACGCGCCTCCAAGGCCTGAGTCATTGTCAGGTAACACCTGTCGGTGAGAGGAGTTTGTACCAATCTGTCTTGCACGCCGAGATATTCAAAGCCGTAGTAGAACTTCGCATTCGCCATGTGTATCGTCAGTTGCTGGAGAACGTCCGTCTGTCTGGGGTCGAAGTAAAACCTCATCTCACATAGCCATTCGAAAGCCTTTGGGTTGGACACTTTGTTCGCAATAAGCCTCCTGGTCACTGTGCGTTTGTGCACGAATTCATTGATCAAATGTTCCAACTTCTTTCTTCTCAACGAAGGCTGTTCCTGCAGGACAGAGTCTGCCAGAATATTCAAAGTCCCTTCGACCTGGACCAAAACCTTCTCCAAGGGACTGCTATTGTTAACAGCTTGAGCCTCGTGTAGAGCAGCTTCGACATCCTCGGACCAAAGAATCTGCGCTGCCAGAACGATGATCTGCGCCTGATAGTTGTCGCACCAGGTCATGAAAGCGTGTGGATTTATATTCCCTTCTTTGAATTGTTTAATGTCTTGCACGGCTTTCATGAGACTTGAAGCGAGTGTGACTCTCATTGCCTTCTCCACTAAAGTCAACCATTCGTTGATTTTCGGATAATCGACGGTCGACACCGGATTTTGAAATTTCACCTCTTCGCCTTCTCGAGAAGCAATTCCGGTAATAACCGTATTATCTTCGTTCAACAGGATAGAAGCGACGCCAGCGAACATTTTCTTGAAATGCTTCTGAAGTCTGGCAACATTTTTACTGTTACCGATAATTTCCAATAAATCCTCGTCACCGACAAAGTAAAATCTGGGAAAAGATGTCCTCTCACGTTCTAGATATTCTCCCAGTGCTTTTTGTATTTTGCCCAAAAGATCGGCAAGACGTTCCAAAGCTCTTTGAACACCGGGAATGTTCAGGACATCCATCACCATTGGCGATTTGGAAACTTTTTTCATTAGGCCAAGAAATTCCGAACTTATGCTCTGAAAGCGTGATGTCTCAACCGGCAGGAGGGTTTTGATATCCGCACTTCCGGAAAATATGCCCTCTAAGTAGACCCAGCGTCTTTGAACGTCTATCCAGACATCAAATAAAGCATTTATTCTGTTTAGCTTCTCCTCCCAGGTTAGAGCTTCTTCTTCGAAAACTTTGTAGTAAGGAGACAGTTTCATTGCAGCTACGGAGTTAATATGCTCTTTGACTTTGTTGAACAAATCGTCCCAGCCGCGAATTAGACGACATTTGTTCTGGTAGTTTATAAGGTCCAATTCGTACGTCTGCCAAGATTCACGCACCTGTTTGAGAAACTCTTCAAGGGCCATTTCACCTTGGGCCACTAGGATAATGTCCTTGACGATCCCTTCGTTCTTCTGTAAATTCACGTCCCACACTTGACCGAGAGTAAGTTCACTGAGTACCCAACTGACTCTCAACTGCTTCGTGAGCTGCTTCCAGTGTCTCTCCTTCAAGGCATCTGATTTGAGTTCAACAATCAGCATATTGACCTTCGTGTAACTCTGCAGCATTTTCTTTACGTATTCGTAGGAGGAGTATTGTCTCAGTCTCGCCGGGAGTTCCTTCAGTTGACTCATCATCGTGTCCAGTTGCTGGCGCAGTTTTCTCGGCTGAACCGACAACCACGGCTTTTCTCTCGTTTCATCAATTTGGGTCCAAATTCTCGATAATTCGGACCACACTCCTCTCAGGTCTTGAAGTTCCTCGAAGATTACTTGCATTCTGTCCTCACTCGCGGAAGTTGATCCCGGTTCTTGCAGTTCTAAAGCCTCTTTGGCTTTGGTGACATTATCCCTCTCTTCTTTTAATCTTGCAAATTTGCTCTCAAACATCTGCAGTTGTTGGAGGGCATCGTCAGGCCGCAGATGACCCTCGACGGGTTTTCCCTTCTCCCAGTCGGACAGGAAATCAGTAGTCCTGGTTTCGACCGCTTTATCCTCTGCGACAATTTTCATTTGCAACGAAGCCACCTGAGTTTGTATGTTAGTGTCCTTGCGCTTTATAATTTCATTGAAGGCTCCCCACTCTCCGTCAATATTGTCCACGTGCAGCCAAGTAGACGGAAACTGAAACCTCTGCCGTTCCAAAATTCTCTGCCCCTCTCGGTAAATATCAACCTGCTTCTCCCAAACTTTCATCTTTCGTTTCAGCGACTGAACGTAGGTTATGAATCCAACCGCGTCGGTCGTGCTCGCAGCTTCTATTGACTGCTGCTCCAGGTCGCTTCTCGACTTTGAAACCTGCGCGTGGAAACTAGTCATTTCATGCCCCAGGAGTGTGCCGAACTTCCCTAAAGTTTCTTTATGCCAAGAATCGTATTTTAAAGAAACCTTGCTCTGAACTTTGGCGAAATCGATAATAATCGGTCCGAACTCTCTCCTAGTGTCCGACGTATCGAAAGTAGTTCTCGTCTTCTTAATGTCATTCAAACACTTCATCCACAAACCAATATCCTCCCCAAGTTTCCCGTACAGATTATCCGGCTGCAAATCCCAAAGAGCTTGGTATCTCAGCCACTGATCCACATAGACCGCAACGTCTTTCATCTTAGTTTCTATAGCACCATAAGCAGCTTCCAGGGGCACTTTCCCCAACGGTAGTTTTGTCAAAAGATTCCTATAAGTTCCCGTCTCGGGTTTGTCAAGTCCCACCTGATACCTAGAACTCTGCAGTCGAATTTGTGAAGTGACGATCGCCTGCCAAGCGAATAATTGTTGCATAATTTGAAATCGAGCGTCCTCGATGCTTGGATACAAGTACATGGTTTGGTTCGTGATTCGCACTTCGTGTATTTGGTTTTGAATTTTGGGATCGCCGCCGAGTTTGTGAGTTGGTAGAGTGGGAGCGTCTGTGTCCATGCTCAAGTCGATTTCTTTCTTATGACCCATAAGAGCGTCGGTCCATGCTTTTATGCCAGCCTCTAATCTGGTTGCTAAATTCTTTTCCACTTCCTCGTCAAGTTTCGTGACCCAAATGTGTAAATTGGAATAATTTTTCAAGGACAATTCGTCGACTGATTTTTGAATTTTCGACAAAATGTCGGCAAATGTATTTGCGGAATATGGGCATGTTTCTAAGGAGCGTACGTCAACGTCCAATTGTTCTTCAACTACTAGAAGATCTTCAACTCTCTCTTGGAATGAAACGACGACATCTGACAGTCGTTGTACGTATTGATCTAATTTGTAGCTTTCCCACACCAGAGCAATACCCTAGAAAGTTGAGATAAAGACGTTTTTTTTCATGCAAAACCGGTGCGAATTATAATGAGTAAAAATTGAAAAGCACTACTCTATTTTGCATAAAATAATTTAAGTTACGGTTGTCTTACTTACCTCAGAAATAAGAACTAAAACTTCTTTTCGCATGCCAGCTACTAGAGGAATAATATTTCCTTTATCTTCAATCTGAAAAAGCAACATTTATTTTGTTTATTTATATTTACAGGGTTGCCACAAATATTTAATTTTATTTTTCCCTGACTTTTCCCTGATTTCCAGACAAAATTTTCACTTTTTCCCTGACCATAAACAATATTCTGATTCACTCTAAAAATTATTAGATACTCAAAAAAACATTCTATTACATTTACTTACGAATTTCTTAAATTGTAAAATTATTCGCAAACATCAATAACTAAATTTTTAAATAAGTATTTAATTATTATTTTTCCATAGGAATTAAAATTCCTCAAAACATTATTCAAACATTTTTAAAATTCAAAAACTTATAAAAATATTATTATAAAACATGAAGATATTAATTACTCCCAGTTTTCGACTCGGAGTGATTGATATCTTCATGTTTTATAAAAATTTTAATTTCCATAAAATTTTTCAAAAAAAAAATTAAATTATTTACAAAAATTATAATAAAATTCTAAGCAAGAATTTAATTATTTTCATAAATAATAAAATTCTTCGCATGGTTTCAATTATTTTTAATACAATTTTAAATAAATTTCTCGAAAAATAAAATTATCTTCAAAAATGTTTTGCAAGAATTAAATTAGGTACATTTCACAAATAATGAAATTCTTCGCTGAAATTCAAAAAGTTTCAAAATTTACATTTTTAATACAAGTTTTTAAAAGAATATAATTATTTAAAAAAAATTGATAAAATTCGTTGTAAGAATTCCATTATTTTCATAAATAATAAGATTCTTTACATTATTTCAATTATTTATAATACAATTTAAAGTAAATTACTAGAAAAATGGAATTATTCTCTTAATTTTTTTGTAAGAATTTAATTACATTTCACGAATATAATGAAATTCTTGGTTGAAATTCAAATATTTTCACAATCTACTTTTTTAATAAAAGTTCTCAAAAGAATTCAATTATTTAAAGAAATGTAATAAAATTCGATGCAGAAATTCAATTATTTTCATAAATAATAAGATTCTTTACATTATTTCAATTATTTAAAAAAAAATTTGAAAAAATTCATTGCAAGAATTCAATTATTTTCATAAATTAATAAAATTTTTCACAGGATTTCAATTATTTTTAATACAATTTTAAGTAAACTCTTCGACAAATGTCTCTATTTTCAAAAATTTTGTTAAAATTCTTCGAAAGAATTCAATTATGTATTTTTAAAAATTCATGCTATAATGCTTTTAATATTCAATTATTATCTAAAATTTTAACTAATATTCATTTTAAAATCAATTTTTATTGGAAAATTCTACAAGAATTAAATTATTTAAATACAAAAATAAATAATTTATTGAATAAATGAATGTTTTTCGAAACTAAATTATCATAAAGAATTATTATTATTCATGAAAGTAATTGAATTTTTGTAAAAAAATCTTATTATTTATGAAAATAATTGAATTATTGCGAAGTTTGCTTAGAATTTTATCAACATTTTTTTTTTTGAAATAATTGAATTCTTTTGAAAAATTTTATTAAAACTGTAGATATTGAAAATCATTGAATTGAGAAAAATTTGAAATATTACAAAGAATTTTATTAAAATTTTTGAAAATAATTGAAATTTGGAGAAGAATTTTATTATTTTTGAAAATAATTGAAATTTGGAGAAGAATTTTATTATTTTTAAAGATAATTGAATTTTTATGAGAATTCTTTTTAATTTTTGAACTTAATTGAATTTCTGCGAAGAATTTTATTATTTTTGAAAATAATTGAATTTCTGCAATAATTTGTAACTTCTCCAAAATTCAATTTTTTCCAGTTACTTAAATAAAAATCCCCGACTTTTCTCTGACTTCCCTGACCAATTTTACTTTTCCTGACTTTTCCCTGACCTGTGGCAACCTTGATTTATGTCAAATGAGGATTTTAGACAACATGTGACACTTTATACTTTCTAACGAAAGTAAATAGAAACGTGATAACAATAAAAAGACAATTCAGAATCTTGGTTTCAATGTATCCCATAAATCAAATAATTTGGAGCTAGTAAAAATACTGTTTCGGAATGCTCACGGAATTAATAACATACATGACATTTGCCGATTTAAATCACTCTATTATAGTAAATTATTTAAATATAACTGGACATAAATTTGTTGAATTCTTACCTTCTCCAAAGTCCTCTCATAAGTCCGAATACTCTCAATCAAACTGATCGCAAATGGGTACAGCTGATTTGCTTGATGAGCTTTGTTAACAATCGCCAGCGGTACGCGGAAGCCAAGATTCTTCAAATTTCTTACTTCCTTAGAGAGAGTTATAATTTCTGGCAAAAAGTTTACTTTCAGTTTTAAAACATTCCCTCGTCCTAACCGTGAGCGCACACTTTCAATGGTGAAAATTCGACCAGTTACTCCAATATTACGTTGCTGCACTTTGCGAGCCCATTCATCAAAAATCTCCTGAGTTGAAAGTTTTGTGCGAAAACTGTCTCCATCTGCTTTTAATTTCTGTCCCTCTATGTGATTTTCCCATCCTTTACCTATAAATTATAAATTGTAAAAAATTATAAATCAGTATTGCAACTTGTTTATATTCATTTGTTCCAAAAGCAATGGCCATAACATTTACCTAAAACATCTTCCACACGTTTCAAGTACATTGTCAGTTGGTAATCAATTTGCTTCACCCATATAATAGATCCAGCAACCGGTGGTAAATCTCTTATTAAACTCATTCTACAGCATTTACTTTGAGCATATTGAACCTATAAATAAAATATGAGATTACGTGAGGAGAAATATCAATAATTCGGAGAAAAAGGTAAAAGAGAGAAACGTACCTTAAACTTTTCATGTAACGCTTCGATGTCGTCCTTCACCCTTTGTATTAATTGAGTTTGGTATTCTCGAATAGCTCCTCGAATGTGAGGTCGTACGAACAAGGCGTTAAATCTGGAAAATATTCTGAACATTTCATTAGCGTTCTTGGCCGTCCCCAACTGATCTCTCAAATGTGCTGTTATGCGCGCCTCTACGCGCTCGATTCGTTCCTCGTATCTGTGCACAGCAGCCTCCCAGGATTCTAAACCTTCTTTCGTGATATCCAAACAATCGACTTCTTTCACATTCTCGTAGGCGAAGTTCACTTCTCCAATGGCATTCGCGTCAGCCGCGTCCAAAGCGAACTCGATTTCAACATTCTCATCTTCGGTATTTTCAATTGTGGAATTGTTGTTCTGTCTGATGGTGGGTCTCAGTACGCGGACAATGACAGTCCTCAATTGCTCGTGTTGTCTTCTGAAGCACCGCATGTGCTCCATTCTCGTTTGAAGTTTCTTGTGCGCTGGAGACACACGCCAGACCATTTTCATATGCTCATCGCGCTTCTTCTTCACAACATCCCTCAGCAAACCAGTCAGCTTGTCGTACTCATCGTCCCACGTATTGAACACTTCGAAACACTGACCCATTACCTTCTCAAAATCATCGAAAGGAATGTGCATCAATCTCCGCGTTCCGAGAACTTTCAGTAATTGTTGTCCTAAATCTCTGGATATTGCTTCCACCAATCTTAATACTCTCTGTATTGGATATTTAGTGCTGCGAATTTTTCTCAAGTGAGTGAAAATTTGTTGGACTGCTAGACGAATTCTCTCAAGTTCGGTGGCCGATAAAAGATCATTAATTGGAAAATCCTTCATCAGTGGATTGTAGTCATTTACTGTCGCAAGAGCCTGTTTTAAACCTGTGTCCGTGTCGAAGCTGACAGTTGCGTGAAAACGTTTGCCATGTTTCAAAATGTCTAAAGTTAATGAGATTTCCAAACTCTCACGCTTTTCTTGAATTCTGTGCAAGGCTCTCTCGAGATTTAACCAGAATGATATTTCCTGCAGAGCTGTGCCGGATTCTGGGTCACGATTTAGTTTCGTAACCTGAATAAAATAAATAACACACTAGAATAAATTTAACCCTATAAATATAATCTTTAAAAAAACAGGAATATCTTTACCTTTTGAATTTCTTTGATCCACCGGTTGACGCCGTTTTGCAGTTGATTAAGGAATGTCGAGTCTTCCACCTTCTCGCCGAAATCTGCTACTTTCGGTTTTCTGCTTTCGTCGCTGCACTGCTTAATTACTTGCAAGACAACCGGATGTATGGGGAGAGAGATTTCGGGAATATCAATATTCTGTTGTAAATGCAAAAGACCCATTTCGAGTTCTGCGATCTTCTTTTCGACGGAAGGCGCCATCTTGTCACCGTCCCTGTCCGCTCTTCCGGTTTCTTTGACGTAGCTCTTGAAGTACGGCGCCATTGTCTTGCTGATGGCATGCAGCGTCTCATAAGCGGGACCATCAGAAAGTGTGACGATGCGCAATTGGGGATGAATAGGTTTATCAGCTTCTACTAAAGTGCCTCGTTTTATTAAAACTATTGATGCCATTTTGGTGTTTGTAAAATGAATTTCATTAGAAACATAGAAAGTCATGTTTTCTTTTTCATCTTCACCTTCGCCATTGTCTTCTTCTGCAATATAAATATTTGAAAAACAATTCAATTCACCATTCAAGTCATCAGCAATGCCTGAGGATAAGTTTATATATTTTCAGGGTGGCCGCAAGTCAGGGAAAAACTGGAAATCAGGGAAAAGTCAGGGAATTTTGTTAGTCAGGGAAAAATCAGGGAAAAGTCAGGGAATTTTTAAAAATTCTTTAAAAGTCAGGGAATTTTGATCGAAAGAAAACAACAAATTAAAAAACTTTGATACTTAAATGTCAATTCAGTTTTTTATTTAGACGTTTTTGTAATATAGCTCATTATAATGGTGCCGTCACATTTTTTATAAGTTTGGACCTTTTTACGGACATTTTAATATAGAATATTAAATAATTCAAAAATTTGTTAGTCAGGGAAAATCAAAAATTAGTCAGGGAAAAGTCAAGGAATTTTGAAAATAAAATTTTGCGGCCACCCTGATTTTGACAAATTAACCCCTTAGCAGTCCAGCTGAACTCCAACTTGAAGTCAAATTTAAAAAATTCAAAATGGCGACTACAAAAATTAAAAAAATTATCAGATTTAATTGAAACTCGTTACTCTATGATTTTCAGTGGAGCTGTGTCTAAATTCGACATACGAATAATAACTACAAAATTCGAACTAAACCGAGTTTTGTTCGGTTTTGGAGCGCTAAAGTGTCGAATTTCCAAAATTCGACAGTTCAATCGCCTAGCACGAATGTCGAAAAATCGACATTCGAACTAGGAGATTCAAATGTCGAATATTCAACATTCGACATTTCGGTGCCCCAAAACCGAACAAAACTCGATTCGAATCGAATTTTGCACAGCTCTAATTTTCAGGGTCCCTGATTACGAATATGATTTATAGATCTGTGTTTGGTATTGAAAATCCATAACCGGTTTTTAAGACGATTTTCGGTTTCAACATTAAAACCGGTATTCTTTTTTTTTAAAAACCGGTACTTTAAAAAAAACTGGTATTTTAAAACACGGGTTTTGATTGAATACAGACATTTAAAAGACGGTTTTACAAATACCATTTTATTTAAAAAGAAAACTGGTTCAAGAAAATTTGGTTTATTACAAGAATCAGGTTGTTTTCCGAAAAAAAATGTTTGCCTGTGTTATCTTACCAAAAAATAATAATTAAAATAGACAAAGACGATGGAGTAGAGTCTGGAGTCAGAAAATTATAAAGGAACTTAATATTCATAAAATAAATTTAAAAATAATTGAAAAAAAATTTTTAAATTTAAAAATGTGAAAAATAATCAATAATAAAATGACCGACTTGGATAATTTTGATAAATCGTACGAAATGATTTTGAATTTTATTTCCAGCAATTTAACGTAATAAATACTCATTGAGTTTTTATTCTCTGTTCTTATTTAATTTATTGTTTTTATTTGTTTTTGATTTTCTCTGTTTAATAAATATTCACTTTAATGACTCGATAGAGTTTGGAGCTCAGTTTTAAATTTGACTTTGTAGTTTGCAATACGTTTTTACTTAATTTGACAAATTATTTTTATTTTATTTTATTGTGAATTATTGTATTGTGAACCGTTATTTATTTAATTATTATCTATGTGTTATTTATTATTTATTTATTGTTTTTATACCAAGACAGATTATTTATTTATTTATGGTATGTTTATTATTTATTTTATTCATTTTTTTTTTCATTTTTTACTATTTATTATTTTTATTTATTATTAATTTTTAAATTATTATTAACATGTTACTAGTTTTATTATTGATTATTTTTCACATTTTTGTCAATTATTTTTAAATTTATTTTATGAATATTAAGTTCCTTTATAATTTTCTGACTCCAGACTCTACTCCATCGTCAGGGCATAAAAATTTAAGTCTTTGTCAATTTTAATTATTATTTTTTGGTAAGATAATTATCCATTACTTTTTATTTTATTTATTTATTGTTAAATTATTTTTATTATTATTTTAATTATGTATATAATTTTTTTTTTTTATTTTGAATATTTTTTTGGATAGACTCCCTGAAGAGGAAATCATTTAGATTTCGAAACGTTGGAGTAAATAAATATTTTATTCATTGTCCGAATGTTTTCGTTTATTTTGCCTTAATTTATAATTTTATCATATACCTTACGGACACCTTATTATACATCCAACTTTTTTTAAACAAAAATATTTCAAAATCAGATTTATTGGTTTTAGGTTCAATTAAATATAAAATCTCGAAACTGGCACAAAAAAGCAATATCACTCCATAAAACTTAAATATCCCATTGTTATTGAAACAAACATTAGAATGATAATAACGTAATATGTGTCGAATAATAAAGTATCAAAATATTGGTGAATAATTTTTATTTTAAATCCTCTCTCTCTCTCATTTTAAGTTCTATCCAAAATTAAGAAATATTATCTTATTCTCCACACATTTTTTTAGAAAAAAACTATTGACAAAAATGTCCCGCTTTGAAAAATAACAATATTAAACATTTATCAAACTAGTAATAAATATTTAACATTGTTATTCCTCAAAGCGGGACATTTTTTTCCTCAACCACTTTTTACTCAAAAATATGGGAAGAATACGATAGTAATTTTTAGTTTTGCATAGAACGTGAAGAAAAGTCTTTTTATTATAATTTTATAAATAAATAATTTTTAAAAAATTAGAAATTTTCTTTTGAAAATACGAAATATTTTTAAATTCAAGATTTTAAGCCAAAAAAACGCCTTTTTATTTTTTAAAATCGGTTAACATAGACTCAAGAAAAAAATATATTCGTTTGGCACAGTTAAAAATTTAAATTGTTTATAACTTTAACAAAAAATTTTTTTTATTCAGAAAATTTGATCACATTATTTTTAGTTCAAAAGAGTTAGAAAAAAATTGACAGGGTGGCCACTTTTTTTGTAAAAAAAAATTCACTGTCATTTCCCGGTCCATTCCCGGTCATAAATTATTTTTCCCGGTCATAAATAATAACTCTGAAAATAAATTATTCCATGAAAGATTGAAAGAATTTCCTGATTTTTAGACAAAACTTTGACTTTTTTCCAAACCCTAAAAATATTTTAGTTTACTCTAAAAATAATTTTGAACTTAAATAGATTTTTTGAAATAAATATTTAATTATTATCCATTATTTTTCCATATAGTAGGTATTCAAATTTCAAAAAAAAATTCAAATTTCAAATCCTTTAAATTAGAATAATTTGTAAGAATTGCTACTGTAACTTAGTAAAAATTATTTTCAAAATTTCAATTCAATTATATTCTAGAAATAACTAAAATATTTCTAAAATCCACTTGTTTACAAGACAATTTCATGAAATTTTGAATAATTTAAAAATTTTCAATTAAATATTAGGTACATATTTAAAAACATAACTAATTTGAAAAAATGTGAATAAAAATATTTTTAAAAACTAACTTATTCAGAATTTTTAATTAAAATCTTTTAAAATTCAACTTTTCTAAAACTTCGATTTAAAATTTTTTAAAATTCAATCTATAATAATATTAGTAATATTAATTTAACATTCTAAAATATAGAAAAATTTGCTTATGAATAATTGTAAAAAAAAACTAATTGATATTAATGAAAAATACGGTTTTTTAAAATTTATTTTCTAAGAAAAGAAATTTTATTTATTTTTATTTACTTTATTTATTATTCAAAAATTAATTTTTATAAATTTCGTATCACTTTTGTTCTAATTAGTTCAAATTTTTAATAATTCTTATTTGTTTTGTTATAATATTATTGCAAAAAAATTTTTAAATTTCTTTATTTTTCACTATTTTATAGGATGTGAAATTTTTTCTCTTTGAAATTTTTTTGACAAATTTAATTAAAATTATATTTTGTTTAATTATTGTTAGAAATAGAAAGAATTTAGAATTAAATTTAATATTTTCTTTTTCTAAGTCTGTTACGTTGGACAACAAAATTCATAATTTTCTTATAAATTCTAGAAATTGAATATTTTTATAGTACTTTTTATAAAATTCTCTGACAAAATATAAATAGATTTTATAGAAGATCATTCAATCTTTTTTAATGAAATATAGTTAATACCTAAGTCTTAAAATAAATATTTCTATTTTTTCTCACAAAGTAATGTGTGTTTTTAAAAAAAAATTCCAAAATCCCGGTCAAGATCAAAATTCACTGTCATTTCCCGGTTTTTACCTGTCCAAAAAAATTCACTGTCATTTCCCGGTTTCCCGGTCCAGCGGCCACCCTGAATTGAATTAAAAAAAAATCATTTTAATTTCATCTGATTCGCTTGGCAAACCCTGACCCCTATTTTCTAAAATTTTAACTAAAATTTAGTTATAAATCAATTTTTATCAAAAAGTTTCACGAAAAATTAATTATTTAAACACAAAAATAAGTAATTGGTTATTTCTAAAAATTGCACCTGTACCAGTTTTAATTGGTGTTTTAAAAATTTGTGAGGTGTGAGAAAGAAAATTCAAAGATAATTTAGGGTTTTCAATAATTTGATATTTTTTCACTAGGTACTTTAACTGAAGTTTCCTGACTTCTCTTATTCTCCAGTCCTGTGAGAACCCTGATATTGTCAAAATTTATAAATTTATTAATTTTACAAGAGAAATATTAAATTCACTGATTTTAATTACTTAATTTAAGTGTCATAAATCTAAATAAAATTTCTAAATCGTAGGAAATCGCATGAAAAGTAGTAAATAATAGGTTTTAGTAGACGAGAGCGAAGCCTTAATTTTATGTTGTTATTAATTTGCTTCGCTTCTTTTCATTCTGTCTTTGAAATAACCTACTTGTCTTATCCCAACCGTCTTCCCAACTCATGCAAATTTAAAAACGGACAAAGTAATTAGTGGCTCTTACTTTTACCTGTCAACGGAAAATTAACCCTTCGAAAACACATGGAGTCAATCAACTCCAGGTTTTTTTTGTAAACCCCGATTTTTTAAAAAAAGGTGTTCTTTCATTACTTTGGGTTAAACGTTAATATGTTTGAGGAAATTAAAACCTATATTTAAGAGAATTGACATTGCACAAAATTTATACATAAATTGTAGAAAAAAGTACCTTTGCTAGAACTCCTTTGAATATAAAGAGCCCAAACTTGGGTGTCGCTTATAAATTTTCTTATAGACTCTTGACTATTCTTGTCCTCAAGAGTGAGGTTAAAACTGGGTGGTACCTCATCCTCGTCGGGAAGAAGAATCTTGACAATTTTTCGCAGATAATTAACGAATGTTGAATAATCTACAATTGCAATGTTTTGAGACTCCGGAGAAGGATCTCCAGACCCGTCTAAAGAGTCGCCCATTTCAAATCATTCAATTCAATGACCTTCGTTTCGACTGTTATTAATTTGATTTTCAACGTGTTTAATTCACTGCGGCGATTGATTGCATACAAAACAGCACTACTCGGAAAATAATCAGCGGCTCGATTTCCGTGTTTCGAGAAACTAGCGGACCAGCGGTGAGTCATTCATTCCATCATTTCTCTCCAGTATAAAGGTGCGTCTACAATAAATGGTGCTTAATGTTCATTAAAAAAAATAAAGGCGGTTTCACACCTCAAAAGCGTGAGGGTGGAGTCCCATGACAGCGTTTTGCGTTGCGTCGTAATGGGAGAGAAAAAGACGCAAATATACGTTTGCTGCATTCTCTCTTATTACAACGCAACGCAAAACGCTGCCATGGGACTGCGGCCTTACTTTTAGAAAAATTATTCTTGTCATTTTCTCTCTTATGACAGAGACATAAGTTTGTCTTACTCTGCATTTTCTTATTTTTTCCAAAAAAGGAATAATAGGTAATTCTTATTTTATTTTAATTAATCTAATTTTAATCTAATTTTATTTTAATTATTTTTTAATAATTCTTATTTTTTCTGTATTTGGAAAAAAGTAAGAAAATTTAGAGTGAGACAAACTTATGCTTCTGCTATGGAAGAGAGAAAGACAAGAATGGTTTTTCCGAAAGTCGTGTGATCGTACCGCATACCCTGACTGCATTATGCTATATCTTTCCTGTTTGACCACCTTTTTGAAAACCGTTTTTACGTTCCCGATTAAGAATCTATACTGCGTTGGGGGTACCTTCAGTTGTGTTCACAATAGCACCTTGAACGTAACGTGAACGTAACGAACTTAGCATTGTTACGTTACCAATATGTTCCGTTTTAGGTGAATTGTCTGACTCTCTTACTCTTATGTGTTACCATGACAACCTGCAGGCAGGCAAGGCAGGAGCCGAGGTGAGACCGTACCTTGAGTGTAGCAAGGATAGAAGTATGTCTTTTCTTCTCTCTCTATCTCATTATTCAACGCAAAACGCATTGTTCGAATGCAAGAATGTAAACACCGCCTGAGACATTGTGAAATAAACAGTATTTCACCCCCTTGATCTTTAGTTATCTTGGATAATTAAAAATGATAGATATGTCTGTTTTAACCTATTTTTTAATTATAATTTGTTGAATTACTACTAAGAAAAATGGGATGTTGTTACAGTCTTTGTAAGGAAGACACTGGTCCACAGGTAAAAGAAAATATTCATAAAATAATATTCTAAACTCAAAGAATAACTTCCCAAAAGTACCTGTTTAATGTTAAACTAAACTATTTTTGTTTTTCTGCCAAAAAAAACATCGGATGAAAGTGCACCTTTTGTTTATTTTGATTGAATTCCTTGAGGTATGTTTATTTATAGCTTAAAATGAATATTGCTTTGTTCAACTGTGAACATAACCTTAATTTGTATCAAAATATTTCAAGCTATTTCATTGTTTGCAACTTGTAAAATTACAAAAAAAACATGTAAAACAATATTTTTGAAAGAATTTTTTTCCAGACACGGCACGATATGTAAATTAGCTTTTATTTTTCGGTAACAGTCATTAATAAATGAAAGGAAAATATTGTCTATTGTTGTCAAACATTCAATAAAAACAAGTTTCGTCTTATACGAAATTCAATTATTATTAACTTATTAAGACACTATTGTACACTACGGTGTACAATGATTCTTAACATTAGAATTAGAAAATATTCACAAATGTTATCGTCAATTAACTATTATTATTGTTGACATTGTTATTAAAATATCCATCATAATGCACTTTTTAAAGATTGAACATTTTTAAAATGTTAGACTTGATAGGTAATAATTAATAATTAACGAAAAGATGATTCAATTTTTACAATATTTTCGAATATTGTGTTACAAAATATTTGTTGGTCAAAATAAGTAACGACATTTTTTAACATTAAACCCTTTTTTATACTTATTACTTCCTCATAGAGGAAGTACTGTAAAACCAAAATTTTTCGAGTTCGATTTTTTGACATATCTTTATGTTATTTGACCTCAGGAGTTCAAAAATGACATTTTTAAAAAATGTCATTCCGTATGTGTGTGTGTGTGTGTAAACATCACATTTTCATAAATATCTCGAAATCATGAAGAGCTTTTGGGTTGAATTATTTTTAAATTGTAGATCTCACCTGCGGACATAAAGTGAGAGTACTTTCTGCTTATTAATAAATTTTAACTAAATTTTTTTTTTATTTTAAATTTTGCAAAAAAACGTTTTTTGCCCATAACTTGAAAACAATGTTAGGACACCTATAAATGTTTTTCCATAATTTTGTAGAGTTTTTTTAGACGCATCTTTTGAGCCCTAATTGAACATTTTTCGTCCATATTAACCGGAGTTATTAAACTTTTAAAAATCAAAAATTTTGGAAAATAAGACTTTTTTGAAAATTTTGTTGAAAAACGTAGAAGTAACTTTAAAATTATCGTTATCAACTTGTAGAGCATTAAAAAACGCTTCGATTGACCTATTTTTGAACCTAATTCGATAATAAATTTCGAAATTATTGGTATTTTAAAAACCAAAAATTGTGAAAAATGACATTTTCTCAACTTTTTTGTTTCAAAATTTTTATTTAACTATTAAATTATTGTAACTATCTTGTAGAGTATTTAAAAATACATTGATTGACTCAAAATTCAATCACTTTTACCATATTTATAAAAAGTTATTCATATATTTCTATTATTTTTATCTCCCTGAGGAAGTAAAGTGTTCATGAAATGAGCACCAAAATTATAAAAAAAAATATACAACTTGGCAGCGGTTTTTCAATTTTGTTTAAAGTTTTATAATTTTGTCATTTAATAAAAAAAATACTTAATAAATTTTCTTTTTCGTGTGTTTAGAGTGATGTTAATGAAAGGACTCACTTATTAGTTGATCCAGTGAGCAGTAGCGCTAATATTCCTCGAGTTCACAGGTAAGATAAATTTATTTAATAACGTCTAGTTTTCTGTTAGATATTTAAAAAACTTTTGATTTTGCAGGCTTTTCTTAATTTTTTAATTCCTCTGAACCTAATTAACATTTTTTAATATCATAAAATTTCGGAAAATAAAAAGATACTTCAGTAACGAAAAAATTATTTTTAAAAATCAAATAAATACCTTTTAAGTAAAATAATTAATTTTTTGCAGCCATTTTGTTACATAATTTAAAAAAAATGTCCACACTTCTCAATATATATATATATATATATATATATATAATAAACATTTCAAAAAGAAAATATCCTATTCAATTTTTTATTTTCTCATAACAAATCATCAAAGATATGGATATCTTTTTCTGCATATTTCCTGTATATTTTTCTTGTTAAAAGTAAGAAGGTTTATCAATGACAGGTCACAATTTAAAAAAAAAATTATAAACAAATAATTTGACAGATGTTTAAGACTATATCAGATTTAGGAGACCCAAATGAGAATGTACACTAAATGTTAATCAAATTCACTTATATTTGTACTTTGAAAAGTGATTTGTTTTAAAATTTTATTAAATTTCAGAATAAGAATTTTTTTTTTTTTTTTGTAAAAAATAATTGTTTTATACAAAAAAACAATAATTATAGAACGTTTAAAGGGCCTTACGGCAAGCCAATTTGGCAAAATTGTCCGGAAGCCACTTTTTCATGACGTCATAAAATTAATATTGATTTTGTTAAAAACAAAGTTAAATATATGACTGGATAGAAAATTAGACAAACTTTTCAGCGCTTTAAAGATCAAAGCTTATTAAATACCAGGACAGGACAGAGAAATGTGCGGATCTTCGGCCTTCCGGAAATATTTTATTGAACTCCTTAATTAGTCCTTGAAAATCACGAACGATCCTTTCTTGAAAGATGGCTGGTGTTTATTTTTAAACAAAATTAAATTTTGCATAAATTACTGATGTCCTCCGATTATGATAATTCCTGTATATTTTCGACTTTCACTATCTGTCGGAATTTGATGAAATCCTGAAGACAGGTCAAATGCTAAAAATTTATTTCCTCCCATTTGGGAAGGTATATCTTCAACCACGAGTAGCGGATAAGTTTCTTGGTCTACATCTTCATTTAATTTTTAAACTCAGTATCCACCTGTCTGATCCATATTCTGATTATATAAATTGTATCAAAAATATTTTAAAACTTTAAAACAAAATTTTTTTAAAATTAAGATCAAATATTGACTGAGTAATTATAAAAGTTTATTATTCGTTCTATAAAGTATATAACAGAACATCTTAGGTAAATTAAAAACATTCTAGATTTTCAGTTGAATCCAAAACTTTATTGAATTTCTTTTATTTTCAGCGATGTTTATGTCAATGAATATACAAGTTCAATTCCAAAGAAAACTGACGAGCAGAGTGCCCTGAATAGAATACTTCATGAAACAGCAGCGTAAGTTTAAATAACTAACAGTATATTTCCTTATAACATTCGATATTCCCAATGTAACAGAGAGAAAATCTTACATGAACTTGAAACTTATCACTCGGAGATTAATCCGGTGTTACTTTTTGAAAATTGAAAATGGCGGATTTAATATGGTGACCATAAAAATTTAAATTTGATTAGATTCTCTAAAAACTTGTTCGGTGGTTTTTTGAGTCGTTGAATCCAAATTTTTGGATAGATTTTAAAAAATCAAAATAAATATTTTAATTGTTTGACAATACGGGATGTTAAATCCAAACATAATAATATGAAGTCATATCCGTATTTTAGCAATATAATTGATGTTGGTGCTTTGGATTCTCATAATTTGGAACAACATGAAGTTATTGAGAGGTCTAGAGCCTATGCGAAACGGTTAGAAACTATAGGTATCAAAGTTCCCGAGCAGACCCCAAGTATGTTAAAAGATATTCCTGCATTGGAAAAAGTTCTCACTTCTGAATCTCTTAGCACTACGGACAAAGAATTAGTAAGTACAAATAAATAACTTTTCCATGCAGATGCCATTTTTTAGAATGAATTTAGCTCTCAGAAAAGAAAGTGAAACAGAATCTTATGTTTTGTAATACGTTCGTTTGAAGTTGCTTTTATTAAATTATAAAAAAATCCATATTAAAAAATAAAATGCACGCGGGCGACAGATAATTTTACTAAATTGACAAGCACACAAAATAATCAATTTCTGATATTGATGTAAATTCATGTTTTATTTGTAGATAACCGACTTGCTCAAGAAGGCTGTGTTAGCTTTAAAAGATATTAAAGTGGAACATAAAGAAGATTTAGTTGTACCATTTCTCTCGTGATCTGCAAAAGAAATTTAGCAATAAACCCGCTTTAGTAATTTATAAAAATATATTAGTTTTACTGGTTGAAGCTTCTAATTTCAGTAAGAATTGAACAATTTTAGGTATACAGTGAAATTAACAAAAAAATATATTTGTTTTTTGTTTAAGAATATTTATTTTTTAATTAATAGACTGTACGTATTTGTATATATTACCGTCATAAAGAATGTGTATACTTGCCGTAAGCGTTATTTAAAAATTATCATCAATTTTGGACAGTGTATTTTGTTAGGTGAATAGTTATGATTAGAAAGATCATTAAATTCGGCGTCAGTGATTCATACAAACTTAATTATCGAAATATGTATGAATACCTAGAAATTATTACCTTCGAATTTTCCCAACTCGGCAAGGAAAATTTTCTCTTCTTTGACATTCATAATGTAATTTGAGATATTAGGTTGAATTAAATGTAATTTGTGTCCTGGCGCGGTAAAAGGGACCTTACAGCTTAGAAGTGAATTTCGCAGAAAGTGTATTAGAAGTTACACGAAGCAAGGTAATTGTGTGTAACAGAGAAAATAGAGAGACTGATTTTCTGAACTGCCTTCTGCTTGCATATATAAACAATTCAAGTGTGACTGTGTTTTAAAGGTAATAATAAAAAATGTAAAAGTTATAACAATTTTTAACTTTTATATGTAAAAGAACAACTCAAAATCTATAAAACAGTATCAATAACTCAAAATTAATTTTTTTAACCTACGGCCCCTTACATCGCGTCAGGGCATATAACATTTAGAAAATTTCCAATTGCTCTCGAAATGCTAAATTTTTATTATTAAAGCATCAAAATGTGTAACGTAATAACGATCCATGTTCGAATTCGCATACTTACACGAAAATGAAATTGAAAATGAAATTAGAAAGATTATGCTATAATTATGACAAAGTACAAAAGAAGAATTTTTTAATTTGCAGAAAAATTCTGAATTGTATTAAAAAGTGTATTAGTTTTTTCTATATTTATACACTGTACTAACTAATGATGGATAAATTGAAATAATTGAATTCGTAGTTCTTTAAATGCAAAATTTAATGACCTTTCTAATTGTATGCAATTTAAGAGTTTATTTATTTGAAGCTAATTTTCAATAATTCTTTATGACAGTAGTGCACAATGAAAAATATATAAATAAGCTTGTGTCGAATCTAAATTTAGTTAACATAACTTCCTGAAATGTGTAATTTTGTCACATTACTAAAAATAATCATGCAAATTGATTACTTGCATATCTGATCATATAACTAAAAATATTATGTACAGAGTAAAGAATTTTACGTTTTTTATAAGTAATTAAATTAATTTTATAAAGAATTGAATTTATGCTTAAAAAATTCTCTATCTAAATATATATACATATATTAATAATATCTGTTTTTATATGCATGTCAAATAAAAAATTAAAAATGACAACTTTTTTGGTTTGTCTAAAATTTTTCAAACCGTTCCTACTTTCAATTAATAATAATTTAAAAGGAAATAAAATTTACACGATAATATTATGACCAATGAACAAAATTCTTTATAATTTAAAAATACTATCACTGTAGCTCAAAAATTGACTATGACCATTACCTTATCATTGGACATTAAATGAAAAAACAACGTTATTTGTATAAAAGAAAAATTTATTTAAACAACTATTGTTATAAATTTTGTGAAAAAATTTAAATGAGCTTTACTTACAAAGATATAATACATAGTTATTTCTGTAACATATTTCTTGAAAAGTATTTAAATTGAATTGAACAATAATATTTACCTTATTACAAATTTTGAAAACTTTTTCCATTAACATACAATTTTTTTTTTACATATTTTTGTACGTTTCTTTTACACTAGTTGGTCTAAAAATCAGCACTTTGTGATTTTTATATGAGTTTTATTATAATGCATAATATTTATTTTGGGCGCATTATTCTTCTTCAAATTGCAAATATAAAAATTCTATTGTCCCGAATGCTGTTTGTCTGAGAAGACATGTACGTTTCACTATTTAGCTGAATTTTTTATAAAATCTGCCAACCAAGATTCAATTATTAAAAAAAATGTTTAATAGAATTTTAAATTATTTTCAATAATTTTAATAACATTCCTTGAAAGAATTTGATTCTTTTTATAAATAATAATAATATTTTTTTGCAAGAATTCAATTATTTTTGATACAATTTTAATTTAATTTTCTCGAAAAAATTCAATTATTTAAAAAAAATGTTAATAAAATCCCTTCAAATGACTTTAATTATTTTCAAATTTTTTGTTAAAAACTTTGTGAGAATTTAGTAATTTTCAGTACATTAATTAAAAATTTTAAAACATTTAAAGAGAAAATTTATTAAAAAAGTTAAGAAGCAAACAAAAACTAATTTCAAACTGCGAACAGATTCAAAACATATCAATATTAATTTATTGCTTTAAAATTGTTTGTGAATTTTAATTTCATCTATTATTATATTTTAGAAAAAATTATAACCAAAATCTGAAGAAATTTTTGAAGAATTTTTGTTTGCTATGTCTAAAGATTTCTGAAGATAAATAAGAAAATATAGAAGATTTTTCGCGCATAACCAAGAAATTTCAGAGACCATCGAACAATCTTAATCCAAACATAAAATGGCTCTGCTGAATAATTATATTTTCTTTCAGAAAGTTAAAATTATTAATGTTTTGTTGATAGGTATTATATAATTTATACTCCATAAATTAACCTTATTATAAGAAAAGAATTACATTGATAGGTTCAGCAACAACATTTTTCTACTTACCGCGAAATAATCTTCGATTTTGAAAATTCTTTTTCATATGTGAGTATTTAAAGACTTCAAAGTATTCCAATATTTTTTTGCGAATGAACCGTGTGTGCCCTATAGCGCCCAAAATAATTATCGTACCAAATAGATGTGACACGCTCCGAAAAAAGGTACCCAAGAAGCAAATGATTATGTTTGTGTTATTTTCACTTTAATTAAAACTAACTAGAATTAGTCTTTATTAATTATTTTAGATGTAGTAAATAATTAAACATCAGTGATGTTTTTATGTATTTTCATTTTAAAACTTAAAATTGTAGCCTAATATTTTTTGCGTTTCAGGTACTTTTCTTCAGAGCGCGTCACAAATGAAAACGCTAAACGCACTCTTTTCTCTCTAAAGCATCACATATTGTTTACAAAATTGTATTTTCCTGCACATAAATTTGATAAAAACAAAATGATATTCTGAGGTTTATGTTTTTATTATTGTCTTCAATTTAAGAATAACTCCCAGCTGAAAATATTCGCCCGAATTTTCCGGGCGGAAATCTGTATGGAGATTTGAAATAATCCGCAAAGATTTCCGTGTGCATTTTCCTCCGGATTTTTACAAAAGTTCTAAATAAACGTCAAATATGTAACATAAATACCACTTTAAAAACGCCGGCGTAACATATAGAGTGATATACCTCTTCGGGATATAAAAATTTGAATTTGAAGCCCGTTTTCAAATATCTATTAAGGTCACATGCCCCATATACTTTACTATGGAAAAACTTCTCACTGAATAACATGACCTTAAGGGTAAAAATATTGCGGTTTGCGGATTTTCGTTCGAGTTGTTTCAAATGGACATCCGGGTGAATTTTTTTAGCTGGGTTCAAATTACAAGATTTGTTCGTATCACTAAATGATGTAGTCGTTGGTTCTGTATCAGTGCCAAATTAACAAATTTTTAAGTCGAATGTATTATGCAATTTTACTGCATAGTTAACGAAATTTTAAATGGACATGTTAAAAATATTTTATTTTTTTTTCAATTTCGAAAATTAGATTGCCGACGACTACATCACTTTATCTATTAATGTGATCCATAACGAAGTAGTAGGCCGAAGTCTGTGATTTTCCTATAAACTTCCGTAAAATTGCAATATTAACCACCATAAGATTGAAAGATATTTTTTAAAATATTTTTAAATTTTTGTTATAAACTTGCATTTTGGGTAAACTTTAAGAAAACCACAGGTATAGAATTCAAAATCTTTACTGTTTATAACTTTCCTGTTTGAGTAAAATAAAACAAATCATTTAGGCAGTGGATTTGTTGATTCTGAAGAATTATCCATTTACAAGTTTAAGATACAGGTGATCCATCGCCAAATAATTTAGTGGTTTTATTTGGATTTTCAAATTCCTAAAGCTATATTAGGAAATTATGAAGTTACAAGGAATATGGACTGCCTGATCTCAAGTATGTAAAGTATTATACGCGTATAATAGCGTATCCCCTTATTGCACATGCACTCTGCGCTTAGCACTTAAGAACTTTACTTACAAACTAGCAATATCAAAGTTTTAGCAAAATGTATGGCTGTCACATTTTGCTAAAGTGTAAATATAACAATTTCAAAAACGTAGTTTCTTCTTTATAAACTATCAAGTCATTGTAGTAATAGATACAATTCAAATTTTATAAATAGATATCTACATAACTTGGATTATCAATCATTTCGATGTCACATGTGCATTCAATAATAATCAATACAATCACCAACAACTAGAATTTTATAATTTTATATTTTTATTAATATTAATTAAAATAGTTTCATTATTTTTCAAGTAACTCTTTCTCTGGTAAAATCATTAATCAAACAAATTTAACAGATTTATATACAGTACCGGCCAAAATTGTCAGTCCACCCATTTTTGAAGGAATGAAAAAAATTTTTTAACATAAAATTTATGAAAACTCAAATTTTTTTTGGTTTATATTTTAAAAGACGATCAAATTTTGAAGAGAATAAGACCTTATAGAAGTCATTTGGCCAAAATTTGTAGAAGATATTCTTAAAAATCGTCATTTTCAATGCTTCACAAAAATTTGAATAACTTCTAAAATAATGAACGCTTTTTAATAATCTTAGGCTTATTTTAAAGGTCATTTTCTACGGAATAAAAATTACTTATAGGCATTAACCTGTAATTTTTTTCTTGGAATAAGCATGACGTCAAAGTTGGACAAAAAAATTGGAAAAATTTGAAATAAATTTTTTGTACTAAAAACTATTCTAGAACATATATAAAACATGATATGGTGTAGATTCTTCAAGAAAATTTAATAAAAAAATATGTTTGAATTTCAAAAATTATTTTTCTTTTAATAATATTGTTTCAAATTTTTTGAATTTTTTTGTCCAACTTTGACGGCATGCTTATTCCAAGTAAAAAATTACAGGTTAATGCCTATAAGTAATTCTTATTCCGTAGAAAATGACCTTTAAAATAAGCCTAAGATTATTAAAAAGCGTTCATTATTTTAGAAGTTATTCAAATTTTTGTGAAACATTGAAAATGACGATTTTTAAGAATATCTTCTACAAATTTTGGCCAAATGACTTCTGTAAGGTCTTATTCTCTTCAAAATTTGATCGTCTTTTAAAATATAAACCAAAAAAAATTTAGTTTTCATGAATTTTATGTTAACAAAGTTTTTTCATTCCTTTAAAAATGGGTGGACTGACAATTTCGGACGGTACTGTAAATATATTTTCTTTAATCCACAACATTAAAAAATGTTCATTTACAAGTTGCAAATTTTAACGATTTGTAACTGAATTTAGATTTACGCTCAATATTATATTCAGTTTAATACTCTTAGTCTTAATTAATGAAATTCAATAAAAATACTATTAAAAATATTTAAAGTGTTTTAAATGAGCTTAAATAAATAAAACAAACATTTAGATTTACCAGTAGTCGAAGTAATTTTTAGAAAGTTTTATGTAATTCCCACACTGAAAAAAATGCCTAAACGATTTGAGCATCCATTATAGCATTAAGGTTACTTTAACTAGGAATCTTGATTATATTGACAAATTTAGTGCTGTAGGTGCTTTAGGATTCCTAGTTAAAGTAACCAATATTCTTAGTGGATGACTCTCGTAACTAGGAGCATAGTCAAATCGCCTAGGAATTTCTTTCAGTGCATGATATGAAAATATAAAATAGATTCATATTTCAACTTGAAACTTGTAAATGACTTAAAAATTATTGTCTCAAATGTCTTGTATTCAGCAGCTTCACTTTTCTCACGCAACGATTTTAACCCCTTTACAGTCTTTGAAAAAATCAGTTTAGGGACATTAATAGGTAAACCCAAATCGAATTTATTTTAGTATTTTTTAAAGATATTTTTTGCCCAAAAACGTGTCATGGATTGTAAAGGGGTGAAATAGGTAATTAAATAATATTCGTGACATTCTTGTAAATAAACCGCCATTCACTGATATTAAATGTGACGCTCAGGCCGTGGAGCGTCACATATTGTGAACATTCACTCTTTATTAATTTTAATCGTACTTAGCTTTTTTATAATATTATAAATTTGTGTTTTACCAAAATTGCCTGACTGTTACATTATAGTAAAAGTTGAAATTGTTCTTTAATTTTTTGTAAAAGTCAATTTAAAAAAATGAATAGTAACTAAGGTACTAAATAAGAAGTGTTCGTTCATGTATGAACAAATTAATTGGTATATGTGTTTTTGTCCCTTATAGTGGACAAGTACTTTGCCTTCACAAGTAAAAGAAAACTTCAATTGTATAAGGTTTTGATGAGATGCATGAATATTTCGAAACACAAGATGTAATTTCTATTTAAGCAAATCGTATAAACTAAAATTTATATGGGACCGAATGTTTATGTTCTTAATTATTCAAGAATATTTATTTCGTTACGAATTTCTATATGCAATAAAACAGATAGAACTTAATCTTTAATTGAAAAATTAATTAAGTTTACACTCTGGAGAACATCACTTAACAACATAGCTGTTGACATGATATCTATTTAATAAAAAAACTTATTTATAAAAATTTTTCTAAATTGAATTTAAGTTAAAGTTAACTAATTTTAACTAATATAAAAATAAATTCTATTTCATCAGATTCGCCTAAATAGAAATTCAAACTGAATAAGAAAGTATGGAAGATTTTCATGTGCTTGGTCCTAATATTACGCATGTGTTTTCACCGAGCTTGTACTAACATAATGTAAAGATGGTTTTACAATAAGTCCAATAAGTTAATAATAAGTTCCTCAATAAGTACGGTGGAAACGCATGCCGAGAACAATTGGTTAAGTAAGTTGTAGGGTAAAATAAAATTTTAATCTTCCTTATCTTGACTCTAAAGATAGGAACCCTACTTTTTCCAAAATTCCGAACTCGTCATTCTTTTCATATGTGCGATATTTTAAAAATATGAAAATATTTAGACTTAAAATAAATATTTAGTACTTTCTCGTAACTGAAATATTGTGTGCAATAATGGTGCTCTAAGATATTTTAATTGAAAATTTACATTTAAACTATTCTTTCTACAATAGTCATTTTAAGAACTTGGAACTTTTTTCTACAATGTTTTATCTGGAAATGAATTAAGAAAGCAATAGTTGTAAGTATACGCCACTGTTGCGCTCAATATTTGAGTTAATAATAAATTTGTGGTGTTGAAAACCTTATTTGATCCCACTGCTTGTACTAGAAAAATATTTCGATTCCATTCGACATATATTACTATTATTTAAATTTCACTTTGAATGGACTAGGTTGAGAAATTCCTCTCGAGTTTTTGGATCGTCTCGAAAAACTCCCATCATAGTTGAAGTCACAGTTTTGCTGTTGATTTTTTGAACCCCTCTCATGACCATGCACATGTGTCTGTAAACATAAGAGACATAACAGTTTGACTTAATCCTTTATGAAATTCGGTTTTATTACTTCAGTATTAACAAATCTCAATATTACAGTAACAAGGTTAGTAATTAATAAGCTAGCTACGGATCAATTACCGTAAGATAATTTAAGAAATTCTCATTGTCTAGACGTTAAGAACCTACGACTTTTTCATAATTATGTAAAGCGTATAAATCACATGAAACTATGAAAGTTGTGAAAAATTCCTTGTATGTATCTCTTTATTAGTACAAGGTCTAATTTTTTACTAATAATTGGTTCTTACGAAAACTATTGCCCAACAAGTGCAACGAATCGGAACCAAAGACCATGCTTCTGTATTAACTTACGTTTTCTCAAGAATATATGTTACAGATAGAAAATATGAAATCGGACCTCGTCATTCAATAGAAGGCCTAAAAAACCTCTGGTCAGCCAGAGAAACTGATATTTAGACCAAAGATTACATAAAGAGCCGGTTCGAATCTAGATTGCTTTTCGAAGCGGGCGTTTGTTTCCTTCGTACCCTCTTCAAATCATTTCTAATTACTTTTCGTCTTAGATAAAACCAACAATACCTAAACATTACCCGATGGCATTTTCAATTTCAAAAACCTCACTTCAATACAGTTCATTGAATTTATTATAGAAATTCTTCCATAAACTTCAATTTCTTATTTTTAAACATTTTTACAAAAGAGCGCATGAATAACCCAAAAAATTATTTCTTATAGAAATTTTCATAAAGCAGATTCAAAAAAATTTGATTTTAACTTAACGAAAATTTTTACATAGTAAAAGTTTTACATAACAGAATATAATAAGGTCTTCGAATTTTTATTTAACAGAGTCTTCAATTGATTAAAGTTTTAATTACCATTTTCGAAAAATCAACTTAGTCAACTTAGCCCCGCAGACAAGGAGTAAAAAATGTGAAATTTTAGAGGTTTATTGTCTTAGAATCGCACAATTTTTAGTTTTTTTAAATTTCGAAACTGATTTTTTTTGAAATCCTGGAGCAGAAAGTCCCCTTAAGTAAATTAATTGCATTTTTTATTTTGATATGTTTTTAACGGCCACAGAATAAATATGAATTCTCGAAGGTACTTGAGTTACAAACTACCCAAAAATTGAATTTTTATAAAATGAAAATTTGTGTAATTCTAAGAAAGAAGTATCTTTCAAAATGTTGACTAATGTTGATGAATGAATGGAATTAAAATAAACTTTAATATTTTTGTAAGCTAATTGATATAAAAGACAGAAATACTCACACTCCTTCTACGACAACAGCTACTCCTGATGGATGAACTGCGTTGGAAACAGCAGCTGCTATTTGCTTAGTAAGACGCTCTTGCACTTGTAAACGGCGACTGAACACCTCGACAATCCTTAAAAATCAAGTTTTATTTAAAGTTTCACTTAAAGTTATTCTTAACTAAAAGATTTTGTTTAACAATATGCAATTTAACAAAATGTCTAGTCAAGTTCTGCATAATTATTGGCAATCTCTTTATATTTCAGTCATACCTTATTTCTTTTTTCAGTAATTGAAAGATAAACCTACCTTGCCAATTTACTGAGACCCAGAACTTTCTTCTGCGGTAAATATCCAATTGACACTTTTCCATAGAAAGGTACCAAATGATGTTCACACATTGAAAACATTTCTATATCCTTAACGACGACCATTTCATCATGATCTTCATCAAATATTGCATCGTTGATAACATCTAGATCATAAAAAGAAGATAATAAGTTAGTATTAATTACAAGTGATGACGGAAAATGATTTTTGGTTGCTTGGGAATTCCTTACTACAAATCTGTTGTCAGAATTTTAATTTAAAAATGACAGAACAATTTTGTCATTTTGAGGTTTTGAGGTTTTTCCCCAAAATTAAGGATCCTGGTATGTAAAAGATCCAGTTATAATTTTTTAAGATTCAAAATTCTACATCTCTAAATTATAAAAGGATTTAAAATTTCAATTTCTTGTAAGAATTTTGTATTTGTATAAAGATTATGAAAATGTTCCTCCAAAAATGGTGCGATATAAATCTTTTCAAGTCTTGATTTGTGCCCACCCTACAGCATATTAAGTAATTGCAAAAACATTAAAAAATTGCTGAAAATCAACTTTAGACTGACACGACGACACGAGCCTCCCAACAGGTTGAAATTAAGCTTAGTCCCGTCTTTAAGTTTATCAATTCAGTCACTCAGGTATTACAGGAATAAGATGAAATTTGATTTTCGATATAAATTTTGACATTGTGTCACTAAAAAAGGAATGAAGGAAAAGAGCTCTGAAACATAAAACATAAAATGTTCGATGCGCCTGGTTATGAATTATCCAACATTGACCCAGTTTTTAGAGTGTGGTGGTTGTCGTCGATAAGCATGAGTCAGTGATTTCTAGATGTTGGTACGTAGATAATGGGAGAGGGAGGCTGCTCTCTATGGTTTCCACGGCAACCTTAACAAGAAACACCTTCGCACTGACCCTCAAGAGAACGAGAAATATAACGATAGCAAATGATGGAAACAATTTTAAACTATCAAAATCAAAAAATATCTTATCAAACAATTTTAAAAGTTTCTTGTAAATATAAATCGCCATGTTCATTTAGAAGAATATTTTTTGTATTTAAGATATGAATAAAAACTACATTACTCGCTTTTAAAAGTGTCTTTTGGGAATTCTTTCCTTTTACCCCATTAGATTTAAAATGTGTATAATTTCTATCAAGAATTGAAAAAATATAAACTAAATATCTGGTATTGGATGTCTCGCAATAAATAATTCTCGCAACTGATTCTTTAGTGAGTAACAGGTTCAACCCCCAGGCAAAGAGACAATAAATTGAGAAATAAAATAATTAACTAAAAAAATGAGTTCCATCGGTACTTGAATTTACATGCAATAACATTTATTTAATAAATTCAGTGAATGCGAAAGGAATCCAAACTATTTCTCTCGGTATGTGAAAGCATAAGCATAAGCCACCCTACTGTTGCGCCAGTAAGTAAAGTAACCCCATTTTCCATTAATCAACTCTGACTTATTGTAATCTTGTTGAAAGGTTTTATTTTACTTAAGGAGTCGAGCTACGTCACACCATTTGGACCCATTTCAGACCACTTGCACTCGCCATTAATGCTTTAATTATATTTATTAGTCATTTTTAATAACCAACTAGCCAACAAATTTTAACTTTTTATTTTATAAATAGAATATCAATATCAATAGAATATCTTCGAAATAACTGTCAGGCAGTTTTTAAAAAATGTACCAGAAGATATAGTAAAATATTACACTGAAAAAAAGGAATGGTTGGGTCAACCATAGATACGGATAAATACGTCCCTTCAAAATTAGATGGTTACTTCATTCATAAATTTGGTTGACTTAACCATTCTATGTCTGGCACAACCAAACGTTAGGTTGTTATATCAAAATAACGAAAATTCCTATAAATTTAATCTGTCGACCAAATCTATAGATGTAGTTGCGACAACCTTTCATTTTTTCCGTGTAGATATTTACAATAATAAAAATAACATTTTTACTTTTTACTAAAAATACAAAAATTCTTTTTTTTCAGTTGCTATATGGTGACTTTGGACAGTATTCTAATTTTTCCACTCTGCATATATAAAATGATTGTTTACAATTTCACCTTTCATTAAAAATATCAATTAAATATTTATCCCATTGTATCAAATGAATTCTAATCAATATTATTCCAAGACAATCGCAGACTTTGCACTCGTTAATTATTAGTTTTAAAAAAGTAGCTTTCAAAGTAAAAAAAAGTAGTAAAAAAGTAGCTATCAAAAAATTAAACTTGACGACCATTCCATATTCTTCATTTTCTTGACTTTTTCCTAATTCTTGCGAAGAACTTTATAACAATTTTTAAATAATTGATTTTTTTCGACTAATTTTATGCAAATTCTAATTTAAATAATTGAATTCCTGAAAAATTTTTATTCATACAAATAATTGAATTCTTAGAAAGATTTTTACAATCATTTTTTTAATAATTGAATTCTGTTTGGAAATTTTATGAAAATAGAATTCTATTAAAATTTTTGAGAATAATTGAATGTCTGTGTGGTATTTTATTAAATTTTTTTGAAAATAATTGAATTCCTAAAAAGCATTTTATTATTTATGAAAGTAATTGAATTCTTGCAAACGATTTTATTAGAAATTTTTAAAATAATTAAATTTACAAGAAGAGATTCATTACTTTCAAAAATAATTTCAATTTTTTAATGAATATTGTTTTTTATGAAAATAATTGAATTTTGCAAAGAATTTTATTAAAATGCCTCAAAATAATTGAATTAAAATTGTATTTAAAATAATTGATTTCTTTCGAACAATTTTATTAAAATATTTGAAAATAATTGAATTCTTCCAAAGAATTTTAGAAAAACATTTTTTTTAATAAATGATTTTTTCGAGATATTGAAGTTAAATTTTTAAGAATAATTACATTTTTTTAGCAATTCCTGTAAAATTGTATTAAAAATAATTGAAATCATGCGATGAATTTTATTATTTTTTATAAAAATAATTGAATTATATATTGTGAAAAATTTTATCAATAGTTTAAAAAGAATTGAATTTTTGTGAAACGTTTTATCATTTATAAAAATAATTGAATTTTCGGGAATAATTTTTTTATTTATCGACATAATTGAATGCTTTCGAAGAATTATTTATGTAAATAATTGAATTCTTGAAAAGAATTTTATTAAAATCTAAAAGAAATTTAATTATTTCAAAAAAATTTTATTAAAAATATTTGAAAATAATTGAATTCCTGTGAAAATTGCTAATATTTTTGTAAATAATTAAATTCTTCCAAATAATTTAGAAAAAAAACATTTTTTTGAGAAATTGAAATTAAATTTTTTGAATAATTACATCTTTTTGAGCAATTCCTGAAAAATTGTATTAAAAATAATTGAAATCTTGCGATGAATTTTATTAAAATTTTCAAAAATAATTGAATTCCTGAGAAGAAATTTATTATTTATGAAAATAATTGAATTATTGCGAAAAATTTTATAAAAATGTTTAGGTAAATGAATTGAATTTCTGTGAAAAATTTTGTTATTTTTGAAAATAATTGAATTCTTTATAAGAATTTTATAAACATTGTTTTAAATAATTAATTTTTTCGGAATATAATAAATATAAATAAATAAATAGGTATTATGGAAATTTTATTTTAAATAATTGAATTCTTGTGGAAAACTTTATTTGGGAAAATAATTGAATTTTTCGATTAATTAATTTAAAATAGTATTAAAAATAATAAATTGAATTCTTGCTTAGAATGTTATCAAAGATTTTTTAAAAAAATTGAATTTGCATGAAAAATGTTATTATTAGTGAAAGTAATTGAAGTAATTTCTAGTATTATCGAATTTAAAGTAGTGGAAATTGTCAAAAAAAAAAAAAAGAACAGGAATAGTAGCTTTCAGTGGGTAAAATCTAAAAAAGTACCCAAATAGTAGCGCATAACGTAAAAAAGTAGTAAATAGTAGGTTTTAGTAGATGAGTGCGAAGCCAGCAATCGCATTGACTTTAAAATTGAATCTAACAATGGATATATTTGATGAAAAAAATTGATTGTTTAATGTATCTAAGTAACTACTTATCTTTACAAGTGTTTCAGTTTTTTTGAATTAGTCAATCATTTAATAAGACGTGAAAGTTTTATCCTTGGAGTATAGCCTATTTATAACAGCTTTTTCAATGGAAGTAGATAAAGAGGAAAACAGGACTATGCAGTGACGACTCGCTTCAGGAATTTTATACTGTATTTTATAATGTAGTTCTCAGCGAGAAGTGAAATAGTCCTATTAATATTAAATGCCCTTATCCATATGCTGAGAATGGAGATTTGGCGCTGGTTACAAAATACTTTCATTCACTTTGATAGTGGTTCAAGTTCGTTTATCGGGTAGAGTGGACACGCAGAGAATGCATTTTTAAAATTAATTTTCAATTCATGTGGAATTTTATACCTACTCTCGTCCATTGTTAAACTAAAATGCTTTCTGAATTAATTATTAACCACAATATTATGGCGTAAATTCTTTAGACTTTTTTAAACACGTTTTAATTAAAAACCAATTTAGAATTTACAGAAAAACTTACCAAAAACATAATTTATTTGATTCTGAATTTCTGAATCAGGAAAGGGTGGAATTATTAAATAAAATATATTATTTTTAATTAAATAGTTGTTACAGTTGCAAAATTTTTCAAATATAATTAAAAATAATTTAACTTTACAATAATATTACTGCAATACATTGACTGTATTTAATTTATTATTGTGTTTAATACTTTTTTTACTGTGTGGTCGTTCATATACCACGTGGGCGTGGGACAGTTTCGGGGGGAGGAGGATCAAAGCAAATGTCCAACACTGGGCCTCAGATATTACAACTTTTTCGACTTATTTTCAAAAATTGAGACTCTTTCGACTTTTCTTTCATATATTGCAACAAAATACCACAATTTTTTGTATAAAATTCAACTTATTTCGATTTTTACAGTGTCGAAAATTAAATAAAAAATAATTTAACAAATTTTAGAATAATTGAAATTTTGTAAAATTTAATTGAAAATACTTTTTTAAGTATAGGTACATATATTGTTTTAATTTTTATAAATTCTCCAAGAATTTTAATTGCAAATTTTGAAAATAATTGAATTCATTTTAATTTTTTAAAATTCAATTACTTTCAAATATGTTCAATTACATATTTCCGAAAATTCAATTTTAATACATAGGTACAATAAATAATAACATTAAAATTTTTAGAATCTTTTCTAACATTTTGGAGAAAACAATCATGTTCGAAATTTTTAATTAAAATTCTTCAAACAATCGATTATTTTTTTATATTTTTTAAAAATTCAACCATTTTTAATAGATTTAGGCAAATTTTAATTGTTTGGAAATTTTATTAATTATTGTATATGTATAATTATTGAGAAACTATTCTTCTTAAAAAATTATTTAAAAATATTTTTAAAAGATAATTTTAAGAATTTCTTTATATTATAATTTTTTCAAAATATTATGCCTTGATAACTTTTTGAAAAAACTTGGAAAGTTACAATTATTATAAAAAATTTCGAAAGGATTTAAATTGAAATTCTTTTAATGGAAAAACAAATAAGAAGTATTTAAATATTTATTTAACAAAAATTATTCAAATTTTGATTAATTAAATTTAGTGATAGGTGAAAGGTTAGGGAAATACAAAATAAACTTTTTGTGACCTAAGATACCTACAAAACTTTAAGATATTTTGAAATTATAATTGAAATAATGGAAAGAGAGCACAATTCATAAACTTAATCTTAGGCTAAGGAGGGAAATGTATTTTTATGCTTACCTTCAAGGCTTTGGTCGTATCCTTTTGTAAAAAATAACATAGCCTTAGCTGCCCTTTCGGGTGTCTTTAAGAGTCCTGGCCGATCCGGGTTTTCTCCAAGAGAATTTAAAAGTAGTTTATAACTTCGTGACATTTCTGGAAGTAATGCTTCTCTCGTTGGTGGCCGATGGTCCAACTCCAGGTCATGATGAAATGTGCATTTTTCATGTCCTAAACAAAAACAAATAAATGCAAATAAATCTTAACCTTTTATTTGACACATTAATAATTAGAAGCAGTAATCTTTGGGTGACTTTTTCATGATTTTTTAAAAGCAATAAAGTTGACCCTATCGGGGCATTTGAGATTGCGTTGTGACGAAAAAAATGAAAAAATGAAAATAAGGAAGTTTTCACTAAAAGATAATTCATGTCTAATTTAGTGTTGTTTCAATAAAAATGTGCTACTAGTGAGAAGGCATCAGAAGTTATCGCATATAGTTAACCGAACCGCTGGAGCAGACATCACAAATTGTCAACAAATTGCTTGTTATTTTACTGATAACTAACAACATCATTTAACAAAAGGTAATTAATTATTCACACATTCAATCTACTTATTTCAGACCTTATCCTTTTCTCGGATTCAAGAATAATGGCTAAAATCTTTCATTTCAAGCTATTAAAATATTTTTTCTGTCTCTTTATATAAATAAATTTATAATGTTTCGCTTAAAACTCATTTGCTGATTAATCAATAATTTAATGAATAAGTCTTCCACAGTTGAAAATCCAAAAGTAAATAACAATTTTCGAACTGAACTAAAAAAAGTTTCAGAACTTTTTAGACATGTTGTTACATGTATATATGTTATTGTTTCATTCTTTTTAAAAATATTTTAGCCGTCTCCCAATAAGGCTATACTTTGAAGATAGAAGCACAATCTATCTTCTTCTTTATTAATAATCGTAGTATTCCGGTAAAATGTCCGCAGTTTAAAGTTAGTTGCTGTTTGCTATTTTGTTTCCCAACTTTTTAAATAATTTTTCTTTTTAAATGTTTAAAATTTTTAAATTAATGTACTGAAAATCATTCAATTCTTGTAAAGTGTTTATAAAAAAAAATTGAAAATAATTTTAATAAAATTCTTTAGTCAATTTATAAATAATAAAAATCTTTGTAAAAAATTCAATTATTTTTATTTAAATAATAAAATTCTTATCAGGATTTCACTTATTTTCAATTTCATTCTCAAATGAAATTTTCCAAAAAAAAAATTCAATTATTTTTCAAAATAAATTTTTCACAGAAGTTCAATTATTTAAAAAAACTTTTAATAACATTCAATTCAAGAATTCAGTTATTTTGAAACATTTTTTTTAAATTCTTCGAAAGAATTCTACCAATAAATAGTAAATTTTTTACAGGAATTCAATTTTTTTAATACAATTTTAATAAAATTCTTCTCAAAAATTCAATTATTTTTTTAAATTTTTCAAAAATTCAATTCTTTGTTGAAATAATAAATTTTCACGCAAGGATACAATTAATTATCCTATAGAAATTTTATTAAAATTGTATCTGAAAATAATTTAATTTCTCAGAAGAATTTTATTATTTAAAAAAATAATTGAATTCTTGTCCAAATTTTTATACAATTTATAAAAGTAATTGAATTGTTTCGAAGAATTTTATCAGAATTGTTGAAAATAATTTAATTTTTATTAAAACTCTTTAAAATAATTGAATTTAAATATAAGATTTTTAAAAATAATTTTATTCTTTCGAAAATTTTTATTAAAATATTGTATGGAAAATAATTGAATTCCTCCGAAACATTTTATTATTTATAAAAATAATTGAATTTTTCTCCAGAAATTGAATTAAAATTGTATTCAAAATAATTGAATTTTTTAGAAGAATTTTATTATTTACAATAATAATTGAATTTTTTGAAGGAATTTTATTAAAAAATTTTAAAATAATATTTTTTGAAAAAGAATTTCATCAAAATTGTTGAAAATAATTGAATTTATATTAAAATTCTTGAAAATAGTCAAAAATTAATATTTTTAAAAATAATTGTATTCTTTCGAGAAACGTTATTAAAATTATTGTATTGGGAATATTTGAATTTCTTGTGAAGAATTTTATTATTTATGAAAAAAATGAAATTCTTGCGACAAATTTTATTAAAATTTTTGAATAATAATTAACAAGAATATTTACTATTATGTACTTAATAATTGGATTCTTTAAATTTTGAATTTGTAATCATTAAAAAATTGATGTTTATTCTTGAAAATATAAAATTGTTGAATTTAAAAAATAATAAGAAATGAAATACCTCGTTCCGCGCGCGTATCATTTGCTGGGGAAGAAATATAATGCGGAAAAATAAATTGACATATGTATCGCAATTACGAGCTTCAGGTGCGCGATTATGAAAGTTGCTACTTTAGCTCATTGACGATTTCATTAATATTTTTTCCACGAGTCTCAAATTTCTGATTTTCTTCTAATAAGGAATACAGAAAACACTGAATGCTTAGAAGTAATTTTTTTTATCACTTCTTAGTTCCAGGTTGATGGGAAACAAAGTGAAATGTTCACTTTCGTTTTTGGAGCTAATTGGAAACTAAATTCATCTGTTATTCGACGGGTCACAGACGGGTCATGACATTTGATAAGACTATCTTCCTTATTACTTATTATCTAAATAAATTTTGTAATGTTTTCCACTTTTATACTGGTTCGTTAAAAGGTGTTTTTAAACTGACTAACTTTTAAGAGAAATGGAACAAAAGTGCAGGCTGATAAAAGGTGAATAATTAGGTCATTAATGAAAAGGATATTTTTGGTATCTTTGCTCAAGAAAACTACCTAAGACTGACACTAGATATCTCGGAAACATTTCGCCGATAACTGGTGCTGAACTTTCTAAATTTTAAGTTATAAAATTTTAATTTCACTAATTTTCAGTCATTGCTAGTTCAAATTAATATTTCAACGTTACTAATTGAATTAGATATTTTTATAGATTGTTCTTATTATTTCACAATGATCTAATAAAATATTATTATTAATATTAATAATTACTAATTGGCCAGGAAAGTAGAATTGGTCTGGGAGAAAACATAGATTTTTATTAAAAGTACTGAAAAAAATTTAATTTTTAGAATTCATTAGAAAATTCTCAATTTTTTGTGTCTTTTTTGTTGGCTTCATAAATTATGAAATAACCACGAATTCTAATACAAATCCTTCAATTTTTTCTATTTCTTACAATAATTTCTTTTTAAATAACTTCATTATTCTTGAAGAACTATCATAAAATTATTACTTAGAAATTATTTAACAAATAATTTTACGTAAATATTTCAAAATTAATTGAATTTTAAGAGTTGCGCTTACAATTTTCATGAATAGATCAACTTCAAAAGGTTTCAATTTGAAAATTTAGAAAATTTCAATTTTGAATGAATTTCCTTAGAAATTTTAATCTGAGTTCTTTAGAACTCAGATTTTTTAAAAATTTCAATAATTTTAATAATTTTTACACTAAAAAAATATGGAATTTTTGAGAAGTTACAAATATAATTATTGCAGAAATTTAATTTATTGTTTTCGAAAGTAATAAAATTCTTTGCAGAAATTTAATTATGTTCAAAAATTTTTTAAAATTCTCGTCAAAATTTCAATTATCTTTATAAATAAAGAAATTTTCTTCTATAATTCAATTATTTTCAAAAATTTTAATAAAATTCTTGGTAAAATTACAATTATTTTCAAAAAATTTCCTCTATTGAATGATTTTTAATATCTACTATTTTAATAAAATTTTCCGAAAGAATTCAATTATTAAAAAAAATTGCAGAATTTCAATTATTTTTAATATACAATTTTAATCAAATTCCTCGAAAAATGTAATTATTCTTAAAAATTTTATTAGAATTCGTCAAAAGAATTCAATTATTTAAAAATTTGTTGATAAAATTTTTTATAGGAATTGAATTTTAAGAAACATTCAATTATTCAATAAATTATTTATTTTGATATTTAAATAATTGAATTCTAGTATAGAATTTTATAATACAAATTGATTTAAAAATATGAATTTCGTAAAAAATTATTAAAAATAATTGATTTAAAGAAGAATGTTGTTGAATTTGAAAATGGTTTGAATTTGAAAATTTTGAAAATCATAATTCCTATTTAAAAAAGAAGTTATTGACGTTTTCGAATAATTTTACAATTAAAGAAATTCGTAAATAAATGTAATAGAACATTTTTTCGAGTATATTCTTCAGGGTCAGGGAAAAAGTGAAAAAGTGACAAAGTTTGTCTGGTCTATGTATAGTTGCAACGCATAGTAAAAGTTAAGAAATTATTATGAAAAGTAAATAAATATTAGACACAATTAATTCTTTTAACCCTTTTCACTAGTCACTATATAAAATAATTGTTAATGACAAAACTCAATTGAAAGTCATTAATCATCATTATCATAAACACGTGTATAAAAATTTCTTTTGAGAACAACTAGAATTTTTAGACACATAGTTTAGTTTAATGCATATGCATGAATGAAAATTAAAAATTTATGACTTGGAGGAAAAGTGAGCTTTAAAAGTAATTTTCATCTACAATCTTTACAATTATGAATTTATCTTGTATAAGTATAAAATATGTTGTTCACATAAAAAGTTTATTTTTTCTTTTTTTTTCTTTTTTTTTTTGCAATTTAAGACAATCGTAACCTTGAACAGTTATATTTATTGAAGATCGTTTCTAAAGGCCCTGAAATTTTTCTTGATAGTTAACATTAACATTTTGTATATATAATTGCAAGGTGAATTATTATTATTATAATTAATTATTGAGATATTGTAATAGATTTCTGATAATTATTGCTGTCAGCAACGCATCATTTACAATTTTATAGTTATGCATAATGAAATAGGTGCTTTAAAATGCATTAAGTAAAAATTCTTAACTCGAGATAAAAGTGACAATTTTAAAAGAAATTTCAGATTCAAGTGGTTAGTTTCCGCCTGTCGAGTTGCAGAACCAATAACCACCTGTTGAAATTACTTCAAGCTTTATATAGAATAAAAATACTAACAGAAAATAAGGATTTGATTAGCAGTTCATACATTTCTAAAAAAAATTAAGTTTCACTTGATACAGGCTTCTTATTTCTTTTTTCACTGGAAATAAAAATTATAACTATAACCCTTCCGAAATTCAATTATTTTCTACAATTTTGAACTAAACTTCATCTCTAAATCAATTATATTATCTATATTAATTTTAAATAACTTTCCGAAAGTTCTTCGAGAATTCAATTATGTACTTCAATACAAAAATTCAATTTTTTATAATGATTGAAACTGTCCATTTTTCCTTTTAAAAAATATTAAGGTAGAATATTTTCAAAAATTTTAATAAGACTAAAAAAGTAAATTGTACAAAATTTTAATTTACTTTGTTCCAAAGAAACTGAATTTTAAAAAATTATGATGAAACAATTCGAATAATTAGTTTTTTATAAATATTGTTTTATGTAATTTTTCGAAAATAATTAAATTTCTAAAAAGAATTTTTGTATAATTTGAAAAAAACTAAATAATTTTTTGAAGTACCTATTTTAATTAAAGATTTTGAATATGATTATTTTTTCCGAAAAAAATTAAAGATGATTCTAAAAAATTGTCATGTTATTTATTATATATGTTTGAATTTTCAGAAATATGTAATCGAAAATATTGAAAATAATTTAATTTTAAAAAATTAGAATGAAAAAATTCTGAGAATTAGTTTTTTCAAAAATATTTTAATATTATTTTTACGACCTAATTTTCATTAATTTTCATTTCTATTAAATTTACACTTGAAGATTTTTCATTAAAATTTTTGAGAATTCAATTATTTCAAAAATTTTCAATTAAATTTTACAAAATTTCAATTACTCAAAATCTTTTTAATTGAATATTTCAAAAATTTAATTAGAAAAATTATTCAAAAATAACTTTTCAAAGATTTGTCGAAATGTCAAAATGTGGAATTTTACTGCAAAATTTGGAAGAAAAGTCGAAAAAAGTCGAAAAAGTCAGAATATCCGAGGCCTGCTTGATATTAAAGCAGATGATTGAAAGTAGAAAAAATTTTATTAACTATTAAAGTGGTTGATGAAACATTATTTAAAATAATTTAAATTCAATTATTTTTAATAGAAATTAAATTATTTTCAAAATTTTCAATTTAAACTATTTTAAAAAATTACATTATTTTTACAAAATTTAATGAAATTCTTCCAAAAAATGTAATTATTTACAAAAACTCTAATAAAATTGTTTAAAAGAATTTAATTTTCTTTAATTTAATTTTCTATTCTTCATAAAATTCAATTGAATTTAAAACTTTTAGTAAAAATTATTAAAAAAAACTTTATTATTTTCAAGAATGTTGCAATAAATTCTTCAAAACAATTCAATTACTTAAAAGAATTTTAGTAAAAATCTTGCCAAGAATTAAATTATTTTCAATACCTACAATTTTAATTACATTTTCTCGAAAGAATTCAATCATTGAAAAAAATGTTGACAAAATTCTTGACAAGTTGTTCATTTCATGACCATTTAGCTTCCTCAATATATAAATAGAAATTCGTGACGTAATTTACGTAAAAAATTTTAGCAAACTCCATCTAAACATATGTATAAAATTAAATTTATCCCATAGAATCGGTAACATAGAATCGGTGAAATTTACACTTTCATATGCCAATTGCTTCTTTTTTTATGATAGAATAATCATTTCAAAATATTAATATTAATATTAAATAAATTATGAAAAAAGGGGCCGTTCAAAAAATACGTAACGCTATTTTTCGGAAATTTTTTTCCGAAAAAATATTAACAAATGAAAAAATTATTTCAAAAAATACAAAAAAAAAATTTTTCTGAATTTTAAAAAAATTGTATAAAAAAAATGTTTGTAGATATTTTCGAAAATTCTTGTGTCAGATTTTAGGTATTAATGACTGCAATAAACCTGCAAAATTTCAGGACAATCCATTGAAATTTGTCTGAGATAATTTGTACACAATTTTTGTGACATACACACACATACATCTGGACATTTGCTCAGAATTGAATATACATATGTTCTAAATGAAAATGAATCCAAGTTTATAAACTTCTTTTGAAAAATTGAAAATTGTCACGAATGCAAAGCTTCCTTATGAGGAAGCAAAATGAATTCAATTATTTTGAAAATTTTTTATAAATACTTTTCAAGAATTCAATGATTTTCAGTATATATCGACAATTTAATTATTTATGAAAACAATTGAATTCTTGAATAAAATTTTATTAAAACTTTTTTAAATAATTAATTCTTTGCAAAAAAATTTATCATTTCTACAAATAATTGAATTTTTGCAAAATTTTAAAAATTAAGGGAATTTTTGAGAAGAATTTTATAAAAATTGTCTTTAAAATAACTGAATTCCGGTGAAAAATTTACTATTTATTAATATTATTGAATTCTTTCCAAGAATTTAGAAAAAAATGTTTAAAAATAATTAAATTTCCCCTGGAATGCAATTAAAATTGTATTTAAGATAATTAAACTCCTGTGAAAAATTCCATTATTTTTTGGAATAATAATTGAATATTTTTGTAAAATTTTTACAAGATTTTTAAAAATAATTGAAATTATTCGAAAATATCATTTGAGAATGAAATTGAAAATAAGTGAAAGCCTGATAAGAATTTTATTATTTAAATAAAAATAATTGAATTTTTTACGAAGATTTTTATTATTTATAAATTGACTAAAGAATTTTATTAAAATTATTTTCAATTTTTTTTTATAAACACTTTACAAGAATTCAATGATTTTCAGTGCATTAATTTGAAAATTTTAAACATTTAAAAAGAAAAATTATTTAAAAAGTTGGGAAACAAAATAGCAAACAGCAACTAACTTTAAACTGCGAACAGTTTACCGGAATACTACGATTATTAATATAGATCATTTTGCTCTTAATTATAAGAAAGTAGATTACAATAGTCTAAAATTTAACAAATTACAAGTAAATTAAAATACCCGAAAACATAAATAAGAACGGTAAATTAAAACAACAAATAAAGATATAAATGTAATTAACAAACATTGAAATAAAAAGAATGATTATGGATTCTAAAAAAAATTAAAATTTTAGTACAAAAGATGAAGAAAGAAAAGAAACAAGAAAAATTTATTTGATTCAAATAAAATGACTTGTCTATTATCAAATATATATTTACTTGAATCAAATAATTTTCATTTGAGTCAACTAAATTGTATTTGAATCAATAATTTCAGTATTTGAAGCAAATACAATTTAATTGACTGAAATAAAAATTATTTGGTTCAAATATGTAAATATTTAATTGATAATAGTCAAATAATCGATTATTATTTGAATCAAATTTTTGTTCAGTGTAATGAATTACTAGATAAATATATTTTAAATAAAAACGAGCGAAAATTCTTACGTAATTAATAAATAACTTTGCAGAAAAAATTTTTATGAACAAATTAAAAATGTTTTTTAAAAAAAAAAGTGTTCTCTTTTTCTATTAGTTAAAAAATTGATAGCTTTAAATAAAAAAAGCATTAACAAAACCTGTAATTAAGAAATAAGGAAACATAAAATTTTCCTTCCCGGAAAGTGAATATTAAATACCTGGAGTAGTGGAGGTTCTTGGTGTCCTAGGTGTTCCAGGAATATCCAATTCAGAGGCTTCCACGTTTTCACTCCAGGAAACATTTCTCAGTGGTCCGGGTTTTTTAACTGAGTCATCTTTATTGTAAATCTTGTCAGACTTAACTTTGGTGCACTGTCCAGTAGTACCATTCATATTTACCTTTCAATTCACAAAACATATAATTTTCACTGAAAATATAAACATTCATAAGATTATACATCTGATATTATGAAAGTAAATTGTTTTGTTAAATAGTGCATTGATAATTTTAAATTCCTTTCAATCTAAATGAGAGCGAGATTCAACTGCTTTCATATGAAAATAAGTAATATGGAATTTATTCAAAAAATTACAAGCCTATTTCCAATTATAATGAAAGAGAATATAGTTATTATAGGAAATAGAGAGGAAAATTATTTTCCTTGACAAGTGAGTTGATATTACAGAAAAATAGATACAAAGTTTTTATTTTTTGGGTAAAATAACGAATAACGAATAACGAAAAACGAAAATTATATTATCAATTGTTTTTTTTACAATTTTACAAATTAAAGGTTTCATTTAATTTTAAGCATAATGTTTGTTCTGAAAAAAGCGGTGATCTTAGAGAAAAATTACTTAGTTTAGACGCTTAATTGCATTTAAAATGAATATTTGAATAGTAAACTAACCGTGAAGTAAAGTAAAAATGTTGGATGAGAGTAAACTATTACGAAAATTGCAGTTAAATATCAGAGAACAGAGTAACACGACGTCGCTCGCTTGAGTGGCGCGGTGCGACTGATCAGTGATCACGACTGATTCATTTCAAACCTGAATCAAAGTTCTGCCGTGCGGTCTGGTTTAGTTTCATCTCAGCGCATATTAGTTTTATTTCGTGATACAATTCTATTCTCTGCTGCCCAAAAAGCAATTTTTTATTTTCTTCCCCTTTTTTCACTTTTATTTCTTGAGGGCAAACTCAATATTTAATTGCATTACACAATGTGAAATTGATTTTTTGAATGTCAATCAAATAGTTTTTTCCTCCCAAAATTGAATTAAGAACAAAATTGATTACATTTGATTTGGAAATTTTTTTTTTTTCTTTTTTCTTTTTTGCTTTTTTAAAGGCACTTACAGAGTAGAATAAAAGTCGTGTTTTTTTCATTCTTCGAGAAAAAGGGAAACAAGAATCGATCTCGGGTTTTCCCGCTGCTACGAGTCCTGATGTGAAGGTGACTAATTACTCACGTACTGCTCTTATTCTTAGGAATCAATTTACAAAATTATTCTTTTATAATCAAACTGGAACGATTATATTGATTATATTGTAACAAAGAGACACTTTTTTGGTATAAAATGCATCTTATTTTAATTTTTATACGGAAAGAAAATAAATATTAAATTTTGTGAAAGTAGTTTACAATTTGGGGAGAAAAAGCCGCAAAGCGAAATTTTGATATAAAAAATACTAAACTTTAAAAAAATTTATGTCAAGTTTAGTTTAGTTTTGTCTTTTGTTTTTTAATATCTTTATAGATATATTATATGTTATATTATTTTATTATATCATAATGTAATGACAATAAATAAAAATCATCAGAATTTTTTTCACTTCTCTTCATTAAAAGACTAAAATGTTGTTAAATATTGTGTTTTGTCAAATTGAAATTATGCAGATTTTTGTTCTTTACCTCTAAACAAAATTAGAAAATTGTTAAACAACTGTGATTAAGAAATAGAAAATTTATTTTAACAAAATTATTATTTTGTTTTAGAAAAACAAGAAAAATATTTTCCACAATTCCTATTTTTAATCTTATTTTTGGAACAGGATTTTCACAGGAATTTAAGACATTTAAAAATTTCAAATTCAAACCTTTTTTAAATATTAAATTAAACAACTTATAAAAGTATTGTTTGTTATAAAACATGAAGATATCGATTGCTCCGAGAAATAAAATCATTATTTTATATTATAAGAATATTGTTACTGTAACTTCATCAAAAGTATTTTCATCATTTTAATTCAATTATTATTTTCTAGAATTTTAAATTATTTTTTATGAAAATAATAATTGAATTCCTTAAAAAAATTTTATTATTTATGAAAATAATTAAATGTTTGCATACAATTTTATTAACATTTTTTTTAAATAATTGAAATTAGGACAAGAGTTTTTTTTAACATTTATGAAAATAATTGAATTTTGGAGAAGAATTTTGTTATTTATAAAGAATTGTGACGCTCCACGGTGAAAGGAACCTTACGTGACAAAAAATTAATTTTGAGTTATTTATATCATTCTATAATTTTTGAGTTGCTCTTTCATATACAGAAAGCAAAAATAATTTCTACTTACAGGTTCTTTTGTTATTAATGTTTAAAAATGAGCTTGTTGAGTGTTTACACGTGCTTGTTCAGAAAATCAGCCCCTCTACTTTTCAATACTACTACACTGGTCATGTACGTACAATTCGTGCGCTTCGTGTAACACGGACAGCTATCAATGTGTAGTGAGTAGTGGGACTGATTTTCGCTAAAGTATCTCAACCAATCGGAACACTCGACTTTAAATGCTTTTCCTGAAAAATCAGCATTTGTCACGTTAGGTCCCTTTCACCGTGCGTGGAGCGTCACAGATAATAATTGGAATTTTTAAGAGAATTTTTTTCAAATTTTGAACATAGTTGAATTTTATAAGAAGAATTTTATTATTTTTTTTTTATTTTGAAAATAATTTAATTTCTGCAATTATTTGTAATTTCTCCAAATTCTATTAATTAACTTTACTAAATTTCATATAATTTCTTTTTTATACAGAAATTTCGTCTTGTCGCATTTTCTCCCCAAATTATAAAATACTTTTACAAAATTTAATATTTATTTTTTTAATTATTTAGGGTCAACATTGTTTTTAAAAAACTTATTTAAGATACTTTAATTTCAATATGTAATGTAAATTCGATGAATAAGGTAGAAAATCTTTTAAACTTTTAAAAAATATAATTAGAAACGTTTTAAATAATTGATGAGAGTTTGAAAAACTATTATTGAAAATAATTGAAATAGTTCATCAAAATTTTTAAAATCAAATTTTTAAAAATTTTAATTGGAAATTTTTAAATAATTTAATTCTTAATAATTATAATAATATATAAAATGTCTTTAACAAAAATTTAAAAATAAAAATAAATAAAAGTTAGCTTAAAATATTTGCAAAAACCAATAATTCCCACAATTTTTAGTTACATAGTTTCAGTAAATATTAATAAATTTAAAAACAAAAGACATGAAGAGTTACAGTTTACAATTATTAAGTATATAAAAAATTGAATTTTCGTATTGAAATAATTGAACCGCAGGTGACTAAAATATTTTTTACTTGAAAAAAACGCGTTAGCTCGTTTGGTCGATAGCGGTTCAATTACATTTTAGAGGAATTTTCGAAAATTACTTAAAATAATTGATTTAGAAAAAAAGGTTTAATTAAAAATTCTAAAAAAATAATTACATTTTGGAAAAGGTAAAGTTATAATTTTTACAAATAATTAAATTTTAGAAAATTTCAAATTTAATTGTTAAAAATTGTATGTCTTGTGGAAAAATAGAAAACAAATTATTTATTGAACAATATTCATGTTTCGCTTAGTTAAACATGTATAACTAGTCTTTTTAGATAGATGTTTATTTGTCAATTTCAAGAAAATAATATTTGAGAGTGAAAAATTAAATTTGTAAAACTTTGTGATTTTAAAAAGTTTCGATTTTTTAACAAATTTATTTTTTTGAAAAGTGAAAAATTTGTAAGTCAGTTAAGAGTTATCTTTTCGAAATTTACATAGTGTAATATGATTTTAGCTATTGAAAGAATGTCAAAAAAAAATTGATTGCTCTAAATGAGGTCAATTTAGATTGTCTTAAATTTTACTGGTGTTACTTTAAAAATTAAACTGCTTCCACATTATTTTTTAATAGTTTTCGTTGCCGAATTTTTTATAATCTGTTTTTATGATTCTGTGAACAAACAAGCATACTTATGTATTTTGAAAATTTTTAATTTTTTCAAAGCATAATATTTCGAAAGCGGGCTAAAATAATTTTTAAAAAATTGTTCTATAATGAAGAATATACCCGAGACTTCCATTTGAAACGAACAGAATGAAGTAACTGGATACTTACATGTATTGCCTTAAGAAACATGACACGTCAAAATTAAATTAACTTAAATTTTTTTATATAACAAAATTATATACCTAACATAATTAGAATTACTGGAGATTTTAAAATGCACTTCTTCTTACCCCCCCCCCCCTCTCCATTTTGAAACAATGAAAAAATGTAATATCGCCTAAATAGATTTATACGAAAATTCCAAAGTAAATTGTGAGGTATTAAAAAGTGATGCAACATTAAATTTACACCGAAAAAGATTAAAATAATCCATTTTAAGCTCAAAATTATTGCCCTGTAAGTAAAAAATTAAACTGTTTTTAATCCCAATTTTTTGAGAAACATCTTGGTAATCTTTATACAAATACAAAATGTTTTCAAGAAATTGAAATTTGAAATCCTTTTTTCAATTTAGAGTCTCTAAAACTTATAACCGGTTCTTTGATTGGGACCCTCAATTAGGCTTAAATTGAAGCTACAACTAGCAACTAAATAAATCGAATCGAAAAAGCCTTGAACCAATCCAAAATTATAATGTACACTGCTGTCGGGAATTATCGGTACGGCTGTACGCGCACGGCCCAAAAACATACCAGTCTTTAAATCACGATTTTTTTGTAAATACAAATGTCAGAAAATTAACAAATATACCGTTCGAAAGATAATTAAATTCTACGATTAATGATACATAACTGAAAATTTTAATAATTTATACAAAGATTGCAGCAATCGACAAATTTGACAAAAAAATTTTAAAAATAAAGTTTTTTTGGAAATTTTTTCAACCCCTGCACATTTTTTAAAAATTGTAGAAAAATTTTAAAACTTACATAAGAGTGATCATTTAAGTCTCATCTTTAATTTAAGACCAAGAGAGTTCAAAAATCTTAATCGGTTAGCGAAATATCATTATAAACGGCCGAGTATTTTCAGCCTAAAATCGTTCAAAATCGACTAATTTAATGCATTTGTCAAAAAACATGCTCGGACGTTTATAATAATATCTCACGAACGGAATAAGATTTTTAAACTCTTTTGGTCTTAAATTAAAGATGAGACTTGAATGATCACACTTATGTAAGTTTCACATTTTTTCTACAATTTTTAAAAAATGTGCGGGGGTTGAAAAAATTTCAAAAAAAAATTTATTTTTTAATTTTTTTTGTCAAATTTGTCGATTGCTGCAATCTTTGTATAAATTATTAAAATTTTCAGTTATGTATCATTAATAGTAGAATTTAATAATCTTTCGAATGGTATCTTTGTTAATTTTCTGACATTTGCATTTACAAAGAAATCGAGATTTATAGATTGGTATGTTTTAAGGCCGTACGCGTGCAGCCGTACCGATAATTCCCGACGGTAGTGTACTTTTTCACATTTATAGTTTTTGGTGTTCCACTGTATGTAATTTATTGTACATAAAAATTTATTATAGATAACAATTTTTTTCTCTGCTAATTTTGGGAATTGTAACTTAATTAGATAATTTTTCCTTAGAAGAGAGATATTGACGAAAAATTGAAATTTGAAGCCGAAATAATATTTAGTAATTCTTGAAACATGACATTGTCAACATTTATTATATCAATTATAATAGGCATTCTTTTATTATAAAATATTAATTTATTTCTAAAATACTATTTTAAGTATTTAAGACTTCTACTTGTAGCATAGATGCAGAAAGGAAATCTTACAAAATAGTAGTTGCAGGTATAGCTTTAGTTTTAATTGTAATGTTTAATTATTTATAATTTAATTATATTAAAGCAATTAATAAGGAAGAAAACTAATATAAATACATTGTTAAACACTTATCTCTCGCTTAATTTAAACATCAGTTCTTTTCCTATAAGTAACAAAAAGTCTAACTTAATAACAGAAGAAACGAAATAATAATTCTTTCCTAAAAGATATATATGTGTACACGAGAAAAATGCTGCTAGAGATTTGCAAAAATCAGTGCCATCGCATCGGCGCTCTCTTCGATTACAAATCTTGGCAGCATTTCTCGCCCTGAAACTGATGATGAGTGAATCACTCGTTTAAATAAAAAAAAGAGAGAGAAAGAGAGCGAAAGAGAGCACTGCTGGTGAAACGTGATTTTAATATCCCTCTACCAACATTTCTCCTGCGTATATACATATGTACATATTTTTGTGTATATATATACACTCTCGGCGCCAGATTAATTTCTGCAATTTCTGCAATTTCTGCACTGATTACAAGGTTGCTGATAATAATACACACGAAATTTCATGTATGGATAACATCTTCGCCGTCGTTTTCATCACTTTGGTTCAGTGATACTTTTGCCACATTACTCGAAACTTAACTTTAAGTCGGATGCTAATGATTACGTTGGGCAAGGACTGCGACGTTGCATTCTGAAACAATATTAATGTTCATATTATGTACTTCAATTCCATTTGTTTACTATTCAATTTTACGAAATTTCGATTATTTGGAAATTCTTCAATTAAATATTAAAATATTAAAAAATAAAAACTTCAAATATGTAGTTTCAAAAAAATTAGTTCTATAAAATTAATAATTAAAATTATGAAACCTTTTCAAAATTCAATTATTTCTAAAAATTTACGATATAAGGCTTTTAATATTCAATTATTATCTAAAATTTTAACTGAAATTCTTTTTTAAATCAATTTATTATTAGAAAATTCAACGAGACTTCAATTATTTAAATACGAAAATAAATAATTTATCGAATAACTGAATGTTTCTCAAAAAAATTGAATTTTAATAAAGAATTTTATTAAAAAAATTTTAAAATATTAAATTCTTTTCACGAATTTTAAAACAATTTTAAAGAATAATTTTATTTTTCTTTAATTTTCTTAAATTCGATTAAAATTGTATTAAAAACGATTGAAGCCTGTAAAAAATTTAATTTTCTTAAATACTTGAAATATTGCAAATAAATTTATAAAAAATTTGTAAATAATTGAATTTCAGTGAAATTTTTATTATTTATAAAAGTTTATAAAAATAATTAAACGTTTCCGTAAAATTTTATTACTCTTGAAAATAATTGAATTTCTGCAATCATTTGTAACTTCTCCAAAATTCAATTTTTTTTAGTGTTTTTAACTAAGATTCTTCTATAAATCTATTATTTTTAATAACTAATTCAATATATTATATTGAAAAATTTAATAATTTCAGAAGAATTTGAATTATTAAAATTTGTCAAAAATTTAATTTCTTTAAAATTTCTAATAAAATTGTGATAATTTCATAGTTTATAGACACAAAAATTCAGAGTTTTCTCAAGAATTCTAGAAAATGAATATTTTTCAAATTCAAAAAAATTCAATAACTTTAGAAAACAACAATTTTCCAGGATTCCGATCAAAATTCCCTGACTTTTCCAGGTTTTTTTAAAGGTTTATAAAATTCCCTGACATTTCCAGCTTTTCAGGTTGCGTGGCAACCCTGATTAAATAAAAACATAAAGTTTATGTTAAATGTACGTTCAAATAATCCTTTGTTCTGAAACTTTTTTTAAGTAATTCAATTCTCATTAAAAATCAAAGAGGATCAGTTTATATTTTCCGCTAGTTTTAGTTAAAATGAAAAACTCTAGCTTTTAGTTTTCACCGTCAGTTTAAGACAAGCAGTACTCGTTGATACACAATGAACTACTTTTCACCCCATTTCGCCCTATATTTGAAAAAAAATAATTGACCTCAATTCATACAAAACTGCGAACTAGAAATGTCGTTTACAATTAGAATTAAAGCCTAAATGACTTGACATAATGGAACTTACTTTCTCTTTTTCACTTGTCCAGAATGAAATCGTCCTCCTTCACCTCGAATTCTATTCATGGCATGGCGATGTCTGGATTCATGTAGGTATTTCTAAAAGCAAAACATTATAAATAACATTAAAAATGTGTAGATCTAGAATCCAAATTGGATAAAACAATGTGCTATTTGATATTTAAAGAAACTCACCGGTCGTTCTTTTGGTATCTTCCCTTCAGCCTCTAATTTTGCTCTTGCTTGTCTGCGCTTTAAAATACGCCTATATTGTTTAGCATTCACGTAGAGAGGTTCTTCTTCCAAAAATTCTGCATTCGGCAACGCGACTCTTTGAAACTGAGGTTGACTACTATTTCCAGGGACCATCTGTGCAAAAATTACTAATTAGCCAAACCAAATGGTTGCGATTAACAAGCATGGGCAAACATGACAATTAACGGAATCGAATTTTACGACTTGTTATATGCGATTTACGTATGCGAAAACCAAAAGTATTTCACTCTGACGCTGCTATTTAAAACTATGAATAAAAAAGTTCTTATTAGAAGATGTATTTTCGTTGTTGACCAGAATTATTTGTAGTGAAAATGATGTGTTTTTTTGCTGGTTCTTACATGAAAAGTACGTCTTGTAAAAATTTTGATATTTCTCAACTATTTGTTTTGAATAATTTAAAAATGTTATTTTGCACTTGAAACATTTAGCTTTAGAGTTTATTGAATAATTATTGTGGATCGCATTTTGCTTACAGAATGTCTAATAAATTACTTGGAATTTGAAGCTTTTGAAGTAAACTTTCATCGCTCGTCGACATATAACAAAATTCGTAATTTGCTATTGCTCCATGATCACAAGTCCGTGTAATTTGTACACGAACATTGTGAATTAGAGACTTTGCCTATAGTAATCACCATGACTATATTTCCTGCCTGTGTTGTTGTTGCAGTTGGACTCGACATAGGTTGCACTGGAGTCGTTGTAGGTGCTGAAGATGCCGTCTGTGCTGTCGACCCTCCAATTTGCATTAAATTCCCATTGATGTTTATAACTGCAACATAGTTCTTTCGTCAAATATTTATTTCTATATTCTATTAACGATTAGAAAACAATCTCAATTCTCAAGTATAACTGAATTCAAATTATCCATTTTAATCAAAAACAACATACATTTTCCATTATTGACACAGAGCCAAGAACCAGACTATGACTAAATAACATTTAAAACTTCAAAATCTTTCTATATTATTTCTTAGAGTTTTTAAACTTGGCAATTTGTTCATAAAAGGTAACAAATATAAATTAACTTTTACTTCTAAAAAAAATCCGCATATAATTTGGAATTTTTGACAAATTCTATTATTTCCACAATAGATTTGACTAAATTCAAAGTATATTTCACTAATTTTCAATCAAATTTACGACGGATATTATAAAATTTGTAAATTTTAGATACTATTTTTAAAGTAAAGTTTTTTCTAATTTTTATAAAAAAATTGTCTTTGAAAATAGTAAAAGTCATTCTGGAAATAATTTTCAGGGTTGTCACGCTTTTGCTCTTTTCAAATTCCCTGACTTTTCCAAGTTTTCCAGGTTAAAAAAAACTCCCTGATTTCCAGACAAAACTTTGACTTTTTCCCTGACTCTGAAGAACTTTATTTTTAAATAAATATTTAATAATTATTATTTTTTCCTATAAATTAAGAGTCGGAGTGATCGCTTTCTTCATGTTTTATAATAATTAAAACTTGCTACTTTGTTACTGTAATTTCTTCAAAAATTATTTTCATTATTTCGATTATTTATTTCTAGAATTGTCAACTAAAATTCTTCTTTAAGTCAATTTTTTTAAAATAATTTTTGAAAAAGTTCTTTGAGAATTTTCAAAATTCTTTTGTTTACAATTTAATTTTACGAAATTTCGATTATTCGGATATTCTTCAATTAAATATATTAGAAATTAAAGACTTCTAATAATTAAAAAAAATTATTCAATTAAACTTTTTGAAAAAATAATTCTACAGAATTCTTAATTAAAAGTATGAAAAGTACAAATTTTCAAAGATTTTAATTTGAAATCTTCTGAAAATTCAATTATTTCTAAAAATCCACGCTATAATGCTTTCAATATTCAATTATAATCAAAAAATTTTAACTGAAATTCATTTTTAAATCAATATTTATTAGAAAATTCTACGAGAATTCAATTATTTAAATACAAAAATAAACAATTTATTGAATAATTGAATGTTTCTTACAATTGAATTTTCATTTAAAGAATTTTATCAACAAATTTTTATAATAATTGAATTCTCTTGACAAATTTTAATAAAATTTTTAAGAATAATTTAATTTTTCGAGAAGTTTGATGAAAATTCTATTAAAAATAATTGAAATTCTGCCAAGAATTTTGAAAGAAATTGAATTGGAACAAAGAATTTCATTAAAATTATTAAAAATAATTTAGTTCTTTGAAGAAATTTAATTACAAATGTATTGAAAAAATAGGACGGAAAAGTTTTTTAAAATAATTGAATTTTTTTGACGAATTGTAATAAAATTTTTAAGAATAATTACATTTTTCGAGGAATTCTATTAAAAATGTATTGAAAATAATTGAAACACTGAGTAAAGAATATATACTTAATTCAAATACAAAAATAATGTTAGATGATTTTGTTTAATTGAAATTAGTTTGTACTGCTTTGATTTAAACAAAAAATATTTTAAAAAATTTTTTGTTTGATTCAAACTTAAAAGTTGATTGTGAATAATTTAAAATCAACCATAATTTATGTTTGAATTAAATATGTTTAACTGTATAACAAAGATGTTCTAAGTTTGATTCAAACAAAATTCCGTTTGGATCAAATAAATCGTTTTCTCAGTGAAGTCTGCGATGAGTTTCATTATTTATGAAAATAATTGAATCCCTGTAAAAAATGTTATTATTTATGAAAATAATTTGTAAATAATGCTCCATAAACGATTCAATTGTATTTCAATGCAAAATCTCAAAAGGTTTTTAAATGCGAAGAACAGTACACTTTCAGATGATGCTACGAACTTTTAGAAAAAAATTCTCTTTTGATGTTACAAGACTTCAAAAATGACTAAAAACGAGTATTTTACACTTTTGGGTCACAATATTTAAAAAAAATTGACGTTCTGGAGCAATTCGGACGTCAAAAACCATCGGAAAAATATTTTCGAATTCTTGGTTCTGTTATTCATAAAATCTTAACTAAAAACAAGCAAAAAGTCCATTGCGTACTTAATTAAAGAAAAGTGGAGCGTGAGCATTAAAATAAGAAGAATGGAAGTGTGAAGTATTAGTCCTTCTTTCGCACACACAGTTGGATACGCAATGTTTAATACAATCTACAATAGAAAAAATTTATTACCAGTGGGTTGTTGGGTTTGTTGAACTTGACCTTCCAATTGAACGGGCTGGTAAATGTAGGTTTGCCCATCCGGAGTTTGAATGATTTGTGGAGTTTGCGGCTGCTGAATGACAATCTGCTGCCCTGTGCCTGCCAAACTCGAAACAGGAACTACTTGAATTTGTCCGTTTGGAGCAGCGACTTGAATAGTCTGAGGAAGCATCATTGTCTGTCCAGCTTGATTCATCTGCACCACTTGCACCGTGCCTCCTGCACCTCCAACCATCACCGCTTGGCCCTCGCCAAGCTGATCCATGGCAGGTTACTGCCAAAAAATTAACGAAAAGTCAAGGTCATGTCATTTCAATTCCCTTACTTTAATTTCTTCTCAGTTTGAGAGAAAAGTTTTTAACAACATCGATTGCAATGTACATAGTAACGAGGCTTATTATGTACAATAGTTCGACCCCATGTGCACTTTTAAGTTTTTTCTATTGTGTGTACTCAATTTTTAATCATTAGTAGGGTTGCCACACAACCTGGAAAACCTGGAAATGTCAGGGAATAAGTCAAATATTTCAAACTTAATTTCAAAAGAATTCCATTATAAAACAAAATTTGAATAAAATTCTACGCAAACATTCAATTATTTTCATAAATAATAAAATTCATCGCAGAATTTCAATTATTCTTAAAAATTTTATTAAAATTCCTCAAAGAAATTCAATTATTTTAAGAAGCCTTCCTATAATTTATTTATTAGATTTCAAGTATTATTGTCAATACATTTTTAATTAAATTTCTTGAAAGAATTAAATTTTCAAAAATTTTAATGAAATTCTTTTTAACAATTCAATTTTTTTTTCAAAATAATTTTAATAAACATATTTGTAGAAATTTTCAAAAAGTTTAATGGAATTTTTTTTTTTATTTATTTCAAGTCTTTAATTTATTGATAATATATTCAATTGAAGAATTTCCGAATAATCGAAATTTCATAAAGTTTAATTGTAAACAAATAGATACGAAAATCTTCAAAGAACTTTTTCAAAAATTATTAAAAGTAATTAATATAATTTAAAGAAGAATTTTAGTTAAAAATTCTGGAAAACAATAATTGAATTGAATTGAATTGATGAAAGTAATTTTGAATAAGTTACAGTAACAATATTCTTATAATATAAAATATTTATTTATTTGCTAAACAAACGAGTGAAAAGTACAAATAATGATATAATAATAATTACAAATAATAATAAAAGTAAAATAATGATTTTATCAGTCGGTTATTTTTAATTATTTATAAAACATGAAGATATCGATTGTCTAATTTCAGAAAGGTTTGACTTTGAAATTTTTGAAAATCTTATCATTCTTATACCTAATGACTAATTATTTAATTTTTTAAAATATAGTTTTAAAAACCTGGAAAAATTCCGTTGTTTAATCTGGAAAACCTGGAAAAATATGGGAATTTGAAATGAGGAAAAGCGTGGCAACCCTGATTATAATTATATAGTAATTAGGAGTAGTGAGAAAATATGAATTAAAGAATGTAATGGCGTAAATTGTTGAGAATGTAGATAACAATTTTCTAACTCATTGATTATTTTATGGGAAATGAATTGAATAAGAAAATATCGATTACTATTCGTATGTAAATTGCGTCAGAATATATATAGGTGCACGCACACTGGCATTCTTTTCATATAGTAGTGGGAGGGATGTAGTTGTAGTAAGAGAAATTATGTTTTTCAGATTAACAACATATGTTATATACAAATATAAACTCTACTTGCCTTTTTATAATATATTTAACTCACATGTTTTACATTATAGTTACTTTTTTCACTTAAAAATAGATGGAATTTTTTTCAAAAAAAGGTGATCAAACAAACAACGAATTAAAATATCATTTAAATTTCGTTTCCTTTTTCTTTGATCTGAATTTGTTTCCCTCTTTTAAAACAAAGTGCAGTTAAAAATAAATTTTTTTACATTTACGTATGAAAAATCTGAATTTCACCATTTTAAGGGTAGTTTTTTCTAATTTTAATAAAAACTAATGGTAACGTTTCAATTCTGACGCTCATTTTGAGTTTTTAAAACAAAAATACAGAAATGTATGCTTCCTTTAAAAAATTAATCTTTTTTCTCATTTTTTTCCTGTTAAGGGTATGTATAGTTTTTTTTAATTTTAACAAAAACAAAAGGTGATGTTTTAATTCTGACATTGTTTCTGAGTTGTTGAAAACGAAATATATAAATTATATGAATGGATTTTTTCAAAAAACAAAATAAGATCTCACTAAAATTACGCAAATCCAAACAAAATAACATCATAATATAAATTTATTATTGGTTCTGTTTAAAAAAATCTATTATCTCATTTATTTGACTTTAAAGTTTGGATTTGCACATTTAATAATTTACTTATTTAAATACAAAAACTCAATTTTTTATAATAATGGTAATTGTCCATGTTTTTTTCTCAAGTTATTAAAATCTAATATTTTCAAAAAATTATAATAAAGAAATTGTTAGAATTAATATTCTAAAAATATTTTTAAATAATTTTTAAAAAATTAATTGTTTTTGAATTATATACCTACAATTGAAAAATTTGGTAAAATCTTTTTAAAATAATTCAATTTTTGAAAAATATAAATAAAAATAATCAAATTTCTGAAAAAATTTTAATTGTAAATAATATGAACATGATTTCTTCTAAATTTAATGGAAGATTTAAACAGTAAATTTAAAAAAAATTTAATTTACTATGTTCTAAAATAATTGAATCTTAAAGAATCATAATAAAATACTTCTAAGAATTAGTTTTTATATAATTGTAATGTAATTTTTCGAAAATAATTGAATTTTTTAAAAGAATTTTTGTATAATTTAAAAAAACTAATTCATTTTTTGATGAATTTTAATACAAAATTTTAACTTAATTTTTATCTCCAAAATGTTAAAAATAATTCTAAAATGTTATTATTTTTTGTATGTATTTGAATTTTTGGAAATATGTAATTAAAAATACTGAAAGTATTGAATTTTAAAAAAGTAGAAGCTAATTTTCATTAATTTTCATTTTTAAATTAAAGATTTTTCATCAACATTTTTGATAATTCAATTAATTTCAAAATTTGCAATTAAAATTCTTCAAAAGTTGATTTTCCAAAATTGTAACAAAATACTTGAAAAAATAAATTATTTTCAATTAAATTTTATGAAATTTCAAGGATTCAAAAAGATTTTTACTGTAGATAAATTTAAGAAATTTAAATATATTAAACAATGATTCAAAAATTGTAATAAGTTGCATTTTATACTAAAAAATGTGATTCGTTACATCGCTCCTATAGAATTTTTAAAAAATGATTCGATCTTAATGTAGTAAAGTTTATTTTCTTCAAAACATGATTTTGAAAATATGCTTATTTGTTTAAACAAAGTCACACATTAAAATCGACTCATTTTAAAAAAATTTTGTATACAGTGGAACCTCGATTATTTGAATCTCCGTTGTTCGATTCTCTATTATCGGAACTGAAAATCATTTTATCCGAACTTTTTCGTCATCTTAAACACTAATTTTCAATTTTTACATGTAATGGTTAAGAAATTTCATAAAAATAAAGAAATTTTATTGACTGACCATGGATTTTTACTTTTTTTAATACCACTGTAAATACAGTGGTATTTACATTAATTTATTCAGTGATTCAACTTTTTTGTTTTGCAGAATTTAAAAAAAATTTAAATCGTTTGTTCTCAATATGTACATCAAAAAAATGGGAAAACATTGCCAACAAATTTAGTTTTATTTATTTTATAATAATTGATTATTATTTATTAATAAATTAGTTTTAATATTCAGAATGAAATCAATTATTATTGTTGTATACTTATCATTTAAGTACATTTTTAAGGTACTTGATTTATTATGTCAAAAAATAATAATTAATTAAAATAATTAAGTACCTAATACTTAATTATTAAAACAGGTTACGAGTTTATAAAGAGAAAAAGTTAATCTTTATTAAATAAAAAAAGTAAATAGTTACTCAATGCTTTTACACAAATAATATTAAAAAAAAAGTTAAAAGGAAATGAAATTACGTAAAACAATAACTTTTACCATTACTATTAGAATAAAAACATTAATACACTTAAATAAAATATAAAAATTAAAAAATTAAAATAAAACTTGAAAAATAAAAAAATGTTTATTTTAATATTAAAAACTCATCAATACGAAATGTCATATTGAATGGTGTATACGTTTGATAAAGACTCTAGTAGGACTAGCACATATGATAGCAAATATATCAAGAACAACACATAATAATTTCTTAAAAAAATGCTACTAATATATTGACAGCAATGAGAAACAAGTTGCGGATCACAACGACAAAGTAAATGTTTGACTTTAATTATAATTTGGAAAATGTTTGAAAAATTCTAAAGAAACATAAGGTTTGCGTCCTTATAATCGTGACATTAGAGATGACATTAATAATTGCTGGGAGCATAATCGAAACCGATTGTTACGAAAGTTGATGTTGAAGATATTTGGTCGAAAAGCGAATCTCAACAAAATGTGTCATTTATAAAACAGTGCCGTATGTGAGCACCGGGTTGGTTTGATAATTTGTGGACTTACATTGGATATTTTCGTGGGCAATTTCCCAATGATTGGTCCGTAAATTGAGGACCAATGGTCGGCGATAGAGTACTGTAAAGTTCCTGTGTATTGGTGGTAGGAAACTGCCACTCCGATGTTAGACAGTTTCTAGCAGAGTGTCGATATTCCTACGCGTCTTTATGAACCCACCAATCGGCTTCCTCGTCCAACAGTCTCACTGAGTCTCACACTCACTCACGCTCAAAGAGAGCAAGTTTTCATCAAGCACAAGTAAAAAATGCTCACCCAATCAATGCGCTCACAACCTCGTTAATGCTATATCTATGCGTTAATGCTTCTGAAAGAGCCTAAATAACACACGTTTATTCCCGCATGTCTCGAATTACAATATATATTCCTTTATAATTTAGAGTTTACTATTAGTTAAATTGCTTAACTCAAATATATCTTTTCTGGCAGCACGTGCCTAGGCATGCAAACGTGTGAATGAGGCTTTAGGTGTGAGAGAAAAGGAACGAAATATCTCTGCTCTTCGGTTTTTCTTTCTCATGTTATGAGGCCTTTTTTCAATAGGATCTAAAAGCATATTTCTCAGACGTCATAAGTGCAAAAGAGATAGGAGATATTGTTGTTCTTTTCACTCTAATGATTTTCTGCTTTCGGTCGACGTATCGGTTCGCGAACGCAATGCATGGATTAGAAAAGGACAGATATATATTTGTATCCTTTTCTATAGAAAAGGCATCACTAAATATTTATTCACAATCTGTATACATATTTTAATTTTGGTCAAAATTACGTACACTTGCTTCTATACCTCTGGTGGATTGGTCAAGCAATCGGCTCGATGAATTTTCACGGTCGGAAAATGTACTTTCATGGCGGGTATTTTTGAATAAGTAAATGTTGAAAAGGTTTTTACTTGAAAATTTATTTAAAAAAATGATTTTATCATAGAAATTCTTTTGAAATTTATGTTAAAAAACATGTTTTATTTCAAAAGTTATCAAATTTTAATTCAAAATGTTTTAATTTTCCAAAGAAGTGTAAAAAGCCTAATGTTTTTGAAATGCTAGTACAGACGGTACAGACTGTTTGTTATGAATGTACATAACCTAGCGTTGTGTTGTCTGTTCATTATTATTTAATATAATAATAATAAAATCATTAAATTTAGAATATAATATCACAAGCACGACAACACAACGCTAGGTTATGTACATTCATAACAAACAGTCTGTACCGTCTGTACTAGCATTTCAAAAACATTAGGCTTTTTACACTTCTTTGGAAAATTAAAACATTTTGAATTAAAATTTGATAACTTTTAAAATAAAACATGTTTTTTAACATAAATTTCAAAAGAATTTCTATGATAAAATCATTTTTTTAAATAAATTTTCAAGTAAAAACCTTTTCAACATTTACTTATTCAAAAATATCCGCCATGAAAGTACATTTTCCGACCGTGAAAATTCATCGAGCCGATTGCTTGACCAATCCACCAGAGGTATAGAAGCACCTTTATTTATTTTTCGGAACACGTCGATCGCGAACGAATTGGCCTTTAATAGGTTGAGTCCACAATAGCACTCTTGAACGGAACGTAAACAAAACGTAACGAAACAATGCTTACGTTCCGTTCAAGAGTGCTATTGTGGACTCAACGTAATGGAGTGATGTCTTCTGTCCTTCTCTATCTTATGTTAAAGTTCAAGTTGACGATTGCGTGATTGGCTTGTCTCGCTATCGATGTGTATTGACCATTAAAGCTGCTTCTACAATATCTTTTTTTTCATTGACATGAGCGTGAAAACGATGCGCGCGCAACTATTTTGCATGGTTTTAACAGTGCATCTTGTTCGTGTCGATGAAAAAAACGTTGTTGTAGAAGCAGCCTAACGCGAAAGTTTTATCAAGATGGCGGTTGTCGTTGCCGGGCATTGATTATGTGACTTTTTATTTGCGCCTGGAGAAACCTTGTTTAGTTGGTCATGACAGCCATGCTTTTCTGCAATTAGCAATGGGCATGTGAGGTGTTTGTGAAGAATAAATTTCAAATTTATATGTAAAAATAATCATGGTTTCAAGAACTACAGTTGGACTTGCTGTAGGAGTTGTTAGTATTTTCGTTGGATATTGCTTTTATTTTGACCAAAAGCGTCGAAGTGACCCTGACTTTAAGAAGAAACTTCGCGAGCGTAAGTTACTTGGAATTCAATTTCATGGATTTATTTTTTCATTTTTATTTCATGTTGTAAGCGGTTATAAGAATTTATTGTATTCTTCAAGTATAATTCAGACATTTTTTTATCCTTTAATATTTGTTTATGAGACTGGAATTCTTTTGAAAATTATAAAAATAAAAATAGAGTTTAAAAAATTATATTTTTTTAAACGGATACACATGTATTCATGTTCCTAAAGTTTCGAACGTTCAAGAGAAGGAGCATTTTTTGTTACTTCTTTTTATTTTGTATTTTATTAGAAAAGGATTTTACTGAGTAAATTTTTCAATTTAGATTATTTTCCGTTTCTGAAAATGTGTAAAGAGAAAAAAAATTTTCATTCATTTGAACGTTCAAAATTTTAGGGAAAATATCCTAAAAAATGGACTAATAAGAACATTTCTAATTAACAGATTATTTTTTAATATTTCCAAGTTTAATAGTGTTCCTATAGGTTAAACATTAGACTTTCGTACTAACACGAAGTTAACATTTAATTTTTTTGGTAGTAAATTTTAAAAAATTCACTTTTTAACAAATGACTTTTTAAACTATTACTTAAAAATGTGTCATTTCTTGTTTATACTTAGCTGCCAAACTATTAAACATCATTTTAGACTAATTTTGTTTAAAAAAAGAACTCCAGTCTGAGTTAAATACAATTATGTAGTTTTCTCTGCGGGAGATACTATGCATTAAAATAAAAGTATAGAGAGAGTTAAAAAATATTTTTTTTGAAAAAAAAATGAATGGAAAAAATGATTAAACTTTTTTTGAAATTTTGTAAAGAAAAGTGATAAAAAATATTGCATCACAATACTGTCGATTGTCTTTTGCATTAAGTCTACGGTAAATAGATTAGATTAGATTTATTTCTCCATTGCACACTTGACACCAGGGATCACAGTTAATCCCTTTTTTATCCCCTTAAATTACTAAAATACGCTAAAAACCTAAAATCATAAATTTTCTACCCTTTTTCCCTTATTTTTCAGAGAAAAACTTATAAATATTGTCATTTTTTGTAAGTTAGCAAAATTTTTAGCCATGCTTGAAAAAAAACTTTTACTTTTCGCAAACTTTGGAAAAATTTTAGTATTTTGAAACAATTTTTTCATAAAAGGTTTTCATAATATAAAATAAATTTTACTTCTGCGAGAAAAATAAAAATTGTTTGGAATTTAGAATTTTTGACAAATTTTATTAATTCCAGAATAAATTTTACTAAATTTAAAGTATATTTTACTAATTTTCAATAAAATTTACTATGGATATTATAAAATAACAATTTTTAATAGCAAAATTTACTATTTTCAATGTCAATTCTCTTATAAAAATTATTAAAATTTTCTAATATTTTTCTGTAATTTACTTCGTATAGGGTAGATGTACCGTTTGTGGCCACTGCACCGGTTGTGGCCACTTTCAGATTTATTTTGGCATTATTGAAGTTTTTATAGTTACTAGTGAATTATAAATACTTTCATAAAATTCTAAAATAAGTAGGCAACATTGTGTTCACTTGTTTTTGACAGAAATTCAGCTGATTTAATTTAAAAACACACATAACTGTACAAATATTTTGACAGTGGCGAATAAGTACAATTTTTAGTAGATGAGTTGAAATATCACTGGGAAGTAAATGATTGTTTTTCGACATTAATATCAATATTTTCATATTTTTCTTTTTATACAATATTTCTAGGGGATAAATATTTATATAAAAACAATGCTTTTAAAATAATAACCTCAAATATTTGTAAAAAAGCCCGTGTCCAAAAACGGTACAGCAAAAATATAAAAGCACCGTTTTTGGCCACACTATATATTTTATCGGCAAAATTGTCATGATTTTAGTTTGATTAATAGTAGTTTTCATATTATAATTATCTTAATAAATGAATTCATTTCGAAAAATAATTTGAAGTATGACAGTATTTATTTTACTTCCATTGAATTAATAACTGAATAAAAATAATAATTTCACGTTTAAGTAATACATTTCTTGCTGTTGTATTTTCTAATTATTTATCCTCTGTAATAGTTAATTAATTAGTTTTTTAATTTGAATTATGCTATAATTATTATATTAAAAGTGTGGGTAAAATAACAAAACTTTTTTTTTCTTAAAGGCAAAAATGTTAATAAAAGGAAGAAGGAAGATTTAAAAAAAATCCAGTGCATGTTAAAAAAGTAAACTGTGATTTTAAATAAATTAAAGATTTATGGAATTTAATTAATTTCTTTTATAAATGTACTTAATTACTGTACAAGTTAGATTTACTAATTCTAATTATTTATTAAAAAAATATAATTCCTCAATATCCTGATAACACTTTTTAAGCAGTGGCCACAACTGGGACAGTGGTGGCCACAAGTGGTGCTGGTGTGGCCACTACTGGTGAAACAGGTTTTTTGAAGCAATTTGTTTATTTTTTAATAGCAAATATAGCTAAAAAACTTTATTAAGTTTGAAAATCAATATAATTGACTCCAATAAATATGATATAAAAAAATTATAATAAAATTCAGTACTTTAATAAATCTATTTTCTTACTAAAAGACGACTAACAGCTTAAAGTGGCCACAACTGGTACATCTACCCTATTCGTAAAATTCACGTTATTGTAAAATAAAAGTATCATTGTAATAAAATGTTTGATAACAAATTTAAAGAATAATTACCAGAAAAAGTTTAACAAAAAAGTAATTTGATTTAAAAAAGCTGAAGTTAAAAGAAAATGTAAGAAAAACCTTAAAAATTAATTTTATGCTATGTAATACAATAATTTTTACTCGGGGGTTTTTGAGGTCGCTGATTACGAATCTGTTATTAGGTTTCTAAAATTCAAAATGGCGGATCCAATATGGCGGACGACAAAATAAAAAATTGATCAGATTGACTTGAGACTGAATACTCGGGGATTTTCGGAGTCGCTGATTACGAATCTGAAATCATTTTTTCAAAATTCAAAATGGCAGAAAATTTATTGAATTTGTTTGACACTGGTTACTAACCATTTTCAAGCAAATTTGACCAATTTAAAAAAAAAATTTCCGCCATATTGGATCCGCCATTTTGAATTTTGAAAAACTAATGGCGGATTTGTAATCAGCCACCCTGAAACCCACCGAGTATTCAGTTTCAAGTCAATCTGACCAATTTTTTATTTTGTCGTCCGCTATATTGGATCCGCCATTTTGAATTTTAGAAACCTAATATCAGATTCGTAATCAGCGATCCGAAAACCTTAGAATACCAAGTTTCATAAAAATCCATTAGAAATGTTTTCAACACACTTTCGGCCCAAACAGTGGAAATTTCGTTGACAGCCAAGGGGATAACCTGGAAAAGTCAGGGAATTTGAAAAGAGCAAAAGCGTCTCAACCCTGAAATTATTTATAAGAATTTATAAGTTGCAGCACTATTATTTAAAATAATTAAAATTTGGCAACATTTTTTTCAACTAAATTTATATGTGATAGAATGTTGATTGAAACAACTCTTCATATGCCCGAATTCAATTTTAGGAATTGAATTTTAACGTTAAATATTTTTTTATGAAGCTACAACTTGTACCCAGTTAATCAACATCTGCTTAATTTTTCCAAATTTGATATTGATTTTAAACAAAAAGGATATTTAACTCTAAAATTTAATTTCCAAAATGAAGCGGGTGCTAGTTTCAGCTTCATTCTTGAATGAAAATTGTAGCTAATACATTTTATGTACCCTTTACTAAAATATAAAAAATGTATTTTTATAGGAAGGAAAGCCAGAAAAGAAGCCCAAAAAGCTGGTTCTAAAATACCAAACCTCAAAGATCATGATGTGGTTCAAAAGTTTTTCGTTCAAGAGGTACATTCGAGATTTGCTGTGAAATAATTGACACCACAATTGGACGATTTTTAACGAGTAAAATATATTTTCACAGGTAGAGTTGGGCGAGGAAATGTTGGCTTCAGGTGATGTTGAAGGCGGTATTGAGCATTTAGCAAATGCAGTAGCGGTGTGTGGTCAACCCCACCATCTTCTACAAGTTCTTCAAAAGACACTTCCTCCACCAATTTTCCACCTCCTTTTGCAGCGACTGCCAACGGTTGGACAAGTGAGTTAATGAGTTTTTTCTTTGAAATTCTCGAACAATTTCAAGTTAGTTTCGATGTTGATTTAAATGTTTCAATGTTTCATTTCGCAGAGACTCAATCCACAAGGCGTGATGGCAGAGGAAGATGTTGAATAAACATCTTAAAAAAAGATGTTGGCATTTTTATACCAGAAACAGCGATTGTAAACATCTTTGTTAACGTGTGCATTGAGTAGTATAACACTGATTTCTTCCTTTTTAGATGACTCAATTTGATAAAATGACTCGTTTATTATTTACAATTTATTTTTTTAATATCTCCTAAATCGTTAATTCAAATTCTACAAATCTCAAATATTCCAAAGATTGTCCAGTCTTGTTAGTCGTACATATAATGTTGAAAGATAAAAGAACTTTGCTAAATTCCAAAAGAGTTAATGATTAGACATTTTTTATTACTTGCATCATCAACGTGACTTTCTGTAAATTTCTTTTTCTCGACAAGTTACACTGTACATATAAAATATGAATATTAAAGATTGTAAATTGACTAACATTTCTTTATTTTTTTTCCGCTCCTTCTCTTATTGTTAGCGAAATTTAATTTTTAATCTCAAATTCAGGGTGACCACGTGTCAGTAAAGTCAGGAAAATGTCAGGGGAATTAAGAAAATTGAGACTTTTTTTAAAACAATTAAACAAATTTTAATAGAATTCTTTTAAATGATTCAATTATTTTCACAAATTTTTCGTAATTCAATGATTTCTAATATCTACTATTTTAATAAAAACATTTTCCAAAAGAGTTGAATAATTTTAAAAAAATGTTTATAAAATTCTTCATAAACATTCAATTAATTTCATAAATAAAAAAAACTTTCACAGGAATTCAATTATTTAAAACAAAATTTTCCAAATATTTTTTGAAAAAAATCAATTATTTAAATAGATTTTTATAAAATTCTTCGCAAGAATTCAATTATTTTTAAAACTTTTAATAATAATCGTTGGAAGAATTCAATTATTTTTATAAATATTAAAACTCATCGCAGAATTTGAATTATTTTTAATACAATTTAAAATTAATTCCGCTAAAAATGCAATTATTCTTAAAAATTTAAATAAAATTCTTGGAAAAAATTCAATTATTTAAAAAAATTTATTAATCATTTTGGGTATTTTTTTAGTTAAAATTTTAAATCTTGTTGGTTAAATACAAATATTTGTAAATTAATATAATTCTTTATTAACAATATTTTTTTAATGTAACAGTGATTATTTGGTCTCGGAAAATGCAAAGTGACAATCATGTTTACAAAAAAAAATTCTTATTCGTTAAAAAAGTTTGCAAATAAACAAGTAAGAATATGAGAGTAGTCGGCCACCTTCAAAAACCGTAGAAAATAATTTTTTTTCAATTACAAAAGTTTAGGTTCGTTTTTCCCTAAATCAAAATTTCAGCAATACAAATTACTTATTTTAATTATTAAGTGTTAGTTGATTTAGTTTGGATTTGGTTGATGGAGAAATTTTAGTGATTTTTAGTTTATTTATAATAAATTGATTAACTCATACTATAAACAACGTATTAAAAATTTTGGAATTGATTATTATTACATGGTTGTCACAGAGCCTGGAAAAGGTATGGAATTGAGAAAAGGATATAGAAAACCTGAAAATAGTGTGAAATTAAAAAAAATTTCTGGAATTTTGCCTGTTTTTAATAATTTTTAACAAAATTTTAATTTAAAATTTCAGAAGAAAAAATTTTTGGCTCGTAATTATTTATAAATTTTATGGTATTTGGAAACTTAAAAAAAACTTTTAAGAACCAAAGCTATGTTATCAGACCAGAAATTTTTTTAATATTTGACTGGAATTTCATAATTATTGACCTGGAAAAGCCTGTAAATTTACATTTATTATTTTGTGGCAACCATATTCATGTATTAAGAGTTTGCTTCCTCATTGAGAAAGTCTTACCGACCGTTTTAAAAAAAGATTTATGAAAAATGAGATCTTTATAAATTATAATGTTGGATTTTGAAACATTATCTATAACTATTCTCAACACAATTTGCGGACGGACATAATAAATGAATAAAAACGGAGATTGTTATTATTATTAGTAAAATTGCAACATCTCTTATTCATATTTACATCAATAAAACCAATTTCTACATTTTCTTACATTTATTTTACAGACAATTTCAAGTTTATTTCTTATTGGGAACGGCGGTCTAATAACAATTATCTAGTAACTTTTACCTACTTCTGCACCCATTTTATTTTTCCTCTCTTTTTATAGACTAACGATAAGATAGAAAAGGACACAAATGTATATCTATTCTTTTCTAACTCACGTTCAGCCGATCCCAATATTAATTAGGTATTTTATTTAATTATTTCTATATTTTTATGATTTTATTACAAATACAAAAAACTAGGTACTTTTATCATCGTGTTAAAAAACTTATTTGTTCAATGATTATTTATGTTTGTATTAAATTAAAATTTAATTTTTTATCAACATCATTATATATTTATGTTATGAATGCAAAGTGACGTGCAGTGGCGTATTTCGTAATTACATGAACGGTTTTATTTCATTGAAAAATGTTTTGTGTTCTTTATATTACATATATTTTTAATTACATACTTTTAGTGTAAACGGAAAAAAATTTTGAGTAAGCACTCCACATAATCATTAGTAGATATTATGCTAATTTATCATTAACACTTGGCAGTTATGAAAAAATAAGTTGTGACATTTGGTCCGCCTACCAATAGAACAGTGCCATGTTGAGCAGAAAACGTACAGCAAGGCAGACTGCTTACTGCTCAACAACCGCTAAAGACATCTTAGACATCTGGTGTCCTTGCAGAAACACATCGGCTACAAACTTTGCAATCAGTGACCACCATTGGGCAGCTGCTTCTCAAAATGTTTTTCCGTGTACATACTGGTTTTTTTAAACTTTTGTATCTCTGTATTAGTATAGTACAAACAACAATATCGATTCAAAAATATTTTTCTTCATTTACCCAAAAACTGTGGGTTCTCGTCAGATTGATATCTATATTAAATTAACCAAGTTTGTTAATTACTGTACTGAAGGTTGCTTTCGGCACTCACGAGTCGACGATGATAAAATCGTCAATAACATTCTGTTGAATCGGGACAAGTGCCGAAAACCGCCGAAGAAATGACTACAACAGGTGAACCTGCTAATAGTGAAATGTGCTGAAGAAATAGACCAAATAGACCAAAGCCATGGAAATAGCCACAGAAGAGAAATTTCACTATTGAGATAGGTTCACCTACATAGCAACAGAAATTTTAATGTTAATATTTTGCACAACCCCAATAATAATTGTATTTGCAATTTAACAAATGCCTAATACAGTTTCTTTTGCATCTCGGTGGAATGTTAGGAAAAATGTTAATAACGATATTATCGTCACTATGTATAATACTCCTTGCATAGCTCGGTTCAAAAAATCCGCAAAGGTAGACTGAACAAAGAGATGTTTCGTACCAGTGGTTCCAGTGATGCTGATTTCATATTACATTCCATATTAAAATTCGCATGAATAAATTTCAAATCCAATTCTGACCCCTCTGTTTTCAAACACAGATCTAATATTTATTGCCAATTACCAAAAGTTTGTCGCTTTTAAGAATGAAGTGATTTCGTATTTTATTCCAGTTAAAAAACTCTTTCCAATAATTAAGTGGATTATAAACAGGAACCTGTGACAATTTTTGTGGTTCAATCAGCATCCACAGAACTTGTCAAGTAAAATTTCGTTTATTTTGCAAAGAAATGCAATCACTCAAGTTGTACTATTTAAATTACAGGGCAGTGAATAAGATTAGTATAGGGAAAATATTATACCTGCAAAGTATCAGTGTAACTTATGATTGTTGCGCTGCAACAAAATATTTCAAGATAAATGTTCGAAAAGAGAGAAAAAGAAATATTATCTTGGGTCGATGGTAATCTTTCCTAAGAAAACGTAGTGGCATTGAAAATAGAAAGGAATGTCATGACGTCAGAGTGCAAATGATCTGTTTCAACTTTTAAATATTAACAATCAATAGGGAATAAATCTTAACACTCGTTAACACGTGGTACAAGACACGAATAATCAGGTTCGTAGTACACTCGATGAGAATTAAGTAGGAGCGGAAGTAATAAAACAATAATCCATTACATTGGGAAGATTCTGGTCATACTCAGACACAGGATCATTAGTTGACTCAGGGTCATTAATAAATAATTTTAAAGTCAGAAATGGGCCCAATCATTTTATGAAAGTCGTCAAACTTTACAATTTTGCTTGCGCAATCGAAGACGTAATACTTTTTTACTCTGGGATTTTCCCTACATTTTACCTCATAAAATAAAACAAGCGAGTATAAAATATTCGAAACATGGGAATTCGAGATTAGACCCACAGGAATGGAGTTGATAGAAAACGGGTGTCTTAATTTTAAGACACTTTTGTTCTCACTTTTAAGAGATTCATGGACAGGAAGACGTTATGTGTCCTTATTTGCAACAATTAATGTATTATTACTTGCTGTCTGCGCCTATAAATTAATTAATGAAAGGGATAAAATTATAAAGATACTTTTTAGAGTTTTAATAGAAAATGACTTAATCATAATAAATAATAATTTCGACAAACTTTAGAATAATGTCAAATTTTCACAGAGCACAGAAATTTTTTATATTTTGATAAAAAAATTTTGAAATATTTTTAAATCAATTTTGTCAGAATTGAATGCTCTTCTTTTGTTCCTGCGAATATAAAATGCATGAGATGCTTTTGATTGTGTACAATTAAAAATATTTTTAAATTTTTAGATATCATTTTATTTATTTCAACAGTGATAACTAAAGTTATTCAGGGTTCCTACAAAATCTGGAAATCATAGAAAAAGTTCGGAATTTTTAAAAACTTATAAATCAGAGTGGTCACAAGTTTCAGTTTATCAATTTCACTGACAATTTACTGACATTAAAATTCTTTTCCCTGACAAGATTTTTATAATTCCTGAATTCAATTATTTTTTACAATTTAAATAATTTTCGGAAAGTTCTTCTAGAATAGAATTGAGTTATTTAAATACAAAGGCTCAGTCTTTAAATTTTGTGCGAAAACATAAAACCTCATTTTCGATGCAAGTGCGAGGAATTGGAGCATTATAAACAATTAGTTACTTCAAGTGACATTAAAATTATATTCAAAATTTTGCTGGAATTTTCAAGAAATGATCTAAAAAACCTGGCAAAAGTTTGTGATTTTGAATTAGGTTTTTCGTAGGAACCCAGAAATTTTAATGAATTTATCTGAACAATTGGGGTTGTCAGAAAATTAAAACATAGTCAATATACAAAATCGTTTGTGTGACAATCGTTAAAGGTTGAATGTCATAAAAACAATTTGAAAATTCATCATAAAATAATTATTTACACTGATAGAACTTGTAAAGAGTTACTTAAACTTAAAGTTTACTAAGTGCAGACGTTCCGCTAAGGTAGTCATACAACGTTTCTTTAAATATATTACTACAGAATTTAAAAAATTTCCATTAAATAAAAGAATAGAATTGTAAAAATAAAGCCCAAGATAATGTTTTATAAATAAAAATAACCAAAAAAATATAATTATTATAATTTTTTATCAACATAAAGTTATATTCCAAAAGTAACAATTGTTATATATATAGAACTGCTCTAGTTACAGTTACTGAGAAAAAAGGTAACTATTATTCCTTACAACATAATAAAAGTAATAAGTTATTGCCCAACACTTATAAAACAATAATAGATTATATAACAAATTAATAAACCTTCTGAAAGAGTGGATTCCATGACAACTCAAACAAGAAATAAACATTTCCTTTGTATTCTTAAAAGTATGTCGCTTCTATTTCGTTGCGTATTTAATTTTGTTGCTGAATAAATGAGACTTTTAAGTCCAGAAAATGTGTCATGGTCGGGTTGGCAGTAGCGTCAGACAAACTATTGCAATCTAAGCTGGCATAGAATCCATGAAATGTTTCTCTGAGTGAGCTTTACTAAAATCATATTTCCAAAATGTTTATTCTACAATAAATGGAATAAGTACTATTTAAGTCATTTTCAAAGGAAAAACAACTTTAAAGCTGCTATGATATTGTCGGATTGAGAACTTCGTTTCGTGCGTTTAACATGATTTCTAAAGCGTTCTTATCAACGAGACTTTGGGCGATTTCATTTCCTAGGTCTTCGGCGCCAGCGAGACTTAGACCACTTACTTTTCCTGGAGCGACACTGCAGTACAATCGAGGCTCTCTATACGGGCACTTTCTGGAATTCAAAATACATTTTTTAGTACGTTTAATTGCACGAATGAGTAGCGCTAACGCAGGGCTCGAACTAGGTCCGTAAAAGTCCGTAATTTGATTAAGAAAAGACGAAAAGTTCCTAACTTGTACAATATAATTTGGAGAATTTTAGTAATAAAATTCTTTGCACAAACTTTCTTCAATTCAAAGATTTTTAATATCTGCTATTTTAATAAAATTTTCCAAAAGAATTCAATTATTTAAAAAAAAATTAATAAAATTCTACGCAAGCCTTTAAATATTTTTATAAAATAATAAAAATTTCACAGAAATTTAATTATTTACACATTTTTTATAAACTTCTTTTCAATAATTCATTTATTTTCATAAATAATAACATTTTTACAGGGATTAAATTATTTTCGTAAATAATAAAATTCTTTTTTGGAATTCAATTATTTTTAAAACTCGAAAAATGTCATTATTCTTAAAAATTTTTTTAAAATGCGTCAAAAGAATTAAATTATTCTAAACAAAAACCACTTCAAAATTTGTTTCTATATTTCTGCCAAGAATGAATTTTTTAATATTATTCAATTATTTCAAAAGTTTTTAACGCAATTATCTTGATAAATAACTAAATTCTTCAAAGAAATTCAATTATTTTTAGGAATTTTATTACAATTCTTTGCAAAATTAAATTATTTTCATAAATAAAAATATTTATCACAAGAATTCAATTATTTTCAAAAGTAATAAAATTCTTTGAAATTCAATTATTTTTAAAAATGTTAATGAATATCTCGTCAATGATTCAATTATCTTTGTAATATGTAATAGTAAAATTTTTCTACAAAAATCCAATTATTTTTTCAAAAATTAAAAAAAAATTCTTTGTAAAATTTCAATTATTTTCAAAAGTTTATCGCAATTCAACGAATTTCAATATTTACCTACTATTTTCATATTTGCTTCCTCATAAAGGAAGCTTTGTATTAGCAAAATTTTGGATTGTCATTTTTTGACATATTTATAAATTTTTTTTTATTATGCCTAATCTTTTAGTACTTTATGTACGAATGGGCACTGCCCGTATAAATGTTCGAAATAAATAAAAAAAAATTTCGACGTATTTTGATATCCGAAGTTCAAAAAAACGGATTTTAAAAATTTGTCCCGATGTGTGTGTGTGTGTGTGTGTGTGTACTAACATTACATTTGCCTCAATATCTCAGAACGAGAAAGAGCTAAAGGCCTCAATTTTTTTTTAAATTGTAGATCTCCCCGGGGGACATAAAATGAGAGTATTTTCAGCCCGATTCATGAAATTTAACTATTTTTTTTTTTTGCATTTTTCATTTTGTAAAAAAACGTTTTTTGGACATAACTTAAAAAAATGTTAGGACACTTATAAATCTTTTTCTTTAGTTTTGTAGAGTTTTTTCACACGCATCTTTTGAGCCCTAATTGAACATTTTTCGTTTATATTAACCGGAAATATTAAACTTTAAAAAATCAAATTTTTAGAAATTAGGGTGTCTACTATTTTCGTTTAACAAAATTCCCGGTTATTTCCCGGTTTTTCCCGGCTATATCCTAATTTTTTCCCGGTTTTTTTTTCTTATCAAATTTAAATTTAAATTTGATTTCAAACATAAATAAATCATTAAATTTTTTTAAAATAATGTTTTTTTCAATAATTTTAATTAAAAACTTGGAAAATACTTGAATTAAACAAAGAATTTTTTCAAGTTTTTAAAAATAATCTTGTCTCTTTATAATTATAATTGAAAATTGTATTTTTCAATTTTATTAAAATTAAGAATAATGGATTTATTCTATCACTCAGTCGTATTAAATAGTAAGAATTTGATGTAATCGATCACACTGAGTCAAGGAAGTTAAAAATTAAAAAACTCTCTTTTTACGTTTCGACAGCGCTGCCGTCCTCATCAGAAACAGAAAAAAGAATATATTTACGCGTTCACATTATTGAAATAACGTCCTACACGCTATAAGCGAAATGTGACACTTCGCTTATAGCGTGTAGGACGTTATTTCAATAATGTGAACGCGTAAATATATTCTTTTTTCTGTTTCTGATGAGGACGGCAGCGCTGTCGAAACGTAAAAAGAGAGTTTTTTAATTTTTAACTTCCTTGACTCAGTGTGATCGATTACATCAAATTCTTACTATTTATTAAAATTATATTGATAATAATTGAATTTCTGCAAAAAAATTTAACTATTTATAAAAACAATTGAATCCTTCCAAAGAATGCTATTATTTATGAAAATAATTTAATTTTTGTGAAGAATTTTATTAAAATTTTTGAAAATAATAAGCAGCAATAATTAATTATTTACTTAATATGTAATAAACATTTAATTTGCTCAAGAAATAAATAAATATCATTTATTTGAACATTCAGAAATTTAAAATGATAAAAATTTAAGAGAAGTTCAATAATTATAATTATTAAATAATAATAGAATAGTATAATTTTTAGAAGCAAAAAATTGATTTAAAACTGTAAGAGGGACTTAAAATTTTAAAAATAAAATTATAATTATGGTCACTAACTTCCCTTGATTATTTTCGAAAAATTTCGAAAAAAAAAAAATTCAATTATTTTTCAAAAAAAGTAAAAAAATTTCAATGATTTGTTTAGAAAAATTCAATTATCTTGAAACAATAGAATTAAAAAATTACAACAATTTTATTTTTTAGATTTAAAAAAAATTTTGCGAAAGTTCAATTTTATTAAACAATTTTAAGTATGTATATTTTTTTTAAATTAACTAATAAAAATTTTAATTATTAATCTTCGCAGTAAGAAACATGAATACATTAGAATTTTACTCTTTATAATATTCAATTATTAATCAATTATTAAATTAAAATACTTTGAAAATTCTATTTGTCAAAAAGTTTCTAATGAATTTCTTTAACAAATTTAATTACATATTTTCAGTCGAATTTCACAATATTTCTATTAACTCCATAATTTTTTTTAAATTTATTTACATAATATATTTGAATTGGTAACTGATTTTTTATCAGCAAATTAATTATTTTTAACTAACTTAAATTTAGAGAACAGTATAAATATCTATAAAAATTGAAATAAAAATTGATTTTCTAAAAACAAATTAAAATAATAAAACTTTTTTAATTTTTGTGAAAAAATTCCCGGTTCGGTATAAAATTCCCGGCTAATTCCCGGTTTTTCCCGGTCAAATAAAATTCCCGGTTATTTCCCGGTTTTCACGGAATTCCCGGTTAGTAGACACCCTTTTAAAATAAGACTTTTTTGAAAATTTTGTTGAAAAATGTAAAAGTTTAGTTTTGTTTTGTATTTAGTTTTGTAGAGTTTTTTCACACGCATCTTTTGAGCCCTAATTGAACATTTTTCGTCCATATTAACCGGAGATATTAAACTTTTAAAAATCTAAAATTTTGAAAAATAAGACTTTTATAAAAATTTTTTTAAATTATGTAAAAGTAACTTCAAAAAATTATTACCAACTTGAAGAGCATTAAAAAACGCTTCGATTGACCTATTTTTTAACCTGATTCGGTCAGAAATTATCAAATTATTGGTATTTGAAAAATCAAAAAATTGTGGAAAATATCATTTCTCCAACGCTTGCTCTGAAAGGAGTACTTTTCTTGGTAGAAAAGTGTGGCGAAAGTAGAACTTTTCTCAACTGCTCTGAAGAGCGTGGCGAAAGTAAAATTTGGCGTGGCGAAAGTAAATCATGAATTTATTCTTTTTTCTTGTTTTTTGACCGAGATTTATTTTGTATCTAACTTCTTCCCCACTCAAAAAACATTCGTCTTTTATTATATTAAACATAAGAACATTTTTAATTAAAATTATACGAAACTCACGAAGAAACCTTTCCTCGCAAGGCGTTGGAGAAAACGTAGTGCACAACACGTACGTGGTGAAAGAATGATTTTTCTCGAGTGATTGCTGCTCTCTCTACGCTCGAGCCGCAAACTTCACTCTTTCGCCACTAGTTGTACAATGTACTATTTTCCAACATTCTTGTTTATTAACTTATGTGTAATTATTAAACTATTATTACCATCTTATAGAATATATAAAAACACATTTTTTGGACCAAGATTTAATGATTTTTAACGCTTTTATAAAAAGTAATTCTTATATTTCAATTATTATTATTTTTATGAGAAAGCAAAGTGTTCATGAAATGAACACCAAAATTATAAAAATGTACAACTTGGCAGCGGTTTTTTTAATTTAATTTAATTATTGAAAAATTTTTTGATACAATTTTACGAAAACATTCAAGTATTTTCACAAATATTAAAATTTCATTAGGAATTCAATTATTTTCAGCGCAGAATTTCAAATATTTTTAATACAATTTAAAATAAATTTCTCGAAAAATGCAATTATTCTTTGAAATTCTATTAAAACTTGACGAAAGAACCTTGCAATAATTCAATTATTTACATAAAAATTTTTAATTTGTCGCAGAAAATTATATATTTTTAAAAAAATTTTAAGTAACTGTGCAAAAGAATTCAATTATCTTGATAAACAACAAAACTCTTCCCATAAAATCAATTATTCTAAGGAATTTTAATAAAATTCTTTTCAAAAATTCAATTATTTTGATAAATATCAAAATTCGTGACAAGAATTCAAATTTTTTGAAAAGTAATAAAATACTTTGCAGAAATTAAATTATTTAAAAATTTAATAAAATTCATCTTCAAAAAGTTTTCAATTATCGTTTTTATTATAGCGTGAATTTTTAGAAATAATTGAATTTTGAAAAAGTTTAATTGAATTTGTTTTATATTATTTTAAGTTTTTATTTGAAGAATTAAAGAATTTACGAATATGTAATTGAAATTTTAATTTGAAATTGAATACTGTAAAAAAATGGATTTGAAAATTGTCAAAAAACTTTTTGGAAAATTATTAAAATGAATTGAAATACTTTGACTGGTTCGAGCCCTGCTAACGGTGGGTTGCACTTACTTGGGCGGTTCTCCGTCGTCGTCTGGTATAAAGAGCTTCTTTTTCAGCGTGTTCTGAATTAAAGTTTGACCATCGAGCGACCAGACAGCTCCGGTGATGGTTAAATTTTCTCCAATTAAGGAAGAGGAGACTGCTACAGGAGCCGAACATCCACCACCCAAGGTTTTCAGAAATGAACGCTCGCAAACACATCTCAGTGTGGTGTGCACATCGTTCAAAGGGTCAAGAAGGGACAATATTTCCCAATCCGATTCCCTGCACTCCACACCTATGGCACCTTGACCCACCGCATACAAAGCTTCTTCTGGTTCTAGTATCTACGAATAATTATAATTTAATATAGCGTCTCATTAGATGATTCTTTAAATTGATTCTTTTCATTTAAAAAATGCCAGATTTGTAGGTTTACCTGACTTATTCGATCGTGCCAGCCCATTCTCTTTAATCCTGCTGCTGCTAAAATAATTCCTGCGAAAGGACCATTTTCATCGTCCAATTTTTTTAACCTGGTGTTTAAATTACCACGAATGTTTTCTACTTTCAAGTGAGGCATGTTTCTTGCCAACTGAGCGGATCTTCGCAATGAACTCGTACCAATTATACTTCCCTCAGGTAACGTATCCAAGGTTTTGCCTTCAAATTTTTTAGACATAACGACAGCATCACGTTCATCTTCCCGTCTAGAAATTTTAGAATTGCATTCATTTTTACAAAATAATATACTTTGGACATGTTGCAATTAATTGCAAATCTTGGAATACTCACTTCAGGATTGCACCTAGGATCATTCCCTTTGGCAATGTTGTCGGCAAATCTTTGAGCGAGTGAACAAGGAAACTGACTCTACCTTGTTCTAAAGCCAGCTCCAACTCTTCAGTAAACAGTGATTTTTCTCCGATTTTTGGCAGTGACTTGTCCAAAATTTTATCTCCTTTCGTTTTCATTGTAACTGTAAAGAGTAAAAATTAGAGTTAAAACTAACAACAATCTCATAATACATTTCATTAATTTAACAAGTGTTTTAACGTAGTGCTAGAATTCTAACTGACAATTTGATTGTGTTCCTAATTCCTATGAAGAATTCACTCAAAGTTTTTTAACGCCTATTTTTAAAAATTAAGCACTTGGCCAACATATGTTTTAGGCCACGAAAACCTTTCTCTTGCTGATTTTTGAAATAAAATGTGTGACATGTCCTTTTTTAAATAGAACAAGTGGCTTTCAACTGCTTTCAACCCTCCTAACAGTATCACATTATCACATGCTTTATGCGGACGGCTCCTAATTGACTGTTTCGCTTCTAATAGTATTTACTTAAACAAGTAATAATTTCCTAAAGTCATGACCTACATCTAAACTTTTCACTTGTTTACTAATCGTAAGTGTCAGTGTGTCGTTCCACAAAGATTTCTATGGAAAAAAAGATGACAAAAGGGTGCAGGGGTTCAAGATTTTCCAAATTTGTGTGACGTAATAAATGAACGATCCCTAATGTTTGCTCAATAGCTAAGTAAATTTCACTCAACAATTTTTTTTTTGTAGTATAACCTGGTTTCATTTCTCAGCGTAGTTAGTGCAATTGTAACTCAACAATACGTGCATGTGAAGGTCGCCAAATGTAAAATCACCTCTCTAAATCTGAATAAGTGGAATTACACTTATTCAGATTTAGAAAGAATTTTCAAAGAAGTTGAGTATAACAAATTAGTTTTGAACAGCAACACTTAACGATTCTGACTTATAATCGAACAATCAATTGAATTTCATGAAACTGGTAAACATTGTTCAGTAGATGAAAATCTACGAAAGCAAGAATAATGATTGTTTTCAGAATATTTTATTGAAAATGTTTTATTTAATCTGATAACAGACAACAGTCGACATGGGCAATTTGGAAACTCTTATCAAACCAGTTGGTGAAGTCAATGTCAACTTATCACAGATATTTTAATGACTTAATGGGATTTAGTTAATATTCTCTGTAATACGCTTCTTGAGTGATGATAAAACCCTCAAATCCACTGTTTTCTGGTGGCTTTCATTGTGAAGCAAAATGGCACTTTTCGGCCATTTTCGGCAAAGAACTACTAAAACACAATGAACTTTATAGAATAAATTTATAAATATTTACTTTGATTGCGTCAAATTAATGTTAAAAAATATAATTGTTTTCTTATTCGAAAAGGTGTGTCTATGTCATCATATTGACACCCGGAAGTCAAATTCTATCACTGCGTAAAAACACTTAATTGATTGTATTTTCTTACCAATATCAAATTTTTTCTTGGGGTAGATCTCCTTCAAGCAGTTAATTACATGTTTTGTTTGAATTAAGGCCAGCTGAAAAGAAAAATTTAATTTTTTAAACGATAAATAATACAATTTTTTAAAACTGATTGATTTTTTGCACATTCATCAAAGTGGAGAACCGTTATTTTTTTAAACGTATAATATAAATTACTGCTAAATAAGTGAAACTTTCATTACTTTTATCAGTAAATTTTAGTGTTAATCAGTAAAAAATTCAATAAATAATCAATAATTTAAAGTCATTAGTAATTTCTTTGAGATAGTATTAATATTAACTCAGCATTGAACATTTTCAAATTATATCATAAACAATATGTTTCATTGTATAAAAATGACAAGTCATGTTTAGAATTTTTCCATATTTCCATAATTATATATAATGATTACTTTAATATACATAGATAAGTAGTGACCAACAAAATGTCATTCTTTCATTAATTATTTTCTTCAAAACTTCTCATTAACCTCTCAAATATAAATTTATGTTTAATCCGTGTTAAGTTGGCCAAAAAATAAGTCAGAGGTAGTTAAAGTGAAAATCATTAAAAAGTTTATACAATTCTGCCAATATTTAAATAGAAATTTTTTAACCCTTAAAAAAAAAGATTAAATCACTTTATAAGTTTGAGGAAAACTCGAGTAATTTAAAGACCTAAATACCTTTTGTAAACTTTAGATTTTCCTTGATATGCTTTTAGATTGTATGACTATTAAAACGTATTACATGAAAATAAAAAATACTAAATATTTTTTTCAAACCTATCAGTAAATGGTGAAATTTTCTAAACTCAGTTTAAAATCTAATTTTTTATTCTTTATGTTTACAGAGACAATAATTATGTAAAGGTAATAAATTTTGATTTGGATGAATAAACAGAAGTATGAAATGTTACTTTTAACTGATAAAAATACACTTTTAATTCTGATAACCTGATCCAAAGAAAACAAAAGTTTTTTGAATTCCTTTTAATCCATGCAATGATCCGTTCCAAATTCAATTTTATTTGCGAAACAATATGAACAAGTAGCTTTGAAAAACATTTTTCGAAAATCGTAATTTTGTAACCTGAACTTATTTCATTAGTTTCTATACTAATTAAAAAAATGTCATTTAATAAGAGTTCCTGATACATAATTGAAATACATCCTTAGTAATAATTATATTATATCATTTTTTTATTAATTTTTAACTTATATTTTTTCCCTTTAAATGAAGATGCATAAAAATTTCCAAAATCAAATATTTAAAATTCTTAAAATTTAACAATTCTTACTCTGAGAAATATTACTGTAAATTTTTCATCATTTTTAGGATAAATTCAACAATATTGGTTTACAGTTAATAATATAAAATTTCTTTTAATGTTGCAAATACTCTCGGTTGTTATTTTATTATTAAAAAAGTTTTTTGCAATTAATTCATTCGTAAGCAGGTAGAAAGATAATATTAAATATATTCCTATACTTCCTGAATTAATCTCAAATTATTTATGGAAAATATTTCTGTTATTTAGAGACATAAACTTTATGTATTTTTTTCAATCTGACTCGGAGTGATCGATAATTTCAACTTTATTATTTATGTATATTTGTTAGAGGTATAATTGTTTTAAAAAGATACACGGAAAAAAAGAAATTAGCTGCAGCAGTAAACAGTTGTTTGCTGTAAAATCTCTGAAAATTAGCTACCACAGCTAAGAAGTTTGCAGTGGCAGCGAACATGTTAGCTGTGACAGCAAACATTAGTAAAAATTTATGCGAGTTTGCTGTCATAGCGAACTTGTTCGCTGTCCCTATTTCAACGAACAAGGTTTGCTGTGGCAGCAAAATGTTCGCAGCCACAGCAAACCCTTTCTATGTGTGAAAGAATGCCTTAAATCTGTTTTAAAGAAAATGTTTTTCTTTAAAATATGAAAATTTATTGAAATTAAGCAAAAGATATTATCCTAAAATCCATAATAGGATGGGTTAATTTTTAAATGAAATATCCCAAAAATTCTGATATTTGAATTATTTAAAAACATTATAATTATTCCTTTACTAGTAACAAATATACTTGAATAGGAATGTTGAATACAGAATGAATTATTGCTTTCTCATGAGTAAGCTTTGTATACGTGACGATTTTTGATTTTCCAAAAAAAGGCTACGTGAACTAATTTTTATCTCGAATGCATATAGAGGTACGTCACAAAATATTGTGTACAAAGTATCACAGACATGCTTTAATGGATTATTCTGAAATTTTTTAGGATTATTGCAGTAAACATGATCTAAATTAAGGCAAAAGAATTTTCGAAAATATCAACATAATCTTTTTTCAACATTTTTTGAAAATTTAAAAAACCTATTTTTACATTTTTTTATTATTAAAAAAACAGGTTTTCCTTTTTTTATAATATAAACAACCTTTTTCTTTATATAATAGTATAAAATTTTGTTTAATAAACTAATTGTTATTTTTATCCTAATTAATTAAGAAAAAAATGGAAATCATATAGATTAAATAAAAACTTGCCGAATAAAAAGCATTTGCAATGAACTTTTTAAAATTTTTTAATACTTTTTATTTTTTTAATTCATAAATAGAAAATTTTCTTGGTTGAAAATTGGTACTCTGATGATTTTTTAGAGCATCAAGGAATCCAAATGTGCCAATAAAAAATTTCATTTATGTATGTAAGTATGTCATATATATAGAATCTTTGTTCACGCATCACTTAGAAACAGCTGAATCGTTTGAAAACAAATTTGGCAGAATGTTATATCTTGACCCAAGTTAGGTTTGTAAATTTACAGATTTCAAAAATATTAATTAGATCGGAAGATATTCAATTTTTTTTAAAAATTCAAAAAATCGGAAATCTCCAAATGTTACATTTTTTAATGGATTGTTTTCAAACTTTCTGTAATTGAGTATATTACTAATATAATTAATATGTAAGTATAAATTTTGGGTCTCTGATTAAGATTTGGACGTGAAAATAATGCAATTTAGAATTCCAAATTCAACATTTTTAGATTCAAATATATCTGAAAGTTAATATTGAAATTACAAAATACAATATCATAATGTGAACGTAAATCAAGAAATTAAAAATAATTGTATAATTAATTGCATTTAATTTTCGAACGGGGTGTATGTTTGGGGTTCCTGATAAAGATTATGTCATCGAAATGCATGAGAATGCAGATCCTAATCGAATTCAATTATTGTAAAGTTAAAAAAAAACTTAACAACTGAATCGGAAGATACGACATAATTTTGAAAAATGAAATTTTTTTAGATATACTTATTTTTATCCAATATTCTTTAAGTGAAAGCACTTGAAAAATATTAAAAATGGAGTTGTTTTATGATAAAAATGATACTGCAGAATGTTAAGAATTGTAAGTCAATTGTGATATACAATACTATCATTATGCTACTGGGTAAAAACTTAGATGGTAAAAAGTTTTATTATTTTACTACTAAATTTAACTTTTGAAGACATGTTTTGAGCAATGTAAAGACAAAAGTTAAATCTATAAGTAGAAAGTAAAACCATAAAAACTAAAACTATAAAAAATTATATATTTATAATATTGCTTTAAACTTGAAGTTGTTTCATCACTTCAATATATTTTTGCTTATCATGGTGAGAAAGCTAAATGATCATGAAATGAACTATTTTTATGCTTGTTAAATTTATAGTAAAAATAAAGAAAACATAAAAAAATATCTAATAGGAAGAGCTTATCACTTATAGTAACCGCTGCAAAATTAAAACTCTAATTTTGGGATTAATTTAATGAACACTTTGCTTCTTCATAGAAATTTAATTTTATAAAATGCATTATAGTCATATATTATTGCCAATTTAATATCAAAAAACCACAAAAAGTCATTTTTTGCCAAATTTCAAATTTTTCAAATGTCAATAATTTTGGTTGACATGTTCGAAAAATGTTCAATGTTCAACAAGGGGTCAAATGCATCTCAAGAAGAACTACAAACTTAAAGAAAAACAAGTAAATGTCAATTTATTACCAAAACACAAAAAGTAACTTCTTTCAAAATTTTCAATGTTTAAAATGTTAATAACCTGGCTAATAATATAGAAAAGTGTTTCATAAGGGATCAGAAGATGCTAAAAATTTAAATTAAAATTTGATTTTACCTTGATTTGGGAAATGATTTGACGTGAAATGCATTTTTATTTGGGATTCGGATTGGCTTTGGCGCCAAATTCATTTAGATTCCGAATTGATTTTGAAGTCAATTCGAATTCGAAATCAAAGTGAAATCAAATCACATAATCAGCCCCCTGAAAAATGTTTATGGAGAGAGGCAACAAAAAATGTATAAATTTTTCTCTTAAAAGCTATAGTAAAGTAGGAACATATGCAAAATATTTTATTTTGTTTTGTTATTTCTCCTAAATAGGGCTTATCTCTATAGATAAAGCTGTTTTAAAACTTTATAAAATGAATAACAAACTATTATCAATTTTTGTTTGAATAATTGTTTCTTCTGAGGTGTTTAAAGTTTTTGAAGTATATGTACATACATGTCACAGACCACGTATTCAACAAGTGGGTAAACTGTCAAAATATGTTATCATTATTACGTTCCAAAAGTTAAAGAATCTTGTCCGGAAGAAACATATCTTTACTTAGTTAATTTACTTTATCTGGAAAATCAATTTTATTTATATTATTATATTTATATGAGCCATTATACGTTTATAAAAATCTTTTAAGTTTTGTTAGATTAAAAACATTTTTAATTCATAAAAAAGTTTAATTTTTGTATAAATTTATAGAAATTTCCCTGATTTTGAATGAAATTCTCTGACATTTCCTGACCATTAGACATCCTGTTGAAAGAAGGGTTTTTAAAAAATTTGAAATCTGAATATTTGGCAACGTTTTTGTAAAAAATAATGAATTTTAGGACTATTTAAATCAAGTAAAATCGGTTCTAATGAACAAAAAAAGGAAAATTTTATTATTTTAATTTTCGAAGAAGCAGTAAGAAGATATCGTGACCACTGCAAAATTTATTTATATGAGAGAGGACTTAAAGAACCTGTTGCTACGGGCCTAATGTTTAATGCTTTTTAACGAAAATTTTACAAGTGTGTAGAATTTTAATAGTGTAATTTAAGATATAAAAGTGCTCATATGAAAGATTTATTTATTTTACGAAAAAAAAATAATTAAAAAACATACATTTTCTGTCAGTGTCGAATCATGTAACTCCTTCATATCAGCTAATAGAGGTAAACGGTCAATAGGGCCATTATGTTATAAAAATGTAATTTTTCTGTTCCTTCTATTCTATTGATTAAAATAAAACTAAAAGAACAATTTTTTTTTAACTTTGTGTAATTTGGAAACATAATTTTTTTTAAAGTAATCCAATATCTTCTATATTAATTAATAGTTGTATTTCGAAAGACTGCTGTTGTTCACATTGTTGGATTTTTTGTTTCCTAATTTTTTTGATTATTCTTTTCAACATTCTTTTTAAATTTTAAAGTTAATGAAATTTTATAATTTAATGTTTTGAAGATTAAACTCTAGCAAAGAATATAATTAAACTTGTTTTGAATTAAATTTATAATTTAATTAGTAATTTTTTTTAACATTTCAAAACATACAAATAGTTACGTTTAAATGATTGTTGGAAAACTAATTTTCATTAGTGCAAAATGCGGTTAATATTATGTATTTTATAGAAAAAACTGTATGTATTTTTTTATTTGAATACTTTGTTTAAAAATGTTATATTTTTTTTTAACTTTTTTAATTTTCAATCTAAAGTACCTAATGTATATTAATAATTGTTGATTCCGGTAATCTGTTCGCAGTTCAAAGTTACTTAGTTGTTGTTTTTGCTTTTTTGGTTCGTAACTTTTTTAATACTTTTTCTTCTTAAATACTTTCAATTTATTAATGTATTGAAAATCATCAAATTCTTGTAAAGAATTTTATAAAAACATTTGATTATAATAGAATTTCTTCCAAGAATTTTATTATTTAGAAAAAAAATTGAATTCTTTCATGAAATTTTATTAACATTATAATAAAAATAATTGAATGTTTGCAAAGAATTTTACTATTTATAAATATAATTGAATTCTTTTAAAAAATTTTATAGAAAATTAAGAAAATAATTTAATTTATTTGAAATATTTTATAACGAATTTGGAAAAAATTGAATTCTTTCGTGAAATTGTTTTGAATATAATTGAATTTTTGATAAAAAGTTTACTATTTATAAATATAATTGAATTATTTGAAGGATTTATTAAAATTTTAGAAAATAATTGAATTTTTTCTGGAAAAATATTATTTAAAATTTTTTAAAAAGTTAAATACTTTCATGAAATGTTATTAAAATTGTATTAAAAGCGATTGAATTTTTGAAAAGAATTTTACTATTTATAAAAATAATTGAGTTCTTATGAAGAATGTTATGAGAATAATTGAATTATTGTAAAGAATTTAAGTAACATGTTTGAAATTAATAAACAAGAATAATTAATTAGTAAATTGGTTACACAATAATTGAATTGTTTTAAAGTTTGAATCTCAAATTATGTATTCAATAATTCATATTTGAAAATAAAAAATTTTGTAATTTGCATAATAATAATAAATGGAATATCACGTTCGTGCGTAACATTTGCTAGTTTAATAATAAATTAGAGTTTTTTTTACAATTTATGAAAATAATTTAATTGTTTAGATAAAAATTAAAATTCTTTCAATGAATTTAGTTAAATTTCTATTGAAAATAATTGAATTCTTTCGACGAATTTTATAAATATTATGGAATTTTTTTAAGAAATTGAAGGTAATTAAAAATAATGAAATTTAAATATCGTTAAACGACAGTAACTAAAAATATCTTATTAAATATTAGAGATTTTTGATCTAGCGGGATAAAGATAAATAATCCACTGTCATTATTCTTACTCCGTCTGCTTTTTCCTCATTTACACATTCTTCATGATAAGCAAAAATCAAGATTATATGATTTGCATGATTATTATTATTATTATTATTATTATTATTATATATAGAACGGAAGATTATAAATATGTTGTAGTAAAAATTGTTCAAGATGTAATTTGTACGGCTTGTAAAGTCTCGTACTTGATTTCAGAATCACGTGTGAATTTCGTCATGTTTACTTTCACCCATTCGTCGATTCTCTGCAGTGACAGTAGGAGGAATGACAGACAATTATTTCAAGTAAAGACAGTCCCGACTGGTCTCGACGTGAGACTCTGGAGTATATGAAAATAATAATGATATTTTTGTTTACCTCACTGTTACGAGAGCCTACGCGGATCACTTCTCGTGGTTCTGAACTCGTCATATTGTTTCTTTCCAATATAAACTCATATGCAGTCACCTGAATGTCACTGAGTTTAATGCAAAAAGCAACGATGTCGTCATAAAGATTTTACACATTAATTAACCTTTCCGTTTCTATTTTCCCAACAATTACAGTTTGTACAAGTAACAAAAAATTGGGTTTACATATTTCACAGTCACTGACACTGCAGCAGAATGTGACAGCAAACGTAAATATACAACTTCCAACTCAATAACTCTACGCCATGATCTCACTTTTCATACTGACTTCTCGTTCTCTTCTCTTCTCATATGTCTCACTGGATTCCAATTCAATCAGAACGATCAGAACATGTACTTTTTTCATGAAAGAATAGGTTAGACCGTGGCGCATGTTCAACCTGAATAAACCAGGGTTGGTTATGAATTCGTGTGAAACTGCCTCCACTCCCACGTGTAAGGGTGCGATCCCATGAATGCAGAATACGTCGACCGAAAACAGAAAATCATGAGAGTGAAAAGAACAACAATATCTATCTATCTCTTTCGCACTCATGATTTTCTGTTTTCGGTCGACGTATTCTGCATTCATGGGATCGCACCCTTACACGTGGGAGTGGAGGCAGTTTCACACGAATTCATAACCAACCCTGGTTTATTCACGTGTGAGGCGGTGTTTACATGCTTGCGTTCGAACGCTGCGTTTTGCGTTGAATAATGAGATAGAGAAAGAAAGACATATACTTCTGTCCTTCTTACACTCACTGCTCAACGCAAAACGCAGCGTTTGAACGCAAGCATGTAAACACAGCCTGAGGCTCATAGACATATAAAGGTGCTTCTATACCTCTGGTGGATTGGTCAAGCAATCGGCTCGATGAATTTTCACGGTCGGAAAATGTACTTTCATGGCGGGTATTTTTGAATAAGTAAATGTTGAAAAGGTTTTTACTTGAAAATTTATTTAAAAAAATGATTTTATCATAGAAATTTTTTTGAAATTTATGTTAAAAAACATGTTTTATTTCAAAAGTTATCAAATTTTAATTCAAAATGTTTTAATTTTCCAAAGAAGTGTAAAAAGCCTAATGTTTTTGAAATGCTAGTACAGACGGTACAGACTGTTTGTTATGAATGTACATAACCTAGCGTTGTGTTGTCGTGCTTGTGATATTATATTCTAAATTTAATGATTTTATTATTATTATATTAAATAATAATGAACAGACAACACAACGCTAGGTTATGTACATTCATAACAAACAGTCTGTACCGTCTGTACTAGCATTTCAAAAACATTAGGCTTTTTACACTTCACTGTAAAAAAATCTGGTGTAAATTTACTATGTCCGACGTTGGAAAGTTTGGTCACTATGTCCGACGTGGTATTTTTACACGCCGACTGTAATCTACATAACCTGCAAATATTTTTTGAAATAATATATTCAGTCGTAACTTTTTGTATTTATGAAATATAGCCCAAAACTTTTTGTAATATTATTATTTACTTATAAATTAGCATATACTTTCTATAAATGTACATTATATACACTTTTTTAGAGTTATTTATAAAAACTTGAAAATTTTTTGAAAATCTTAAAGGAATAAGAAAATTACATTCGCCATGTAATTGTACAGATCGTGCGACGTAATATTACGTCAAAGTGTAGAAATACACGCAATGTAAAAATACCACGTCGGACATAGTGATCAAATTTTCCTACGTCGGACGTAGTAAATTTACACAAAACTATTAAATTACATAGTCGTATAATGTAAAATTATTAAAAATAGTAAAACTACTTTTGGAACGAAATAAATTTACTACGTACAACCTATAATTTTGATGTGTGAAATTACAAGTTTCGTGTTATTTTACACCAGATTTTTTTACAGTGATTCTTTGGAAAATTAAAACATTTTGAATTAAAATTTGATAACTTTTAAAATAAAACATGTTTTTTAACATAAATTTCAAAAGAATTTCTATGATAAAATCATTTTTTTAAATAAATTTTCAAGTAAAAACCTTTTCAACATTTACTTATTCAAAAATATCCGCCATGAAAGTACATTTTCCGACCGTGAAAATTCATCGAGCCGATTGCTTGACCAATCCACCAGAGGTATAGAAGCACCTTTAGAATAGACTGCGCAAGAGGATTAAAATTCAGCTTGTGAAATAGAAAGAGACATCAATGCGTTTGACCAAACGGATAGAGCAGAAGAACCGATTGTCAGACTCTTTCTAGCGCACGGCATGCTTTGGAGTGAGGGAGAAAAAAGAGAGTTCTTACGCTCTATCCGTCTCTTTTTATACCACCGGCTTGCTCCTCTCATGGGAATCATGAAACTCGCGCAGTCTATTCTTATATGTCTATGGTGAGGCTGGAGTCCCATGGTAGCGTTTTGTAACTAGGCAATGAGTGCAAATAGAGCAAACCTATTTCTGTATCTCTCTCACACTCATGGCCTAGTTACAAAACGCAACGCAAAACGATGCCATGGGACTGTACCCTCGCGTTCGAACTGCGTTTTGCGTTGAGCAGTGAGTGTAACAAGAATAGAAGTATGTCTTCCTCTCTCTCTCTCTCAGTCATTATTCTACGCAAAAGGCAGCATTCGAACGCAAGCATGTAAACACCGCCTTACTCGTTCGTGAACGATTTTCGAGAACCTATTGTACGTCGGCCTTTATAACTTTATAGGTTATGAATAAGTTATACTTAAATCCTTAAATTCAAGAAGCATTATAAACAAAAACAAGGAGAAAGAAGAAGTCACTTAAATGAAGATTTCGTCAATATTTTCATATCCATCAAATTTAAAACCACAGTCGCGGTATATTTGCCTATTTTTTTAATTGAAACAACTTTCTTAGTATACTGGCTATTTGTATGTACAAAAGGCCATTAAAAACAGCTGCCAAGTTGAAAGATGAATTTATTGTGTTCATTTCATAAACACATGTACTTCCTCATGGAGATTTTTTATATCAATTTATTGCTTCCTCATGAGGAAGTATTGTAAAAACCAAAATATTTCAAATTCGATTTTTTGACATATCTTTATGTTATTTGACCTCAGGGATTCAAAAACGACATTTTTAAAAATGTCATTCCGCATAAGGTAAAAGTACCAATTATGGGACGCTGTTTAAGCTAAACTAAATTTCTTGGAATCGGGAGTGTTAATATGAATAATTAGGGTATAGATTGAAAGATTGATATGTTATGAATAATATTTAGACCCTAAAATGGTTATTTTTCATGAAATAAAAATAATATTAATTAAATTATGAAACTCTGCACTGCACTAATTATGGGACTATGATTTCTGTATGTACGGGTGTCCCATAATGAATGTTCCTATTATGAGACATTTATTTAATTCAATAAGTAATTAGAATTCTATTGACTTATCCTAATAATTTGAATATTAATTATAAAGAATAAAATACAATAAACAAATTCTGGTTTAAAAAATAATTATAAAACTAATTTTTCTGGTAGAAAATTAATGCGAAAAAACTGAAAATATTTGAGGTTATGTTTGCAGTATATTTCCTGTGTGTCTCATAATAGGGATAGCAAATAATAAGTGCACCTAATGTGGGACGGTAGTCTGACGAAAAACTTGGCTTACCTTAATTTAAAAGCTAAAATGCAAATAAACATTTCTTATTAAATTAAATGCTATACACAAATAATTATTCTTTTAACGTGTAAAATTTTTTGAAATAAGTAGAAATTTCTTATGACCAATTTTAATTGCATTTATTTTATTTTTTGTAATACTGTCTCATAATAGGGACAAAATTGTAAATTGTCCCATAATTGGGACCTTTACCTTATGTGTATAAAGACTACACTGTTTAAAAATCATTTTCTGTAATTTTACTACTCTGAAAGTACCTAATAAAATTGTAAAATTCACACATTAAGGGGATTTGAACCTTGATGACGTCACAGTTTGTGCAAAGCATTAGTTTTAAATCTGTGACGTCATCATGGTTCAAATGCCCTTAAAAGTATTAATTTTACCAAAGAGAATTTAAGTTCGCTATTTTTAAAGACGATATTTTACAAGTTTCCATAAAATTCCATAACAACACTAAATTTACATTAAACAACACTAAGTTTACATTCTCATAAATATCTCAAGATTATGAAGAGCTTTGGGGATGAATTGTTTGTTTAAATTGTAGGTCTCACGTGCTGACATAAAATGAAAGTAATTTGAGATAGATTAATAAATATTTGTTTTTGATTTTTAATTTTTCAAAACAATCGTTTTTTGCCCATAACTTTAAAAAAAATGTTAGGACATCTATTTTTTCCCCTAATTTTGTAGAGTTTTTTAGACGCGTCTTTTGAGCCCTTTTTGAACATTTTTCGTCCATATTAGCCGAAGATATTAAACTTTTAAAACTATACAATTTTGGAAAATAAGACTTTTTTAAAAAATTTGTTATGAAATGTAGGAGTAATTTCAAAAACTACAGAACCAACTTGTAGAGCATTAAAAAACGTTTCAATTGACTTATTTTTGAAATTATTCGATTAGAAATTATGAAATTATTGGTATTTTAAAAACCAAAAATTATAAAGTCTTATTTTTGAATTTTTTTTTAGATGTGGAAGTAACTTTTAAAGTCTTATAAATAATAATTTGTAGAACTTTAAAAATTGCTTTGATTCACCTATTTTTTAACCTATTTCGATCAGAAATAAGAATTTTTGTTATTTTAAAAACCAAAAATTACATGGAAAATATTTTCAAAGTTTATAGTAAAAATAATTTTATAAAAGCAGAAGCGTTTAAGATAGTTCTCCGGCTTCTACTCTTGTAAAAATTGATTTTCGATAGATTTTCTTCTTGAGAAAATGTTTCTTTGGGTGCCCTTTAAATGTGATAACAATTTCAAAACCCTTTGCCATGTCAAAGAACGAGATATTGTGGTTGACATTTTTTATTTTTAACATAATCGCATGTAAAAGTGAAAGTTTAAACTTGAATAACTCAAAATTTAGCATCGCAAAGGGGTTTGAAATTTTAACCACATTTAAAAGTCACCCGAAGAATCATTTTTTCAAAATTTGAAGAAAATCTATCGAAAATCAATTTTTACAAGAGTAGCAGCCGGAGAAATACCTTAATGTTATAAAATTTATGCAATAATAAAAAATAAAAAAGAATATACATATTTTACAGAGAAGTGAAAAAAATTAGTATGAATTGAGTTTTTTTATTGAACACGTGAAACAAAAATAAAAATGTTTCTAATAAAATTAAATTTACCAACTCTATAAAATCAAAAATATAAAATATTTTTCAAATATGGAATGTAAAATCACAATTAACTATAGTAATTATATTTTTCTGATATTCTACTTATGATTGAATCGCATAATTTTAAAATTTAATAAATCTTAAATTTTAAAAATAACATTTAACAATTTAGTTGAAAAGTTATTTATTATGTATTTAATTTAAAAAAAAAATAAAATGAAGAAAAGCAAAATTTTGAAAATTTTGAGCCTACTATGCAATTATTATGCAAATGAGTAATTGCCAAATTTTGACGAATTTACTAATAATTATTCTAAATGATACAAAATAGGATTTTTAAAGTTTAATAGAAATAATAAAATTAAAAATTCTGAGAGTCTCACAACATAAAATTTATCAATTTTTAATCAAATCACTAAAGAAAAGTTCAAAAAAGGTAAAATAAAAAAAAATTTTTTTCCAGGGTTTGAAAAGAGTGGATTTGGATGCTATTGGCGAAACTCTTATAAACTTTTAAAAAAATAATTTTTTAAAAATGGAAAGTGAAAACACTAGTTCTGAAGATGAGTCTGTAATAGAAGCTTTAAAAGAAGCAGCCGATCAAACTTTTCTAAAAGAATCATTTTTCGTTAGACCAATTACCAAAAGTGTAGACAAAGAAGGTATTTATTTAAAATATTTAATATTTAATTCAATTTAAATGTAATGCAATCAGTCCAGGGTTAAAAAAAAATTTTGTCGTAAGGTCCCTTTTTCCAGGCGTAAAGGGTGGTATATTTTTTTTGAAAAAAAAAGTTATAGTCAAATACATTTCTGCTCATTGCATTTTTATTAAAATTTACTCTTAAAAATATACTAGAATCTGTTCATGTTTTGCATATTTTTTCTAGATTTTCCATTGAAAACAATCGGTCTTGTTTCTTGAGCAAGAAATGTAATTTCGACAAGTCCCGAGAAATGTTTTATTGTTTCCTAAAAGAAAACTATATTTCTACTGTAGTATTGCAAGCCATTTATTGTAATATTTTTGGCTGTTCCAAAGGTCTCCAGGGTAAAATAAATTCTATTAAAATTTCCCTATTCCATAAATTTATACTATTTATTTCTAATACAGTTTTTAGAAAGCATATTTCAGCCATTTACATGTAAAATATATTTGGAAATGTCTTTTGATAGCAAAGCCCTTTTTAGACACTTAAATACTTTTCTGAAAAAATTGTTCAAAAAAAATTACCTTTAAATTGAAAACTTTTTTTTAGAGTCTTTGACGAATATACGTGAACAAGAAGCAATTAAAGCAAAGTCGATACAAAATTCAGAGTATAATATATTCGGAGTCTCGGATTATTTTCAGAAACATGTTGGTGACAAGCTAAGCAAATCATTAGAGAAGTATGTTTATTTTGTAAATCAATACAAGTTTTATTACTATATCATTAAAGGGAACAATTTTTTAGCTTTTCTATTATGTATTAAATATTTGTTTCTATTTAGTATAATTCAGAAAAATTAACATTAACATTAAATTATTTGAAAAGTTTTTATTAAGTAAAAAAGTCGATTACTAATGGCAAGTTTTTACTATGCACCATCTAAAGAACAATATTATTTTCTTATTTCGTAGAGAAATTGAATTCATAGACGATTATCAAAACCTGAATCTTACCGTGAAAGGTGATGACTCAAAATTGAAACTTGGAATCAGATTATTAAGCCCATTTGATACAATAACACAGGACGAAGAAGTGAATTGTGTTGAAAATAAAAGTTCCTTTGTGCAAAACAAACGTTCTAAAACTGTGGTAAGTAAAGATGAAGCCAAATTGTGCAAAGAAAGAATTAAGGAAGCAGTTGTGAGCCATGAACGGATTTTATCAAAAACTGACACTAAGGCATGGTTTGTTAGAAGAAAAGAAGCGGATTTTAAATATAAAAAATTATCGAATGGAACTTTAGTTGAACAATAAAATAAAAAAGCAAAAATTTACTGACATATTTTTTAAATTCTCCAGGTAATTAATTCACTTTTTAATTTATAAAATTCAAACATCTAGATTCGGAATAGTGAATTTTTTCACTAATATATATTTAGAATCGATACGTCAGACCTGAGGTTCATCAATTTGTTATAATTCTGACTTTAAGCAAATTTACGGACCTTTACGAGATTTACTAGTTACCTAGTTCAAGCCTTAAAAATATCTAAACAAAAAATTTTTTAATCAATTTTTTAATTTAAAAGAAATCGATTTTTGTATTTTTTGAAATAACTTTATTCTTTATTAAAATTTTCAATTAATTCTTGTCAAAATTGTATTTCTGACATGAAAACGAATAGATTCATGTATATAAAGTATATATTTTATCAATATTTACAAAATTAATCGATATTTTTATTTTTCACAAAAAATTGAAATTTTGTATTTTTTGAAATTTTATCTTAATACTTTAAAATAATTATTCTATAATAAAAAATTAAGCAATTGGTATGGGGCCATCCATAAACCACGTAGCCACTTGAGGGGGAGGGGGGGGGTCAAGCAATTGACTACGACAAGAGGAAAAAATGGCGCTAATACATGTAATAGCGTACTACATGGGGGGAGAGGGGGGGGGGTCAAAATTCCCAAAAAATGGGGCTACGTGGTTTATGGACGACCCCTATTGTATATTACATTGAAGAAGCTAAATGATCATGAAATGAACGACTTGTATCTTTTTATAAAAAAAATGTATTGAGCATATAGTAAAGTACAAAAGAGGTAAGTTTATAAAGCGTTTATAAGCGTTTCACCACCTCACAAGAATGTGATCGCCATCTTGAATCGAGTAGTAGCTCAGTTTTTGAAGAGGTTTGTCGAGAGGAATCTCCTCTTTTGATAACTGGTTCAAATTATTTAAATTAGTACACGTAAAGAATTTACAATACGGTGAATGATAGTAATTTTTGTAATCTAACTTACTTCCTGCTGGACAAAAGAAAGAGTTGGTATTTTTCCGTAAGTTTTGAACAGCCTTTGAGCGAGGCCCGTTACTTTTTGCACATCCATGTCTTTCAGAAGTTTCCTTTTTATCCCTTTCGACTGAGCTGGGTCATCGGGACACGCAAACTCAACGGAAATAACATTGGAAACCATTGCCAAGTCTGCTTTCGAGGTAGGAATGTCAGCTACTCCATATTCTACAAATGAAAACTGATGAAAAAGTTGCACATTTATTTTTTAAAAGCGGGACATACTTTGCACTAAAGCTGGATATCGAGGATGGTTACTCAAGAACTTTATTCGATTTTTTAAATCGTTCTCCGATTCTTTCCACTCTCGAGCAAACATTTTCAAATAATCATTCTCGGCTCCCGTTCTCTCGGTGTAGAAAATTTCTGTCTTATTAAGGAATTTCAAATTTGATATCCTAGCTATTATTAATTGTCGTGTTGTTTCAATACTTTCTCTCCTTAGAATAGGATTTTCTCTAAATTTTAAATCTTCTAAACACTTTAATTTGTCCAATTCACTTATGGATATCCACTATAAAATAAACAACAGTTAATTTTATTAGCATTCACTCTTCATAATAAGATCTCTAACTCTAGAAGCGGCAACTTTAATCATTCGTGACTTCGAACTACTTTTCATCCATTTGTTCACGCTTTCTGTATATGAGCTTACATTCTAAATTACTGTTGAGATAAACTCTTACCTCTGATACATTATTGTTAGATATATGCATCTGTTTTAACACTGGAAAGTAGTTGGTTTTTTCAGTTGAACTTTCGACAGGAAATCTTATGAACGGTAGTTTGTTACAATTCAAATTAATGGATTCTAAGCTGCAAAGCAAGCAACATTACAATAATTGCCCAACTTTTAACACTGAAAAAACCTAGGTTCTAATTGAGTTTAGCATGGGCTCATTTTGAGTTGCAACAATGACGAAAGAAAAAGAATAACCCAGGTTTTTTGTGTGAATGTAAGAACATTAAATTACTAACCATGGTAGACATCCCAGTTTCAAAATCTCATCCCAACTGTGAATTTGGTTTTCCTCCAAGTCCAAACTCGTTAACTTCATGCAAGTGAATTCTTGAATGTCTTCTATTAAGTTGAAGGAAACAGAGAGATTATTTAAGGCGGGAAATATATTTATACAACGACTAACGTCATGCGTGGTGTAATTCATTTTCGTCATTGTTAAATCAGTTACAGATGAAAAGGCATGTTTTAATTCATCCAGTTCTTCATCGATTGTTAAATTATTTTCACTGAAAAAAATGTTTCGTTTATAAGTAACACATTTATCTTATTCAAGTAGAGCCAGGTCTCGCTAAGTGTCGTTACTGGGAATTTTTTGGGACCGTCGGTCTCAGTAAGTGTCATTGGTCTAAACCACGCCCCTTCAGTAAAAGTTGTCATTTCATTGGTTTATGTTTTGGCCAAGTCGATTTTTCGCATTGGAGAGGTTAAAAAAAGAGGGGACAGTGACACTTGTCGGGTCTCGAACGACGACACTTTGCGAGACCTGACTGTATATAATTTATAAACTTTATTAGACTTCGCAGAGATAATTAATTTCAAATTTTTGACATCAGGACAATCGAATTAATCGCTACTCGGAAATGTTATTTTTTCAGATAAACATAATACCTATATTAAATCAGGCCTGTCCCAATACTTCTCCACTCACAGTCTCACACTTTGTACCCCCCTGTTCCGACTTACCTCCACAGGCAGTTTGGCGCAGAGGGTGAGAAAGGAACCTGAAAGGAACTTCTTGTGCTTCATTGCGTATGGGTGAGAGGCGATTCCCCACCACAACCGCTTTGCTCCAGGAGCAGATTTGGACAGGCCTGTATTAAGTAATTATTTCCTTGGAATGTTTTCTTTACTAATTATATCAAATATTCCTTTTAGTGTCTTTCATTTAAATAATCACGTCAGGACTCTATCGAATTTTCATCATTTCCTTAGGAACTATATTTCTTCACTTCATTCCGATTCTACTGAAGTTTCTTTTAGATTAAACATCCCTACACCTGCAGATGATTGACTTACAGATAATATAATACACAAGATGTTTTATATTCTTACCTGACATTGAGTCTTTTCAAACGAACTAGTTGAGAGGTTATTTCAGCCACGGTCTTCCAGGAACAAATGAGGTTTTTCGATAAATCTAATTCGGTTATATTAGGCGACAGTTTACTTAGTTCATCTTGGTTCCCTGCATTGCTAACGCATTCTCCCCTCAAACAAACTACTTCCAAGTCTTCAAATTTACTCTGTTTCTTGTTGACTTTCGAAAATCCAACCATCTCCATGAAGGGAGCATTCATTTCCTTTTGTAAACTTGATAATGTGTCTCTGTCAATGCCTGCTAAGTCATCATTGATCAGACCGTATTTCATTTTAATTGCTTCTGGACAGGATATTCCGAACTTGACTTTTTCTATGCGTACAAAGGACCCCGAGTTTGGATGCCTGGAAAAGCAACAATAGTTATTATTTCATTTACAATTAAAAGAGAGATAAAAACAAACGGAAAAAATAAATTCTGTAAGAATTCCTGAATTTGTTCCATAATGGAGGATTTGTGCAAAGTTCCAGAAATTTTTAGAAATTCAATGTAAGTATATCTGAATCGTTCCGAACTAATTACGAAACGGTTTTTGTGAGACTTTCAAAATCAGCATTGTAAATAAATTCCTGGAGAAATACAGGACTGGTCCATAATATTATCGAAATTTTGTCGTAAAAATTATATTTCTTCTAAAATAGTATTTACAAGCGTCTAATCAAGGAGAACTCCAGTTTAAATTTCATAATAATTCCCGAACTTCATCGAAAGAAAAGATGTGCCGACCCCGTTTCTCACAAGCACTGAATAAAAGTAAAGTCTAGTATAGGGTAAATGCACTAGTAGTCGGACACTTAAGGATACAATCTTAAATTATGCTTTTTTTCTTGAAATAGCAAATATCTACTGTGTTTATAAGCACATTATTAATTAAAGGAGTTCTTCAGGATTAAAAATCATATAAATTTGTTACAAATAGTTGAGTATTTAATAAAATATAAACATTTTAATAAAAAATTACGAATGCTTTAGTAGTCGGACACTTTTTCCCCTTGTTTCTATAGTCGGACATCTGTCAGATATTTTGAATTTATAAAAAGAAAAAGATCATTTTTTAATTGCTATCTGCTGGAAAATGGAATTAAAGCATATTAGAAGTTATTAATATAATATTTAAACCCTATAAGTTTTAAAATTTATGATTAATTGTCAACAAAACTTTGTGCCACTCATCGCGCTACTCGAAAATGGTTGTATCTATAGTCGGACACCATGATTTTTAAAACATTAAATAAAATATTTCTTGTTTAATTATTTTCGAAAATAACACTATTCTAATAAAATATAAACTTCACACATTCGTCTAGTATACTTTTTAAAGTAATTATCACAATGCATTATTATTTATTTGCCAAAAAACATGAAAGTGTCCGACTACTAGTACTGTCCGACTATACCCGCACTTACCCTATAAGAGACTTCCCAGGTCCCTACTCATTTTTTTATTTTTTTTTAAATACACTTTTTAGACTCAAAAATCCAAACAATAATAGTAATGCCCCACCCTACCCTAACATAATAATTAATAAATAATTTCATTTTGGCATGTATGATTCTAATTTTGTTATTTAAATTATTTCAGCCATTGAAACGAATATTACGTACATTAATTTTGAGGCAAGTTTAAAAAATATAACAAATGATAAGTTATTTAACTTTTTAAGTTGTCTGATACGTTCATAATGAACCAAAGGAATTAATGATTAAAATTTTTTTGTAATTTTCAATTTTGAAACATTATAAATTAGAGATAGAATTTGGCAACTGAATACAAGAATTATAATAACGCTCTTTATTAATCATACACGTTTTCAATTTATTTTACAGTGAGTTCTCGCGAGTCGTTCAACTCACGAGTCGTTCAAACTCGTCAGTCGTTCAACAGCTGATCCGTGTCCGATTCACGAGTCGTTCAATTTCTGGTATGCGCGCGCTGGTGCTCAGTGCTGTGTAATTTAAACGGACCAAAGCCATTGAATATTGTGTCTTTCGGGGTGATAAATATGTTTCACACATCCCTGAAATCGCCTTGGAGGCGTGGCTTATGCGTTGAACGACTCGTGAGTTTTATGATCTTGAAAATTTTCGAGAATTGAACGACTCGCGAGAACTCACTGTATTTCAATCTGCAGATGTGCTCAATTTATTTTATTGCAATCTGCAGATGTGCTCTCTCGTATTTTTTAAGAAATTAGTTACACATATTGCAATGAATTCAAGGAGAAAAACTAATTTCTGTGTTTACAAACAAAAGCCAATAGTCGTTTACATTTAAAAATTTATAATTTAGCTTTAAAAGCTGTTTTAAGGTGGTAAAACGTCATGGTATGGCCTGTCCCCAGTACGATGTATATAAAAAAAAATTTTATTTTTAATAAAATACAGTAATTAATCTAAAAATTATTCATAGTTTCGTATTATTTATGTTCGTAGAATTGTGAAAAACAAACAACTTGCGAGAAAAATTTATTTAAAAAAATTTTTTTTGATGTTTATTCTTGTCTCTCTTTTCGCGTCATGGTCTGGCCTTTTTATAAAATTGTATTATTTACATAAAAATCAAATCGAAACTTTACTCAATATTAGTAAAACGCAACAACAAACTCTCCTAAGTAAATTAATAAAAGAGAAACTAATTTGAGAATTAATTGTTTTGTTTTTTAGACATTAAAAGCACTATAAACTTGCATAGGGAATCACAGAATCGTCATAGTCTGGCCTTCACATACTTCCCAATAAAATTAATAATTATTTATATTTTACGTCAATTAAAGTGTAGTAGTATTAGATCAGTGAATATAAATGACGTCAATATGAAACAGAATGAAAATCGCTAATAAATTGTTTAAAAAATCATTTTTTCTTGAGCGTCATGGTCTGGCCTTCTTGTCATGGTACGGCTTTTCTGTATTGAACAGCGTGTAACAACAGAGTGAAGCAATAATTGTTAAACAGTTGTAATTTGAAAAATAACATATACAGATAATTATTATTTAATTTGCCTGTAAATATAACAGGTGCTTTCATTTTACTATGGCTGGATAGTATTGCCGCAAAGTATATACAGATATATAAAAATTATTTGTTTAAAAAATAGAAAAATTATAAATATTTTGTCCGGCCCACCACTGATATTTCATTTATAAACACTAAATTTGAAGATTCTATATTGACTTTTACTCAATTTGAAAAAAAAATCAGCAATAGTAATAACTAAATCGTGCGCTACGTCGAGAATCACCCATAACGTTATATGCCATATGAGTTATACGCATATAAGAATTGAAACTTGTACCTAGAGTAACACTGCAAATTTCATTTTTTGAATTTATTAACTCTATTTTATTATTTGTATTAAGCAACTAGGCTTAAATTTACTAACTTTTCTTAGTTCAATAGCTTTTTAGAGATTTTCTAAAGCAGTTAAAATATGAAAATAATTAATAGATGAGTTTTGAAACAGAAAGATTTGTCAGTAACATGAAATTGACCGGTTCTGTGGATTTACCCAAATAAACACGGATTGTCAGCAAGTTATGTTATTGCTTTGTCATTATAGACAAGAGTCTATACGTCTGAGAAGAGGAAAGAAAGTTTTGTTTAGAGTGAAAATATCTTCCTTTCTGTTAATAGTGGAACGATTTGTTTTAATATGGATCATTTCAGATATTCGTCGTTTTGTAAAATTTTGTCTTTACTCAATTATCAATCGGTTTGAAATTTGGTACAGTACTTCTTGACATAACTTCTCAGGTATCCCTGGGAGCTTTTTTTAAAAAATAATAAATACTAATTTTACAATAACAAATTAGCTGATTTTTATAGAAAAAATTGTTTTTTATAAGCCTTCACTGTTTCTCATTAAGCAGTCACAAGAATGCGTAAAGTAAGCACTTTAAGCACTGAAAATTAGTTTGTGTAACACCTGTTGGAAAAGAGTTACTTTTCTTTAATATAAATGCAGCAGAAAGTGTTGCACACTTCCGGATTCATTACTTACTCTAACAGATTAATTTTCAATTAAAGCGGATTAATTCCGGATGATGAAGAAAGCCCAACTGTTGAGGATTAGTCCGGAATTAATCCCAAATCTTAACCAGATAGATAACGCATTACCTGGACAGTAATTACCATGTTTTAAAATATTCCACTCCTTCGTAGGTTCCGCCGTGCTTTCCACGAGAGAAATCATCCCAGTCAATACCGAACCACAGTCCTTTCGTACTTCCCACTGAACCAACATATTTTAGTGTGCCACAGCATCCGTCGCACTCAATTCGACTATCAATTTTGTAGTTTTTATCTTCTACCATTTTTTGCAAGGTTGCTAAAAATATTAAGCAAAGACAAACAATTATTAGTTACATAATTTTAATAAATAAAAGGTTTTATATTCTTATTATGGTCCCTATAACAAATACACTCTTAATCTGAATCAGTGAAAATTTCACTGATTCAGATTTTGTGTGTATGTAAGAAACTGGTCCAGGAATTAAACAATTTCTGTCATTTTTTTCAAGAAATTTTATATCAAACTATTTATCATAGAAAAATTTGATTATTCAAAATCGTGGGGAATCAGTTGAAATTTAATAATGGTAATTTTTAAAATTGAATAATACATGAACAAACTCAACTTCTCGAGTAAAATGCGTTTAAAGTTTTTTATTCAAATTACTGATTTTAAGCGAAAATACCTATAATCGTTTTCGTCATAAAAAAGTATATTTTCATTGAAACATTTTTTTGAAGTGAAAAATTTTTTTTAAAATTTGTTTAAACAATTGCAAAAAAAAATTTTTTAACACGGGACTAATTGCATTACATTATTTTAAGAACCCGTCTAAACTGAAAAATAAATTTTTTTGGTCATAAGGTCCCTTTTCTCAGACGTCGTCACATATGTGCACTGTTAAAAATTGGATTCGAACCTTAAAACAGAAATATTGAAACTATATATAATTCCACTTTTTCTGTGTAAAGTTGAAATCCGATTTTGAATAGTGAATCTAGAAATTCCAGGTTTTGCAATAGTCTTGAAATAAATAGAAAGCACTTAACCCAAAAAAGGAAATGTTCACAAATGAGTCATGCTCTTGGGAGTAGGAAGGGGGTTTCTAATATCAAATGCGATAGAGTGCATTTTTCTCATCACTGAAACGTTTTTTATATTAAGATAATTTTCTTAAATTTAACCATTTATTTTTTATTTACCAACATAGAAGCTACAGGAATATAATTATAAATAATGTTAAATATGAGTTCCTGATGAAATATTCTTGACATAAAGAAAATTCAATTGGTTTGATAGAATAAACAGGCTTCGTACTCGATAATTAATTTTAAAAAAGTAGCAAAGAGTAGCTTTAAGATTAAAAAAAAATAATAAAAAAGTAACTATCGAAAAATTAATATTGAATCTCAATTTTTTCATAATTTCTAAATTAAATATTATTACGGCTTTACAACAATTAAAATTATTAAATACTAGCTGTCGTACCCGTCTTCGACGGGTTTTAGTTTCTTCTAATACATTAAATAGCGTGTGTCTACCAGTCTCGAAAAATGGGAAATAGCGGAGAATTTAATTTGACCGGAAAAAATAATAATTAGCTACCATTAACTATTTCATTAGATAAATATTACTATTTTAAATCAGTGATTGACTTTTTATCATCAAATAATTTATTTTTAATTAATTAAAATGCAGAGAACAATGTTTGTCAATTATTTGTAGAAATTTAATTATTGTATTATAAGTTAATCCAAAATTTTCACCAGTTTTTGGAGTTACAATGAAGTCAAATTCGAACTAATTGTATCAGCTGGGAGTATAATAAATTATGGATTTATAATAAACAAAATTTACAACATAACTACTTCTTAAATATCCAAACAAAATTTCCATCCACAATTAATTGTATCATAATTGCTAAAATCTAAAATAAGACCTATATTGCAGGCTGAATTCACAGTTTTTCCCGATTAAATTAAATTCCTGCATATTTCCCGTTTTTTCCAGTTGGTAGAACCCCTGTTAAAAGTATCAGTAAAAACAAAAACCCGTCGAAGAGTATTTTCATAAAATAAGTGAATTTTTGTAGCCATTTGTAGATTTATTTAATGTTAATTCTTCTCAAGAAAATTTATATTTGATGAGAAAAGATACACCTGTAAAAATTTGGACAAAGCTGGGAAAAACCGGATAGTTTGTTAAACAAAAATAATAATAGACACCTTGTTTAACTTTTGCCTTTACATAATGCTCAAAACATCCCTAAAAGTTAAATCAAGAATTAAAATAACAAAACTTTTTACTATTTAAGTTTTTTCCCAGTAGCATAATGCAAGTATCTTATCACAGAGGTATTCTTGAATTTCTGCAATATCAATTTTATCATAAAAAATCTCCATTTTTAATATTTTCGAAATTTTTGCAATTGAAAATTGTTGATTAATTGGATAAACAAATAATTCTAAATTCCATTATTTTGAAGTCAGAAGTTTATCAGAGACCCCAAAAATACTCCTGAATTAAGCTTGATAGTAATTGGTCTGTCAATTATAATTTTTCAATTTTTTTATATTAAAAACATTTTTATACTTATACTTCCATCTTATAGTTACAGGACAGTATTTTTTTCAAAATTATGTTAAAATATGACAAAATAACATGTAATATTTAATTACTGAAAGTTTAAAAGATATACAATAAAAAATATAAAATTTGGAAATTTTCAATTTTTTTAATTTTTTGAAAAAATTGAATACCTCCCGTTCTAATTAATATGTTTAAAATCTGTAAATTTATTGTTTATATATATCTTATAAAAGTTAAACTGATTAATTTACAGCAATCTGTCAAAATTTTAAAAAAAAATTTCGAATTTTTTGGTATAATTTTTTTTCATATTAATATTATTTTTTAATTCAATTTATTGTTATATATCTTTATAATCATTGGAATTATTAATAAATTAAAAAATGTATGCCAATCTGCAAAAATTAAAAAAAAAAATTTTTTTTGAATTTTTTGAAAAATTCATAACTTTTGTTTAGCTCAATATTTTTTCATCAAATATAGCTAATATTTTAAGTTAGACCAATATCTAAAAGATTGCCAAATTTTACTTCAATCGGTCAAGACGTTTTCAAGTTATACGCGAACAAAATTTTGCGGACATACATACATACATACATAAATACATGCATACATACATACATACATACATACATACATACATACATACATACATACATACATACATACAGACATGAAATTTTCTATTACCATTTTTGGATTCTCCGTTGTTCAAATAAATAAATTATGCTATTAAAAATTAATTTCGTGCAATGTACAGACAAAAGTCTGATTTTATTAATATAGATTTTAATTAAAAAAATCTTTTGAAATATAATTATTTCTAAAAATTCAGACTCTAACATTTTTAATATTGAATGATTATCTAAAATTTTAACTGAAATTCAATTTTAAATAAATTCTTCCTACATAGTTATAGCATTCCTTTTAAAATTTTAGGAACATGATCTTCCTTTAGCTTCGGTTTTTTTCCTAAACAGTTTTGAAATTGTCTCTAAATACATTTTACACGGCGAGAAATTGAAAATCAGGAACGTGTTTTAAAAATACTGTATTCTTTTTAGCAGCTGTGATAGAACGATCATCATTATTCATAACTTTGGCAAGATAAAATAGGGTTTCAGTAACTTTAACAAAATTTTTAACTGGATCTCTATCAATCTCTTCGGGTAGATTTAGATTTTTATATTATTCTGAAAACTCTTACCTGATATTTCCATTACATTGACAAATATTGAAAAGAAAAACCTATAATTTTGCATGGTGTCAAACCTGGTACTTTTCAAATAATGATTTGTCTAATTACTTATTTACTAGCAAGATATGAAGCCTAGATGGAATGAAATCGTCGCACTTGTGTGAAAAGATTTTAAATAATTTATTGAGCAAGTAACAGGTGGAAGGAGAACGAGATGTCACCAAATTAAGTAAATTCTACCCATGAGTTACTAGTATTTTTAAATATGCTTATCTCATTGAAACATACGATCTAATTAACAATTTAATTGATTTCATTTTTGAGTAATTGATTTGTGAAGAATATTAATTGAATCATTAATGCAATTATATTGACTTGGCTTATGATAACCTTTCTTTTAAGAATTGATTCTATGAAGATTTTTTGAAAGTTTATTAATGTAAAATATAAGTTAGTGGGCTTATATTTAATCACTGTGTGTTTAAACAAGTAATTGATATTAAAATTGCAATAATAGTTATAAAAAGGAAAAATTATAAGAATATTAAACTTACGTGCCTTTATATCTCAAAGGAGCTTTTGATGACAATATTAAAAATTATACTTTAGCCCTCGCAAAAGCTAATTGTAATCATTTATTTTTAACTCCAACATAGAAAGAGACATTAGTCTAAATAATTAATCTACATAAAAATGTAGAAACACTAACATAAACATCAGCCCTGAGAAGGTATTCTTTACTATTTTCGAACCAGTGTCGGGTTTGGGTGGAGGAGCGGGTGGAGTTTTAAGGCATAAGCACAATTCCGTCATGGTTAGGGTGGAGTCCCATGACAGCGTTTTGCGTTGCGTCGTAATGGGAGAGAAAAAGATGCAAATATACGTTTGCTGCATTCTCTCTCATTACAACGCAACGCAAAACGCTGCCAAGGGACTGCGGCCTTAAGGTTGAGTCCACAATAGCACCTTAGCGGAACGTAATCTTAACGTAACAATGCTAAGTATATTGTTCCGTAACGTTTAACGTTCCGTTCAAAGTGCTATTGTAGACTCAACCTAATGCAGGTTCCACACTTAAACCAAACGGACACCCGACACAACGCGCGTGCCCCCTCTGCCTCATCTACCAAATGCTTTCCCCTCCTTACGTAGGAGAAGTTAGCATTGGAGAGGGGGCACGTTTCACGTGCCGGGCATCTAGTGTGGAACCTGCATAAGGCCAAAGCACAACTTCGCGAAATGCGAATGTCGTTCGTGTGAACGTGAAGCATGAGATAGAAAAAGATACAAATATATTTCTGTCCTTTTCTAACTCATGCTTATAGTGTTCGCGAACAGTTGTGCTTAGGCCTTTAAATGAGATAGAAAAGGACAAATAATAACATTTTTTTCTCTGTCAGGTAAGTTTAAGGCCAACACACAATAAACTTACTGAAGCCGTTCGCATCAGGGTAGAAAAGGACACAAAAATATATGTCAGTTCTTTTCTAAAGCCGCAGTCCCATGGCAGCGTTTTGCGTTGCGTTGTAATGAGAGAGAATGCAGCAAACGTATATTTGCGTCTTTTTCTCTCCCATTACGACGCAACGCAAAACGCTGTCATGGGACTCCACCCTTAGAAAAGAACAGATAATATTATATTTGTGTCTTTTTCTTAACTCCACACGTATAATGGCACATTTACACTTCTGATCCGATCAAATCACTTTCTGGTTGAGTCCACAATAGCACTCTTGAACGGAACGTAAACATAACGAAACAATATACTTAGCATGTTACGTTACGATTGCAATCCGTTACATGACGTTTGGAAAAACCATTCTTGTCTCTCTCTCTCTCTCTGTCTTTGCTACAACAGGGGCATAAGTTTGTCTCACCCTGAATTTTTTTACTTTTTCCAAAAACGGAAAATGTAGAGGGAGCACTCATGGCCTAGTTACAAAACGTAACTAGGTGCTATTGTGGACTCAACCTGAAGGCCAACGACGCACAAGCTGCGCGAGAAAGTTGTTTGTGAACGTAAGGGAGCATTTAGGGTGGAGTCCCATGACAGCGTTTTGCGTTGCGTCGTAATGGGAGAGAAAAAGACGCAAATATACGTTTGCTGCATTCTCTCTCGTAAGAGAGTCAGATAACAGTCTGTCTCTCTTAGGCTGCGGTTACACCTCTGCAGGTTGAGTCCACAATAGCACCTAGTTACGTTTTGTAACTAGGCCATGAGTGCTCCCTCTACATTTTCCGTTTTTGGAAAAAGTAAAAAAATTCAGGGTGAGACAAACTTATGCCCCTGTTATAGCAAAGAGAGAGAGAGAGAGAGAGAGAGAGAAGAATGGTTTTTCCAAACGTCATGTAACGGATTGCAATCGTAACGTAACACACTGTAAAAAAATCTGGTGTAAAATAACACAAAACTTGTAATTTCACACATCAAAATTATAGGTTGTACGTAGTAAATTTATTTCGTTCCAAAAGTAATTTTACTATTTTTAATAATTTTACATTATACGACTATGTAATTTAATAGTTTTGTGTAAATTTACTACGTCCGACGTAGGAAAATTTGATCACTATGTCCGACGTGGTATTTTTACATTGCGTGTATTTCTACACTTTGACGTAATATTACGTCGCACGATCTGTACAATTACATGGCGAATGTAATTTTCTTATTCCTTTAAGATTTTCAAAAAATTCTCAAGTTTTTATAAATAACTCTAAAAAAGTGTATATAATGTACATTTATAGAAAGTATATGCTAATTTATAAGTAAATAATAATATAACAAAAAGTTTTGGGCTATATTTCATAAATACAAAAAGTTACGACTGAAAATATTATTTCAAAAAATATTTGCAGGTTATGTAGATTACAGTCGGCGTGTAAAAATACCACGTCGGACATAGTGACCAAACTTTCCAACGTCGGACATAGTAAATTTACAGCAGATTTTTTTACAGTGTGCATGCTAAGTATATTGTTTCGTTATGTTTACGTTCCGTTCAAGAGTGCTATTGTGGACTCAACCAGAAAGTGATTTGATCGGATCAGAAGTGTAAATGTGCCATTATACGTGTGGAGTTAAGAAAAAGACACAAATATAATATTATCTGTTCTTTTCTAAGGGTGGAGTCCCATGACAGCGTTTTGCGTTGCGTCGTAATGGGAGAGAAAAAGACGCAAATATACGTTTGCTGCATTCTCTCTTATTACAACGCAACGCAAAACGCTGCCATGGGACTGCGGCCTAACCCATGCATTGTGCATTAAGCAGTTGTGCTTAGGCTTTTATTGTGCACTGACCATAAGGTAGAAGAAGGACAAAACATATTGCCGTTTCCAATTCACTCGGGCAGCGTTTGTCACGTTCATGTCTCATTTCATTAGTTCAGTGAACAGTGCATCCTCTTTTTTACAAGACACAACAAACAAATTACAAAATGGCCGAATTAGTTCTCGTTTACATTTAGTGATGAGTTAATGGAACATTTTACAAAACTTGTAACTTGATGACAAGTATGTGAAATTCTTCAACTTATAAAATATTTTTCTTTATTATTATTTCATAGTTTTGCGTTGAAATAGTGTTTATTTTGATTGTTTATTAAAATTGGTATGATTTTGTTCACTAGTTCACTACCAATCGTTTCACATGAGGAACAAAATATCCAAGTCAGTGCTGACAACTTTTTTACATTTTATCTTAATTGTTTACCATGTATTAGAATAATATTTTTAATATTGTCTGCTTTTTGATAAACACTTCTCTTGGTGAATTTGTGTATTTTTCTTAGCAATACAATCAATTGGGAGTTTGTTGCATAAGTTATATTAATTGTCAAATTTATTTTCTCGAGTCTACGTTATATGACATTATTGGTTGCATATTTTTAGATTTGAACGATTTGAAAGACCAATATTTGAAATTAAGATTTATATTTTATTGATATTCACTTGAAATTCGTTTATTTTAAGGGTTGGTACCTGGTCCATCGGATACTTTGTCTTTCTACAAATTTTCTGTCTGAAAAGTACCTACTTTCCTTAAGACTTATGACAGAGTTTTAAGAGTAGAATAACAATTTTTTTAATTTGATTAATTCACGAGCAGTGAGAGGATTTTGATTGAAATAAATAGAAATATTTATTCTCTTTGACTTTACTCTTGCAGTCGTGGTCAAACTAATGCCAATAAATCTGATTTAGATTTATAAATGAATAAATAATTTTTTATCAAGACGAAACTTGAGAAATTTTTAATTTTGAAAAATATTTTTAACTTTCTTATCAAAAATAAATTTATAAATCAAAAGTTGATGTAATTAAACACTTTTATCATAACCTATAAATTGAAAATTTAAGTTAGAGTAAATTAAAAAATTTTTTTTTTAATTTTATAATCTACGAAGATTTATCCATCTTTATATAATCTTCTAATGCTTTTATTAAAAGTTTTTTACAGTTAAAAAAAATATTTAATTTTGTTTTTAAGTATGGCCAAATGTCATGCATATTTTATAATTTATATCAGGGTGACCACATGTCGGTCATTATTTTTGAATAATTTTTCTAATTAAATTTTTGAAACATACAATTCAAAAAATCTTGAATAATTAAAATAATTAATTTTTCCTAAGTATTTTGTACCAATTTTTAAAAATAAGCTTTTTGAAGAATTTTAATTGCAAATTTTGAAAATAATTGAATTACCTATCAAAAATTTTATTTATTTATTTATTTATAACATTTATTTATTTATTTATTTTATAAAATGCTAATGAAAAATCTTTTAATTGTTTGGAAATTTTTCAATTGTATATAATTAAAAAACTATTATCTTTCAAAAATTATTTTAAAATGTTTTAAAAAAAATTAATTTTAATTATGATATGAATTCTGAAATTTTATTCAATGCCAAATCAGAAGTAGAAATTCGAAGCGAATTCTGTTTCCACAAGAAAACCGAGTGTAATTTGAAGTAAACTTTTGTTTCGTTACTGTATCAGAATCAAAATAGAAACTGACTTTTGTTATAGAAATATCATCAAACAAAACTAAAGTGGAATGGACTTTTGTTTCGTTACTAAATCAAAATCAAAATACATTAATAATTTCATTTTGTCATATATTCAAGCTAAAAGTGAAATAAATTTAAAGAGCATAAAAAACCCTATCAGAATTGAGTTTGACCTTCCAATTTGGTGAAATAGAAAAAAGTTATGAGCTTCTGAATTTCACGGTGCATGCGAAAGGGTTGAATATTCAACCCCTTGTAACTAAGAAAGGGGTGGGGTAAAAATCTAATACTTGCAGGTTAAATTACTATCATATAGAGCAATAAGTTCACAAAGTATAAAAGCAATCGAAAGACATGACCAAAAGAACTGAACAGTTCAAAAAAATGCTTCATATAGAAAAAAGTGACACTAAAACTACCAAAAGGAGTCAATTTATCCCGCTTCGCATATTTGTGTTTGTTTATTTTCCATTAAAAATTATTTGTCATTTGGTAGACAGTTTATATTCGCTGATAAAAATAAACGTGAAAAAATTCTATCGCTTCAGATAATTTTTAATGGAAGATTTACGAATTCAAAAATGTGCTAAGACTATTAAAATATTTGTGATCTAAGGAAACAAAAATATAGGTTTTAAATTCGAAATTTCTAATAATTACATTGTTTTAAAAACAAAAAAAATTGTAATGAAAAGTACACTGAATTGAAATGAAGAAATGAGATAAGCCGATTTTGAAAACCACAAAAAATGTATAAAGTTCGGCTTGCAACATTTTGCAACATTTTAAAAGTTTAGCCTTTTATTAGGAATTAAACTCTTTTCTATTTGTATATGAGTTAATGAATTGTAAGTTTATTTATTGAGATATTAATGTAAATTTCGATTTACCATTGCAGGTAATTGTACTGTATTCTTATCAGGATGACGACTGATACTGAAAAGTATTATTCTAATTGTTTTATATGTAACAGTAAACTTTCAACAAGAAATACTGTTCAAATTTTTAATGAAAAATCAGGATCACGTTCTGAAAGACCTCTTGCAGAGACAGTATTCTCAGTATTGGATATTGAATCTGACTGCAATGATCCGCACTCCAGTGTTATTTGTAGGAAATGTAAAAAATTATTTGAAGAGGTATTGTTACTTTTTACTTACTTGTTTATTATAATAGAAAAGCTTTTCACCACAGACAGGCAATATATTTAATGCATAGTTCAATTTTATTTTAATAATAATCAGCGACCTAAGTTACTAGTTTCAAGTAAATCCTATCAATTAAAAAAATCATCCACCATATTGGATAAGTCATTTTAATTTTAAAAAACACATTCTGAAAATTTTAATTCATATTTTTTAATAATAATTGAACAGTGCTTGAATCTAGGATAAGTCAGGGAAAACAAATTAAAATTTTTGTGACAACTCTGAAAGTTGAGCAACTAGAAAAAAAATGATACATGATAAACTGCTTCGCCTTCAAAGTACATTGTGTTTTTCAAATCACTGAAAGTTCTCTTCCATTATTTCAAGAGACTTATTTAAAGTTATTATTTTAGGTTGATGCGTTAGAATCTCGTATATCTGAAATAAAAGGTGACATATTCAACAGTTACAAGCAAACTCAGAAAGTTATCTCTGAATCGTTTCTAAATGACGATGAACTTAACGATCACGATTATTTAAATGCATTGGCGATGACCAGCAAGGAGAAGACAGAAATAAAGAAGAACACGAATGTGAAAAAAAAGTTTTTAGAAACCAAAAAATTAATAGATCCTGAAGAGGAAAATGAAGATAAAGAGGTAAATTAATTATTTCATTTTCCGTACATTAAAATTTCATTGAATTAAAATTTGGCGGAGAAACAAATTTTTCTTCATAAGGTAAGAAATTAATGCATGTGATGGTTAATTTTAATAAATTCCACTTAATACCAGATTAGTATTGACGGTAAAAGGAAACCAAGTCAGAAGTTTCAAGTCAAAAGAGGCAGGTTTTTATAGATATTTAAAGTTTCATAAATAAATGTATAACTTAGTCGTGATGCTACTCTTCTCTTAACCTGCGAAATCATTTTTGGAAGCCGACAATCTAGAATTATAATTATAAAATTCAATTTGGCGAATAAAAACTTTTTCATTCCATTGAAACAGAATATTTATTAAGCAATAAATAACTATTTAAATTATAAATTAAAAATTTGGTTAATCACCAAATACGTGTATGAACTTAATTTAAATTCTGATAAACAGTTAGTAGGTACAAATTCAGTGTAATTGACGCAGTATAAAATATTTTTAAAAAATAATAAGAATTTGCTTAAATCTCGCTTTAAACTTTGTAAAGTAGACTCAGCGGATTTGGTTTAGTTAGTTAAGTTTTATCTTGGTACTCAGTAAGTTTGGCAATACAAAGAAAGTTAAGAGTGATATTTCAATAAATTTTTACGAACAGCTAAGAAAATGGACGGAATTCTGTGATAATCTAGTAAGTTATGAATAAAAATTTAATTATGGACAGAGAATAAGAGATTAATAAAAAATTATTTTTATTATTATATAGTCAGGAATAAAACGGAATTTGAGTAAAAACTTTTTTACATTTTGATAATACGAACTATTTCTGATCTAGGTATATTACATAAACATAAAAAATATAGTATATTTTTTTAAATTTATTTCAAAAATATTGAGATTGCAGGGCTCGAACTAGGTCCGTAAATCCCGTAAAGGGCCGTAAATTTGCTTCAAAGTCCGTAAAAGTTAGTTTAGAAAATTATTAAAAATAAGAAAAACAATCATTCCGAGTCGAAGATTCGGAGTTATCGATACCTTCATGGTTTGTTTATGAAAAATTTAATTTGTAGTTTAAAGTATGTAATTAGTTTCTGTAATTGGTCAGTAAATGGTTCGTAAAATCTTTTTTTTTCATACTTGAACTGGTTCGAGACCTGATATTACAAAAACATAAAAAATACCCTTGGCTTTTTTATGTCATATCACAATTTGGATAAAGCATTTATTTTATTTTAAAAATTTTCATTATAAAGTTCCAAAAATATTGCGGTTAAAATTATTTTTTTTGTTTAAAAAATATTGAGATTGTAAAGCATACCTACTTGATAAAATAAGGGCATGAGATTTTTCAAACTCATTTGGAGGGAACATTTGCATAGTTTAAGTAATTCAATTAACTACATTCAAGCAAGCATCCCTCATGTCTAATTTATTCATATTTTGTTGTTATTATTATTTAAACATTCAGGAAGATATGATAGAAATTGAGAAAGAATCATCGTCGATTCAAGATGTTTCTGAACTTGTCAACTCAATCAAAGAAGGCGAAGAAGTCATTATTAAAGTCGAATCGTTGGATTACTTGAATAATGACTTGAAAAAGACAGTCTTGAAAAAATCGAAAGTTAATCCGAAAGAAGAAGAATCACAAGAGCAGGTAAACTATTTGCATATTAATCTTTGATGTATTATAATTTGTATTTAATTTTTTCTTTTTCGTAGATTGTTTTACGAGAAGATTCAGTGTACACGTGTTTATTGTGTCCTCGTAATGATGTGAAAGGCGATGCAAAAAGCATTGTAGCTCACTTGAAAACAGTACATGATACTCGATTGTATATATGTGATTTGTGTGGATTAGAATTTAAGAAGCGAACAGATCTTTCTGTTCACCTCGATGATCATGTAGCTAAGGAAGAAGGCGATTTTCAGTGCGAAAACTGCAACAGAATATTCAACAACTTACGACTCTTTAGAATACACAAACGGATTCACTACCCTCAAACCAAATCTTGGCCTTGCGAAGTTTGTGGCAAACGATACAGGTAATATCGTTATTAAAATTACTTTTCATTTCGATTAAAAATTTAACAGAATTCAGAAATCATTTCATATTTAGTGAGCAATGTTTCATTCAATTAAGAGATGTGCGCTGTGAACTGGAAGAAATTCTATTCAATTGACTTGATGATTTTGAAAAAAGCGATTTTATTTTTTCATTTTTTCATTTTTTCTCAGTGCTCAATTTCTACATTATTGTAATGTAAAAGTGCTTTATTCATTTGAAACTAGAAGAGAATTTAATAAAATTACTTTTTTGAATCACAAGTCAGGAGAAAAGGCAATGTCAAGATGAGTCTCTCTGTTGAAAAAAATATCACATTATCAGAAAAGTACGTTATCCGTGCAGAAATTAAATAAAAAGATATCTCCTTTAATGAATATTAATAATTATGTTTGCTTTTCTATTTTATTTGTGTTTTTTTTTTCAAAACAATTACATTTAATTAAGAAGTAGACGTGTTTTTTGACGTGTTTTTGACGTGTTTTTTGTGAAACAAAGTTCTAGAAATTTACTGGAAGAGCACACAAACACACACAAGGGAGTTCGACCATACATGTGCAAATGCGGAAAAGACTTTGCCTCGAAATATACGTACAAGGCACACGTTAAAACACACGAATATCGTCCGCGTCCCTTTGAATGCTCACATTGTAGCAAAACCTTTTTAAGTCAGCAGAATCTTAGTCAACATGAAAGAACTCATAATGGAATTAAAGAATACGTGTGCGATCAGTGTGGTAAGCTAATTAACGATACAATTTTCATTTATTTTTTCGAAAAAAATCAATTATCAATCATTCAATTTTTTAATTTAAAAATAATTAAATTCTTTCGAGGAATTTTATTAAAATTATTTTCAAAAGAATTGAATTGCTGCAAAGATTTTACTATTTATAAAAATAATTTGATTGTTTCGAAGGATTTATTATCTTTCGCGAAATTTTATTGAAAACATTTGAATTTTTGCAAAGATTTTACTTTTTAAAAAAATATTTGAATTGTTTAGAAGGCTGGATTTATTAAAATTTTACTTTTAAAAATTATTTTTGAAGCATTTAAAATGAAAATTTAGAAAACTCTGTAATTGGCTACTTTACATGTTTTTAACATTTTAATAACAGGCAAAGCATTTGGATCACAACACAATTTAGAAGTGCACAATATAGTCCACACTGGTTACAAACCATACAATTGTAGAACTTGTGGTAAAGCTTTTGCCAGAAAAGCCGAAATTAGAGATCACGAGAGAACTCATACAGGTGAAAAGCCCTATCAATGTGAATATTGCGGAGCAACTTTCAGGTAATTTACTTTAAGTCTTTTAAATTCAAAAATATAAAATATTACATAAAAAATTTGTATCGTTGAAAGAAATTTAAATCGGATGTTTTATATAAAATGAAAAAAATTTTACATTCATGATCTTTCCTCTTAGCGTATGAGAAAAATACTTCTAGGATTAAATTGAATTATGAAAACTGGACTTTTTTGACAATGAAATTATTTTCAATGGGTAATATCTACTTTTCAATGTTAACAGTCAAAGATCCAATCTTCAGTCTCACAAACGAGCGACACATTACAACGATAAGAGGTACAAGTGTGATGATTGCGGAAAAGGATTTAAACGTCGTCGACTCCTGGATTATCACATTAAGGCAGCTCATACGGGAGAACGTCCCTATAAATGTGAAACTTGTACAGCAACATTCGTGTATCCCGAACACTTCAAGAAGCACATGCGCATTCATACGGGAGAGAAGCCCTTCCTGTGTGAAGTAACAACAGTTTTTATGTTTGAAATTAATAGTTTCAAAATTTCCACGCCTATTTCTTTTAACAACATCGCTTTGTTTGCAGGTATGCGGTAAAGCTTTCAATAGTCGTGACAACCGAAATGCTCATCGCTTTATCCACAGTGACAAAAAACCTTATGAGTGTTTAGTTTGCGGCACTGGCTTCATGAGGAAACCTCTTTTATATGCCCACATGCAAACACAAGTAAGTTTGCGTCTCTAAAGACATTGTAAGTAATTCATTAACATTGTAAGTAATAAATTTATAATTAATTTACAGGGACATCTTAATGACACAATTGTTGTCAACCAACCAAGATTGACAACAGAAGATGATCAAGTTATTACTGTCTCAGATGGCAATGTAGAATTGTTAATGGAAAATGCCGACACAGAACAGGTACATATACTTTTCAGGGATCACATTGATTTTTTCATGTAACATTAGGTAAAAAAGGGAAATTCCAAAATAAGTACATATTATTGTATTGAGATAACGCATGAAATTTATTTTTTAAATTTTCTTTTACTTTTCCTTTTAACTACAGCTTGTTAAAATCAACTTTTTGTTAGTAAACTTCTTCCGTTAATTATTTAGTAAAATAAACTTTGAACTTATAGTAAAATTCATTACGAAATTAATACAATTTGTCAAAATTTCCAAGTTTAAAGACTGAGAAATAATATAGAAAGATTTTTAAGTCTAAAGTTTGCGTAAAGTTACAATTTTTTTTTCAAACATAACTAAACATTTTTCCAAGAAAAAATGACAATTTAGACTGAACACGATTTATTTTTATGCTCCATTTTTCAAATAAATCACATTCTTTATAAATAATTAATAATTTTGAATTTCCTTTAATAAAAATGTAGCTGAGTGAAACTGGATTGTATGTAACTGATCTAAAGAACCACGTCATCATACATCAAGATGGAAATCAAATATACCATGAAGGAAGTATGCTGAACATTCCTTCTGATAGTGATATTAGTGGTGATCAAGTTCAACATCTTGTAGTGGATGGACAGGTAAATAAATTATGTAGACCGTAAATAGTACATTGTACAACTAGTAGCGAAGTTTGCGGCTCGAGCGTAGCGAGAGCAGCAATCACTCGAGAAAAATCATTCTTTCACCACGTACGTGTTGTGCACTACGTTTTCTCCAACGCCTTGCGAGGAAAGGTTTCTTCGTGAGTTTGGTATAATTTTAATTTAAAATGTTCTTATGTTTAATATAATAAAAGACGAATGTTTTGAGTGGGGAAGAAGTTAGATACAAAATAAATCTCGGTCAAAGAACAAGAAAAAAGAATTAGGTCATGATTTACTTTCGCCACGCTAAATTTACTTTCGCCACGCTCTTTAGAGCAGTTGAGAAAAGTTCTACTTTCGCCACACTTTTCTATCAAGAAAAGTACTCCTTTCAGAGCAAGCGTTGGAGAAAATAACATTTCCATGTTTCAATTAGATTGATACTAATTTGTAATGTTGAACCATTATTCCAGTTGCTTGAAAATAATGCGCATTCGTCTAAAGACGAAGATGAAGAGGGCATGGAAGACGATGACGAAGATGAAGAAGGAGAAGAAGAAGGGGATGTGGAGGAGTTATACAGTTATGAAGAAGAAGATCACAAAGAAACCATTGTCCTACCGGGAACTTCAAATTACAAGCAGATAATAGGAGACAGTAAAAATTCTGTTAGATTGGTGCAAATAAGGATTCCAACTTCTTCTGCTGGTGATGGGAGAAGTTGGTTGAACTTGGTACAAAGCACTTAAACTTGATTCAATTTTCATACAGTCTTTTCTGATTATAAATTTCAATCTGTTTTAGGCAATAAAAGTAAGGTTTCACTGTATCTATGTTTTATTCATTCAAACTGTCTATAGTTATTATTTCATCACTTTTTTTCTTTCATTATGATACTTCAGACCTCATTATCAGATATCATTATCAGATTTTAAAAATTCAAAATGGCGGACCCAACATGGCCTATTTGATTTTTGAAAAATCAATCAAAATCGCTTGAAATTTGACACTTGGGTCTTTTCGGGATCTGATGCTGATTACAAAAACAACATCAGATTTACAAAATTATTAAGTAAAGTAGATCCGAGGCTTGGGGTTATTCTACTATTTTTTTTCGTAATTAAGATTCTAAGTTTCAATAAATAAATCTAGTTCAAGTCAACATAAATAATATATATTTCACAACAATATTTAAATATTTACATCTAAATACAGAAGGAAACGTTCTAGAGAATGTATACAACATACTATACAACAATCGAAGGGCTTAATAATATTTTTTAAAATTATTATCTCAACCTTAGCCACAAGTTTACAAACGAATAATTATTAGAGGTGCATAGAAATCCTGAAAATTAAAAAGTTCTTCAACTTTAAGTAGCGATAAATTATTTCTTCATGTTTATATTCAACCCTAAAACAATAATTATTAAATATTACAATAAATAATTTTACTTTAAGTGGAAATTTATCAAAATTTCTAATGTGAACGCTCCAATTGAAAATAATGACGTGAAAAAGATCATTTATTTCTGTGTCAAACTTTGTAAAGTATATTTTTTTCTCTTTAAATAAAATATCTACACATTTTGTTGTTCAAAACAATAAACTGTTGAAATTTAAAGGTTTTGTTTCGAACAAAAAATGTTTATACAGTAAACATTCAATTATATTATTTTTCATATTAGTAAAAAATCCGAAATTGAAATAAAAACCATTCATAAAAATATTAGGTGCAGTTAAATGTTGTGCTTAAATAAATAAAGAAATTAAGATTTTCAGGTGGTAATTGTTATTAATTTAGTTGAATTCTATTTCGGATCCTCTTTTGTACATAATTATGATAGTTTTGAAGTTTCTCATATATCTCATATACAAGTGTCTCATTTATAACGTCATTATTTTTAGAGAGGAATGTAAGAATGGAATATATGTTTTGTTTTCTTACCGACCACTAAATTCTATATTTTACATGCATAAACTCTGAAAGACTAAATTGATTGAATTTTAAATGCACTTCAATAGGGAATTTGATTTTGATAATACTGAATCATGTCGTAAGCTTTAGTGCGGAAGTTGATGTAACTGTTCCGTATGACGTTGAGCATGAATATTGCAGCTTCGCGGTCTGTAGACGTGGGTGCGAAACGGCTTCTCAACAACTTTATGGTCTGGCCTCTAAAGCAAGGCAATCCCGTGTCCAGCATCAACGAGACCAACGAAATTATGGCTTCCTGATAGGGCCTAATAAGAAACGAATAGAGAAAATGATGTCTCGTTGCATTTTTCACATTCAGATCATTCTACTGTTGAATTAAAACACTGAAATAATGTAAGAAAAAGAAACTGACCTGACGGCTAAAAATGCTTGCACACAGAGTTCCATGAACCATCGAAAAGGCGCAGCTTCCATTTTGCCACCCATCACCAAAACCATTTCGTCTGTCAGTTTAATGTCAGGCTCGAAGCCTAAATTGCCACCAGGGGAACTCTCGAACATGAAGCCAAAATCGATGTGAATAATGTGACCCTCATTGTCGATCATGATGTTTCCGTTGTGTCGATCCTTGATCTGAAGCAGATATGTGATGACGCTGTAGGCAGCCATTGATTTTATGAAATTGCGTCGCACGTTCTGAAATTCGTTTGTCTTCTCATCGCCATACTTTGATATGAAATATTCATACAATCCTCCATCTTGCCGACGACCGAGTTGGTCTCTGGACTCTGCATTTGGAACACATTCTATCACGCCGCACTGCAAGAAAGTTTCACAATTGCAACACTGCCAATGGAAATTTAAATTATTGTAAAGTAGAGTGACTTACACCAGGAGCAGTTGCAACAACTCTGTACGGATATAAAAATAGATTGAGTCCCACTTTCTGAAATATGTTCTTGAATATACTGATGACTTGAAGAGCTAACATGTCTTGTCTCACATCATCTCCAACTTTGAAAATAGCTGCTTGCCAGGTTTGAATTCCTATATTCTTTGTGTCCGCCTTCATGTTTGACGAAACAGTCATTGCAATGTTCTCCAGTTCGTTAATTCCGTAGCGTTGTACTTTGAAACGAGCAAGGAACGGTGCTTTGGCAGCGCTGAAATATAACGTCCGTTAAATAATGTTAATTCTAATTAACATTTCTCACCAGGTGGAATTGAATAATCTAAGATTAATTTTGAAAAAGTACCTCTGCATAGGCGTGCCGCTGTTGTAATCAATGTCGACCACCATCGCTTCTGGATTTGAGGGCAAATAGCATCCGGGTTGAACTTTGATTTCCCTTAAGCACTGGAGGCATGCTTGCTTTCTTTCTATTCCTTTCGGATATGGCCGAATTTCACCAGAAATACTTGTTATCTTTTCAAAGAAGTCAAATTCTCTTTCGTAAAATTGTTTCGCTGGTCCTGAAAGAGCACTCAAGAGACATACGACTAGGGAATCTAGTGTGTCGAAAAGTATAGGATCTTTAATCTGCTTGTCTTCATCCACATACATATTCGTGTACATATTCCAAATTAACTGATGTGCTACAACCTGGAAATGAAAGCAAGCACAGTAATAAAACACTATGTTTGTGTTTAAATAAATTTCTCGACAAACCTGCGACCGCTTTGAAATTGTCTTGATGAACTCCGTAATGTAACCCATTGAATCGTGCCTTAGCGCCTGGACAAGTTGCGGAATATAAAAAAGAACTGCGTCCGCGGGATAACTCCCCAAAACTCTAACTGCATACTGCGCTGAAATTGGGTGATGAGGAAACTGTCTCGAGAAGTAGGCCAAGGCTTGGATAGGCGAGACTCTTGCCCATGACAGCATGTAGACCAACTGTAAATAAGTTATTAAGGCAACATTGATTAAATCGAAGCCCTGTAATTATTAGAAATTGGTAACACACCTCAGGAGCGTCATGCAGCAAAAGATCCGTTGTGACCAAATATTGTAAAGCTTCCGGCACGTGCATCACACTAACGGGTCGAAGGCGCACTAGCCGACAGACTTCCTTGACAATAGTTTCCGAATTCTTCAACCGAACAGGTAAGAAGACGGCCAGCACAGGACTGATGTCCCACGCCATCCGAGTGTACTCACGCCACCGCTCATTGATGGTTTTTAATCGCCATTCTGCTATACTCTGCTCTCCTTGCACTGCAAGATCTGGCCTATCGCCTGGATTTCGCCAAACCTACAAAACGAATCGGAAGATTTGACTCGCGGTCTTCCTCAGATACTTGATAAAAATGATGAATGTTCCATTTACAAACCAGTAACAATTCTATTTCCACAGCCAAGAGTTCGAGAATAAGATTTCTCTTTTTAATATAGTCCTTAACGAAGAAATTGCCAGTAACAATCCGCTTGCTACGATTGCTGCGTTTACTGAGAGTGTTGTTACTAGCTGAAAGAGGTATTGTGTTTATCCATCCAGAAGTGGAAGATTTCCCCAACTCGGAATTACTCAACGTTGGCGAATTGATTAAGTCATTGGCCCCACCAGTAGTGGACGCAGTGCCCATGTGTGATCTAATGATTTCAAACTCTCCGTCGCCATTTGTCATCAGCAGATGCTTTTTATCATTTTTCATTATCTAAGGAAAAATGAAACCAAGTGGTATTAACGTTAAGTTGTTCCAACTTGAAAACAACATAAATAATTAATAGAGGTGTGCAAAAAGCCCGAAACCCGAAACCCGACCGGGTAATTTCGGGCTTTTCACTTTTCGGGTCGGGTCGGGTCGGGCTTAGTCAGTTCGGGTTCGGGTTGAGCTCGGGCAGGGTCGAGCTTGTTTACATACCCGAAATCTTTCGGGTACCTGACCACATTCGGGTTCTCAAAATTTTCGGATACCCGACTACATTCCGGTTCTCGAAACTTTCGGGTACCCGACTACATTCCGGTTCTCGAAATCGCTTAAGCATGCGTTAGCCAAGATCAAATCAAGATTATTCATTTTTGTAGTGAACACAAAAATAGGATGCCAAACTTGATCGCATAGTTTTTTAAGAATTTAATTGTAGTTAATGGTAACCCGATATTTTCGGGTGACCCGATTGCATTCGGGTTCTCGAAATTTTCGGGTACCCGATACATCGAGAAAGCTCGAGCTCGGCCCGACCCGACTCGAAAAAAATTCGGCCCGACCCGACCCGACGTTTCGGGCTTTTTGCACACCTCTAATAATTAAAAATAATTTTATCGTTACCTGCCAAAAACGTCTAAGGGTTAAAATGTCTTCTGAAAGTTGGACTGGTGCTTGAGTCGGACTTTGTCGTTCACGACAAAAATAGTCTAAACTGTTACAGTAAACTCGTTCACGCAAAACGTTCGTGCTCAATGATCTAAACAAAATATTAAAATGTTGAATTTTCTGTATTTGAAATGTATGAAATTGAAGAGATAAAAATCATTTTTCTCACCGTGGCAATGTGTCACCTTGAAGTAAGATTAGTCCACAGGAAAGAAGTTTAAATCGAGTGCCTACAGCTGCTACATGTCGGTTTAAATGAGGTTCGTGTTTCTGAGATCCAACTGTCATGGGCAGCGAACGATGGAGTAGCATTGAAATCATCTCCACAGTTTCCTGACAGCAATACTTTGCTGTTTCTATGAGTTCCATAATGAAAGTCACCCAAATTTCGTGAGGTCTCACGTCGGGAGGATTGGGACCAATTGTGCATCCCTCATATACAGCTAAAGGACTCACGTCCTCCTCTTCTTCTGGAGAAAACAGTCCGATTCGTTTTTCAACTGTATATTGCCAAGCTGCGAGCATTTCCTGCAAGAAGCAAAGTTTTAGATCCGGACGAGCTGTGAAAATCCACTGCCAACAATCGACTGCCGTGGACATTGCCGCTTCTGTAAACAGTTTGACCTGCGACCAGGCGACTGTGTGCAACAATGGTCTGTGTATTCCTGAAAAATTAAACAAGCGCTTTTTCAAGTCCATCTTAGATAAAAGAGAGTTCAGGGTTGCAACGCTTTTGCTCATTTCAAATTCCCTGACTTGTTGTTAAAGGTGTTCAGTGAGATTGAATACCTGAAATTGAAATTAGAAGAGCTGTTGTCCTCCAAAGAGCACTTCTGTGTTCTTTGTCATTTCCTTCTTCGCAGGCTTTTGAGACAGTTTCAATCAATCTTTTGGCAACCGTGTTCTGACCTACATGATTCGTGCCATTTGGAGATTGCGATTTGTCATCTCTCACCTCTTCGGCGAGGCTGAGCATTCCTGCAACTTCTCCTGCATACCAAGAACGAGTCGACATCATTGACAGAAGCCGAGAATTAGCGCCTTTCGCTCGAGCCCTCTTGTCCAAGGTGCTGGTCTGCGGTTGAAAAATGAATTTTAAACGTGGCCAATCTGACCGAAAACAACCGAAAATAAATTAAGGTCTATAAACACAAGAACATTCTCACCAGAACAGTAGTTGTTGCTGTCGGAAGAGCGAGGTCGACGAATTCCAGAATAGAATCGGCTGCCATAGCATAACTAGCATAAGCACTTGTGCCAGAAGCAGGAATGCGGTTGATGTACTCCTGCAGATGTGAGCGAGTTGCGTTTGGCGCCCATTTCATAGCCTCCTGCACGATTTCTTTGCATCTTGCTTTGAAATCTTTCACTATATTCTGTAAACAATCTCAGTCAGTTAATTTTAATTTACAATTAAATAAAGAGAAAGCAATTTCAGGGTTGGCACCAAAATTTTATTTTCTTTTTCTATTAGGTACCTTTCTCTGATTTCAAGACAAAATTTTCACTTTTTCCCTGACCCTAAAGAATATTCTGATTCACTCTAAAAATGATTAAATAGATACTAAAAAAAATGTTCTATTACACTTATTGGCGAATTTATTTCATTGTAAAATTATTCGAAAATATCAATAACTTCTTTTTAAAATAAATATTTAATCATTATTATTTTTCCACAGGAATTAAGATTTTCAAAAAATCCAAATTCAAACCTCTTTGAAATTCAACAACATATAAAATGGAAAATGACCGCGGGATAAAATAATTATTTTATATTATAAGAATATTGTTTCTGTAACATCTTCAAAATTATTTTCATCATTTCTTATTCAATTTATAAATCCATAATTCTTTCGAAAAATTATTTTATTGAAAATTGAAATTTTCTAATAGGTATTTCAAATTGAAACCTTTTGAAGTAGATCTATTTATGAAAATTGTAAACGAAACTCTTTTAAAATTCAATTAATTTTGAAACATTTAAGTAAAATTATTCAATAAATAATTCATAAGTAATAAATTTATGATTGTCAGAAATAAAAAAAATTGAAGGTTTGGTAAATTTATGGGGCAAACAAAAAAGATAGGTACCAAAATTTGGAATTTTCTTATGAATTCTAAAAGTTTAATTTTTTCCAGTACTTTTAATAAAAATCCCCGACTTTTTTTGTAAAACTATGTACCTCTCGAGCATCAATAGTTTCCATTAATTGAATGCTGTAGAGTGTGCCAGGTATTTGTAATTCAGGCGTTTCTTCATTCGGGTCCAAGTGAAGAGAATAAGACAAAACCTGGAAATTGTAAATGCCGCAAGTATCAACTATTAATAATATTAGCCAATACATTGTTATAGAATATTTCTTACTAATAAAATGTCCAACATTGTCCACAGAACTTTACAATTCCAAAGCAGATGAGGAAACGTATCTATTAAAGCACTTAAATATTTATCAGCAATTCGTCTGAGTGGCTTGTGAATATGATTGAAATAAACCAAGAGAAATTTGGCGTGATCCTCCAACTGTTGCTCTCGTTTCTCGTTTTTGGGCTTCCGATACATAACGTCCTTGAATTTCGTGAACACGGCATCGCCAACGCAGCAAATGCACAGCCACATGCCACTCTTGTCTTTCAGCAAGGCAGCGTCACTCAGGTACTCCATGATTGGCTGCAAACTCGGCTCAGGACTATTCTCCACCCTCAGTGTTTCTAGCCAGTAAACAGACAGAAGATACGTGCACTGAGCGAACTGCAATTTCGTGACGCACTGAGAAACGTCGCTCGATCTGCAAAACATTACGTTCAGAAATATCCAGCATGACAAAATGGAGAAATAAGAAAGCAGTCTATAGAGTTTTACTTGCTGCTCATTTTAAGTATTTGACTTCGGAACTCCTGAAGTTCGTTCTGCGAAACACTGTCATTTCTGACGACGGACGTGAATTGCAGCTCACGCATTTCGACTCTTGAACTTATTTGAAAAACAAGATATGGAGATTTTATAGCTATCTCCTTGATGCCTGTGTACCAGTCTCGAGGCCACATTCCACTTGAAGAGTCCGACGCGAATCCCATCACGACACAGTATAGCCAGAAATCCTTGAAGATTTTCAACATTCGTGGACGGGGGTTTCTAATGGGAGGCAGTCTTCGAACTAGAATTGCTATAACGGGTATCAAAATTCCCATTCCACTCGAACAACTCGAAGCTTTCTGTTAACAAATTAAGTTAATATTTTAAGACTAATGTGAATTAAGGGAAATGTTTCTATTTGAATTGATAATATGCATTAGTACCATAGTGGCAGCCACATTATTTGCAGATTTGTCAATTGTTCTTTTAGGTTCAAGGCCCAACTGTACGAAAAGCTCCAGAAGACGGAGAAGTAAGTCGTCTAATTCGGATTCTCCCTGTATGTTCGCAGCAATATTAGCGAGAGCGTTAGTAACTGCAGAGGAGACGTGTAAGTATTTCTGACGATCGTCTGTCGGTACAAGGGGCATCCAAAACATTCGCATAATTTCCTCATAAACCTGCAATTGTAAGTGCTTAGAAACGCGTCTGCCGTTAAAATAAGAAAGGAAGATTGAAATAATAATACTTGTGATATGGATTCTTTTTCATTTCCTTCGCCTGTCCCACATTTGGCAATAACCATGCATCCTAACTGATTTACAATTAAAGCATCCAATGCGCTTTGTTTTCGACAAAAACGCTGCTGAAAGAATTGCAATATAGTTCGAGTAGTCTTTGGTTTATCTTTAAGGGCGACTGCTACATGTCCTAACATTATTACAATATTTGTTGAGATTAATTCATTCGTGATCTGTTTATCGTTCTCACTAAAAACAAATCACAATTACAATGGGAGTAATGAAATATGTTATATGTAAAAATGGAGAATGAATTAAAAACCATTTCATTTCAAATATCCATACCTGTCACTCTTCTCTGAAGTAAAAAGTCTATTTGAAACACTTGCTACTAGAGCCGGAACACAATCAGGATCCACTGAATGTGCAGCTTCTAGAGCCACACACAGATTTCGAATCGCTGAGTCTCGCAAGGTCTCAAATGCCATTTCAGTTAAGGAAGAACTTTGCTTTATGCTGGTTTCTTTCATTTCATTATCTTGCACTAATCGGATAAAAAAATATGCTTTTAGACATTTTTAGTTGCAAAAAATAAATTATAGTGAATTTTAAAAGACTTCTTGTTACTTGCAAATAAGGTTTCAAACTTTCAGCACAATAAGATTAATAAGACGATAATTAATTACTTACATGTAACTTTAAATTTGCTTTTAATATCACGCTCCTTGAATTGTCGATACAGCTTGAGAAGAATTGGTGAAGGTGTCACGAGGAAATCGCGTAAATTATATATAGAAGTAGTTGCAATGTTAGGAAACTTCTGTGCAAGTTTACCTAAACCGTCTAGACAGACCATTAGTAACGGCATATGTGCAAGAACCAATTTGTGACTATAGTTTGAATAAATTTTTTCCGTAAGTCGGCTGCACAGACTGTCGGCTCCTTTAAAAAAATGTTATTACAAGAATTATATTATATACACTAGTTCTATAAATTTTAATAATGCATGTTTGTGTTAAATCATTAACTTCTGTAATAATGAATGCTGATTGAATACGTTTTGAAATGCTACTTATAATTGTAATTGTTTTGCTAAAAGAAACTCGGCAAAGTTTAAGAAAGACTATCTAGAAAATTTATTCTTTCTTTTAGCCCCATTCGATCCACCCTCTGCTAAGTTTATCACACGTTATGGCGTTAAGCGGCATTTGAACTTAGCGCCAAACAGAATTTATTTAGGAACCTTAACATTGCTGTGATTCGGAGAAGAGATGTAGTCATTAAAACCATTATTATTAATGAACAAGGTTTCATAAATGGGAGTCATCGCGACGTATTTATATTTATATTAATAAAATAATATTTTGTAAAGTTAAAATCTGAATTCTCCTTTTCTTATAACCGAAGCAACATCGTTCCATTAGCTTTACACCCAGGCAACAGATACCAAATATAATCATCAACGTTTTGTCACCCTTCTAGGGTCACTCACAATAATACTGGGACTAAACACATGCGTCCAAATGAAATAAATAGAAAAAAATTGACCCAGTTGCCATTAAAATGGGTGGCATTAATATTTTGTTCCATTGGGATACTACGATTGTAATAAGTAATAACTTGCGTAGAATTTTAAACATTCCCTTGATTTTATCAAGATTTCTTTATACTGATTTAGTATTTTCATACAAACTCTTAAATGGTTTTATTAACTGTCCTACTCTTTTGTCAACGATTAATTCATCTGTTTCTGCAAAATTCACTAGAAACTATTTATTCTTTCGGGTAGGTTTTCATTGAATTAATTATGGAAATAATTAATTGATCAATAGGATTAAGGAAATTTGCAGAGGTGTATATTGGGATCTCTTTTGGGGGCGTGGCTTAATAATTTGACCTACTCTCAGTAGTACCATTTTTCGACACCGCGTTAAAAAGCTACTCTGGTTGGTGGAAGCTGGACAAGTTTAGACAAAACGACCTCCTGTCAAAGGTTACAAAAATTTTCAACAGAGAGCGTCTCACGGTACAAGAGATCTCAATAGAAGACTATGTGAACTTTTGAATTGGAAAATTGGACAATTCAACATTCTGTAGTTAAAAGAGAAGAAGTCCTCCTTTTATTTAATGTGACGTCTGTAGTACATTCATAAATTTTAACTATGATAGCTTACCTGTTTCATCACCAATAGCCCAAACCAAAATGTCCACACAAGCAGAGTTAGCCATGACATTCATTTTGAACCTATTAACTGATTTGTAATCCACATCCATCAACTCGCGATCGGTTGTATCATATTGCTGTCGTGACTGCAGTTCCGTTTGCCCAGAGAGGAACAAGCCTTTCATAAATTCTTGCACATCTCGAGTGAATGGAACTGGTAAGTCTCTTTGGCCTTGTAGCAACTCTCTTAGAAGAGCTACCATAACTAAGTTCATTGTTTCACTAAAGGATTTGTACGGGAAGATTTGTACTGCTCCAGAACTGTAGACCTTCATGGTAAGAATTGTAATAATTGTAATAATTATTAAAGTTGTAATATTAAAAAACTTAAATTTAGTTCTTAATTGAGAAAATTTCACAATTCTACAAAATACTGTTCATGGCTTCAAATGTATTTTCAATCATTTCCTCCCGATTGAAAATTTGTTAAATGATAGTTGACACAACAACTTAATATAATATAAACATCAGCCGGTCAAAAGTGAAACCTTGACTTTAGTGCTAATGCCAAAGTGCTAGTTATCAACTAGAGCCTAGAGGAAATGACCGACCAAAATCTGTTTCTGATTTCATAAATATTATATCTTGTAATAATAGAATGAAGTAATTACCTGTTGCGCCTCTTCATCAAGAAAAGTCAAAGTATCTTTCATGAGGAGTTTTTTGGCTAATGCAAGAACACTTTGTAAATGCACGATACTCAGTTGTAAATTTGTTCTTGTATAAAGACTTTCGTTTTGTCGTATTTGAGGAAACTGATTAAAACTAGAACCATACTTGTGAAAAAAGTAACTGCTTGGATCGTATGGCACCGATGAGTATGATTGCAGTGAAGGGCGATTATCATAGTCGTTGCTGGATAATGAAACCGCCGTGTTGTCAATGGGAAGATTAATATTTAAATTGCCGCTTAAGGAACGAGGAATAATTGGTTGGAAATTAGAGCAGTGAGTGCTTTTCTTGTTGCTCAAATTATCAAATACAACTGCAGATACTGGTGGTTTTGGTCGTGGAAACAAACGACAGAGTAACGGAGGATCTGAGAACATAAATCTTCCCATCGAGCGAGCCAATCCTATCAACACCGGAACTAAACATTTGCACAAGAGTACTGAAAGAATTGAATAAAATACATTCATGTGAAAATCGAAATCAACTTTTTTGTTACTGGATGGAAGGTATTAAGTAATACAAAATCTTACTCTTAGCCTGCAGTCCTCTGCCATTGTTCTGAACGCTACTGCCTCGAATAAGGTTTGTTAAAACGGCTAGTATTTCAACCTGAGTGGCAATAATTTCTTCTCTAGCTGATTCACATCTTGCAGCAATATCGCTCATCAATGTGTTCAAGCAAAAGCTGAACCGCTCAGCGACAGGAACTCGTTCTATTCTATTGTAAATTATTTCATCCAGCCACACAGCTTTGGGAAGACCACGCAAGAGTCGCAATAAATAAGGGAGAATTCGGTCGCGATGCTGCAATCCCGACTCCAAGAAGTAAATTCCAAGTGCGATTGTTGCATCTTGGCCCCTTTGATCCAATCGAAAGACGCCAGAACTCTCTTGGGGACATCGCTTGTAGAGTGCATTGACCTGAAACAGAGTGGCATGGCGATCTATAAAAACATCTTAAAATGCATTCATCTTCAAGATGAAGGACCGAAGAATGAGATGTTTTAAGAGGACACTCTAAGTCGCCTAAGTCGCCTTGAAACAGTGCAAAAAGAGTCAACTTTCGGTACTTTTTTCTCAAAAACTATTTATCCAACTATTTATATCCAAATAAAATAGTTACAAAACATGAGATGAACTACAACTGTTGTCATAAACATTTGAACCAAAATGTAAAAAAACTCAATTTTTCCCACATTTTGACGTATATCTCTGTTTATATAAGTTAACAAAATTGTCAAACTATTTGATTAGTATCTTATAATTTTATCAAGATTTCTTTATACTGATTTAGTATTTTCATACAAACTCTTACATGGTTTTATTTGTCAACGATTAATTCACCTGTTTCTGCAAAATTCACTAGAAACTATTTATTCTTTCTTACCTTACTGAATAAATTTAAAATCATTGGTTTTAAAGAAACACGTATCGAAAGATAAGAAAGTCAAATTTGACAGAAGACTAAAATTACCAAAAACTTAAGAAAAAGTCTTGACATTCTGAATTAAATACCCTGAATTTGAACACTTCATTTTCAATCAGAAAATGTTCTAAATAGTCTTATTCAGTTTCTAATTAAGATTACATTAAAATAATCAAATAAAAATAAAATTCACGTTTTTTCTATTTTTAAACTTATTGTCGTTCACATGAATTTGTATATTACAAAGATTTTTTACTTCCTGAAGTCAAGAAACATGGAAATGAATTGAAGAAATAATTATAAATATATATATATATTATCTATTTTCAAGTCTATTCTAAATGTTATAAAACTTCATTTTTATCTAAATTACATTTTAAATACCTATAGGTTTTATTTTATAATTAAAAAACTACATATATTTAAGTTACTAAGTTTTTAACTTATTTTGACTTCAGTTTAAAATACATTCTGTAGCAAAATAATTTATATAGGTATATATTTGAAAGATATAAAGAGGGGCGTTCCATGCCCCCATGCACTGACGAAAATTTTAAATACTTTGTAATTTGATAGTGTTTAAGGTCCTAAATAAGTGTGCCAAAAAAATTTTGCAAGATATTTGCAATCATATAATTTCCACACTTTTTTCAGGATTTTTTATCTCATAAACTATTGATCGTAGAAAAAATTTTTGTTATTCAAAATTATAGAGAAAACATTGAACGTTAATAATATTATTTTTAAAAATGACTAAACTTAATTTTTTAACAATTTGTTTAAGCAATAATTCTTGAATATTAATTTTTTTGTCAAGATAGTGATGGATTTAAAAATTTTTTTTTTTTAATAAACTTCATTATGTACTGAACCAACTGTGTAAATATTAAAATGGTGATTTTGGATTTTTTTGAAATTTTTACTGCACTATTCTTACGCGCGTCACCGTTGACAGCGTCAACAGATTACACAAACCGCTAATGCAAATAATCAATCATTGATATTTTTGTCTCATTACACAAGGTTTTTAAATTAAATTATTTATATTTTCATAAATAATAATAATAATAATAATTAAGTTTAGTCATTTTTAAAAATAATATTATTAAAGTTCAATATTTTCTCTATAGTTTTGAATAACAACATTTTTTTTACAATCAATAGTTTACGAGATAAAAATTCCTGAAAAAATTGTCGAAATTATACAATTGCAAATATCTTGCAAAATATTAAAAATTTTGCCAAACTTTTTGGCACACTTATTTAGGACCCTAAACACTATCAAATTACAAAGTATAAGTAAAATAAAAATTTCGTCAGTGCATGGAGCCATGGAGCGCCCCGAGAAATAATTGAAATATTAAACTCTTCATTACTTCTTAATTTTTCTGAAATTGAATCTTCAGCATTTAAGATTTACACACAGTAAAATAATAAATTTTAACTTCAACACACTCATTGTAAAACGAGCATCCTATTATTAAATCATGAGAGATCAGAATATCGTGCAACTAAAACATTATGTAATTTACAATATTAAAAAATTTCTATTACATAAGCTAGAATATACATGCTATAAGAGTAGTTTATGGAAATACTAGCATTTAGTATTTCATTTTTATCATATTAGCATTTTTCACTGCGATTTTACAGCGAACCAAACATTTATTCGCTTAATTGCTTCATCATTTTTGAGAACAAATAAATAAAAGTAACTAATAATAATAATAATAATAATAATAATAATAATAATAATAATAATAATAAATTAATAATAATGATAGTAATAATAATAATAATAATAATAAATAATAATAAAATTAATAATAACAAATAATAATTATTATTTACATATTATAGTTAATTTTAATTTTCGAACTAATAATTCAATAATAACAAATTGTAACTTTTAATTGCATATGATTAACAAAATCCTAATTAACAAATAACAGAATTGAAATAAATAATAACAGATTATAATAAACAAATAGAGGTCCATGAAATTCCAAATATTGCACACCTTTAAAAGTCAACTCACTCCTATAAGTATGTAATAAAGGTTTTTCGATCTTTTAATGTAGACGAATAAGAGTTAGTTAAGGCGTTAAGGATTGCTAAATTCTGCGTGAAATAAAAAATCCTACCTTTAAAATTAAACTATTAAACTGCTTTACCAGCCATTTAGAATAAAAGTTTAATTAGGTAACACGCAACTATTGATTCTAGTTGGGATGTTGTATCTATAATATTATGTTTTTTATAGCAATTTCTATTAAAGAGTTGCTCTGCACAAAACATTTCGATGACTATGAAAGAAAAACAAGTAAACTTGACATAAAATACAATTATTTTGCAAATTAAAAACTCTTTAAAATTTATTTCAATATTTTTAAAATAAGATTATTTGTCATATAAATAAAAGAAAAATGTAAAAAAATAATTGAAATTCTTAGATGAGTTTTATTATTCATGAAAATAGGTAATTGAATTCCTAAAACGAATTTTATTTCATTATTTTTAAAGATAATTAAAATTTTGACGAGAGTGTTTTTAACTAATATTCTTCTAAAAATCCATTATTTTTAATAATTAATTAAATATATGCATATATATTTGACTTTTTCCTGATCAGTTCTACTTTCTCTATTTTCTTCATAAAATAATGTTGAAAATATGCTTATTTGTTTAAAAAAGAATCAATATTTTTAACAAATTTTGTAGAAGCAATATGACAAAAAAATTTGGAACATGTGTAAATTGTATAAAAATAAATATTTTGATTGGCAATTTTATTCTCAAAAATTAATATTTTCATTTTTCTAGAGGAAACTATTCATAATAATATTTTGATTATTTGGATGTTAATTAATTATTTTTCTAAAGGTCTGCATTCTGTTGGATGAACCACCTTATAATTTATAAAATTCTTTACGTTATATTATTTAAATCATTAACATAAAAAACATATTTATATTATGTTGTGTTAATAATCTAAATAAAAAATAAAACGCACTGAATTCTATAACATTAAATCTAAATTTTATAATTACACTTTGAAAGTGATTTCAAAAAAAGAAAAACTTGTTTATTTTTTATTAGAAAAAGGTGAAAAGGGGGAAAAAGGTGACAAAAGTAATGAAAAAATAAGTTCATTTTGATAGTGCCCTTTTCATGCGGGCGTACGAATACTTCTCATTGTCATTTAATTAAAACTTGAATTGTAATTTTCTGCATTTCATTATTTTTCTTAGAAAATACAAATATAATAAAATATTTGTCTATCTCTAAATTTTAAATGCTGCTGATAGTCTTTGAAATTATAGATATGCAAATGATTATGTATCAAAATGAAAACTTATATAAGTCAAATGAATCAACAGTCAACAATAGAGAGGCATATTAATTATTAATTGAAGTTAAGGTGTCAGGATTTGTAATAAAAAGTTGGACCCTGACAAATGTCAAATATCGAATTCAACTTTTCAATTTTAATGAATAACCTAAAACTTGACAAGATGAATATAATACTCTTTATTATTGACAGCTCCAATTCTAAATATATTTCAACTCTTACGAATAAATGGAAACCAATAAAAAGATCTTACTTTCTCCCAAGGTGTAGGTGTTATTCCTGCTAAAGATCTGGCCAAATGTTGAACTGTTTTTGAAAAGAAAAACTTTTCATCTTCTGACATTTTCTATCCACTGTTGTCAACAGCAGACGACAAGTATCACTGCTGTCAAATTAAGAATATTCAAGATGTGTAACAAAGTACAAGCTTAACAGGTTTCTTCACGTGGAAGTAAAAAAAGCATGATTTGTCATTTGCAGAGTTGGGCAAAGTTAGGCACACAAACATGCTTTTTTCAATATAAATTAAGAATTCAGTTACGAAATTGCACCGTGGCGGAATCGAAATGGCAAACTGAAAAATGAGATAAAAAGTTATATGAATTTTTGTTTTTTTATGTCTAGAAATTGAACTTGAACGATGTCTTCGCATTCTCTAGAATCCTATTGTAGACTCACCATTATTAAATCACGTTCCTTAATGTAGGGTTCTAAAGCCCTGTACTCTCTTCAAAATTCCGAACAGCGAACACTTGCTTTATGAATTCATCTTTTTAATGAAAGTTGATTTACCAAAAAAATAATAAATATTGTAGTAAAATGGGTCGTGGAGTTGAACATCGTTCTGTAACTCCTGTAATAGATGCTTTTCGAAAATTTTTGCGCGGAGTGAGTATAATATTTTTTCCAATTTTATCAAGTTCATTTGTCGTAATCATGTTCACATAAAAAAACTATATATTATAGATAGAATCAGCATTGGGAAATATGCTTTATAGGACATTCCATGTAATATTTTCAATGTTATTTTTTTAAAGATTTGATTAGAGTCGTGCAAATTATTTGAATAAAATTTTGGCTCTGAAAATAAATTTTAATTCCTTAAAGTCTGTTTCATTTTTACGAGTTAAAATCTTTTAATATAGATATTAGAAATTTTATCATTTATCACCTGTAAATTATCGAAAAATCGTTAAATTTTCCAAAAAGAAATAACTAGTATTATAGTCTGAACGTAAAAATACATTAAACAAAATAAAGTTGTCGTGAATAAATTACTTTTCTCTCTATTGACGACGTTTCATACTTTTGATGTTTTAAGGGACTTAAATAATAATAATTTCGTAAACAGAATTATCAAATAGAAAGAAATTGATTTCTGTTAGATAACAAGTATTTTTATCCATCTTTAACTTAGTAATGCATTATTTTTTTATGAACAACCATATTCTGAGATAAAAATAATACAATTAATGATAAAAAACCTAGAGTACTCTCCTGGCACGAAATAAAATAAATACTAATTTTTATAGAAACACCTTTGCGATTTTGAGCACAGGTTCTAATAAAAATATCATCCCGTCGAAAGAGATACTAAATCCAAATCGATTTGAGTATCAGTGGGTTCTTAGAAAATTTAAAAATACAAATTCAATATTCCTTCAAATTAATATTGTCTTACATTGTTGCTTCAAATTAAAACTAATATTTCAATAATTCTTTTAGAGTATTGCATCTTTGGTAAAGTCAGATAAGATTTTGAAAATTGTTTAAAATTTGAAAAATTCTGAAATTATTTTTGTATATTATATCACTGCTTAAAAATGGTTTCACTTTTTCAGAGACAACATCGAAATGCATTGAGATATGCTGATGATCAAGCATGTAGAACACAACCGCCACCCGATCTACCTGGAGGACCTTTTCATAAAACGTCTAAAATATATTACTTTTCGCGTGATGCAAGACGTGAAGTCGAACCACCTATGGTAATTGCTTCAGCCACCGTAAAGCAGATCACAGACGGGTGAGCAAATCAACATATAGATTCTTAAATCACTATTGAGTCAAACCTACAGTGCAGGGACAATTCAAAAATGTAAAAATATTAATAAGAGTTACTTCTTGGGCAAATTTTATATTATTATTTTAAGAATAGTTTTATACACCTAAAGTTAAATTGTTATATACCTTCGCTTCGTTTTGTGTGTAACGTTTTTGTTTTTGTTTCTGTTTCTGTTGCAGGGGAAACGAGAAAATGCTAAACAAAGTTCTCACTCCAGGAAAGTCATATATGCCATCATAGCTCTGATAAAATTGCTCTAATATAATTTATAAACGTAGTAATTAATGTAATGTATAGTTTGTTAAATAATGTGTATATAATACATTTCATGCAACGGAGAAAACTACTCGTGTACATAATTATATTAATGAATGCCAATGAAAAGAATATACTTTATCTTAATAGAACATTTATATGTACGATCAATAAATTGTCATATAAGGTTATCTCTCGATAAACAAAAATATATTAAATTGAGTTTTGTGAAAAGTATATAATAAAGCATCTCTAAAAATACCCTCAAGTTTGAATTTATTTTTTGTAAATTTGTATTTTATTTATCCAAGTAAATATTTTGTGTCGTAGCAACATGATATATCATTTAAATATATTATGTTCATACCAAGTTTGAACAAAATCGGTCGAGTAGTTTTTATTTTAGAGCAGAAACTGTAATTTTGACTAATAGGGTTCCGTTTATTTGTGACCACCTTCCCCCTCTTACTAAGCTATTAATAAATAGAGTTAAGATGTAGATTAATGAAACATCATATTTACAATCATTTACATAAATTACAATAATAAGATAATGTTAATAAATATAACTACGGCTTTTATTTGTATTTGCACAATAAATTAATTTGGTGGTTTCCAGGCTTCAATTTTTGGGGGAGTTGTACTGTATGGCATATACTGTTTACTCGTTCCAGACAAGTTAGGAGTGTGATCAACCATCCATGGATACTTTGGTCGTGAAGGGTCCAAATGAGGTGGTAAATCAGTTTTATAATGTAGCCATCCAAACCATTCTGCCGGTACTTGAGAGCCATCGTAATTTAGTCCCACTTTCTCAGAGTACACGACCCATCGGTTACGGCCTAAAATGCAACACTTAACAATTTCTGTTTCAACTCACATGAAAGCATATAGATTTTTAAACAATCAATAAAATTACATGTGCACTGAAAAAAAATTGGCAAAATGGGCTTTTTTGCTTAAGTACAAAAGCAAATTTTCCCTTAGTTAATAAGGTAACAAATTCTTGTAATTTATCAAGTAAATTGTTTATATATGTCATATTGAATTTTATAATTAATTGAAACAATGTAGAATTTACTACAGGAATGGAATTGAGGAAATTCTGTTCAAGTATTTAAACTGTTACCATCAGAGAAGTAGCTGAATTATATAAATAAGAATTTAACATATTCTCACCATAGAAATATGCGTTGTTTTCATAGTATTTATTTCCGTATTTGTCTTCGCCAATTAAGTCTCCAATTGGTAAATCATCAATCCTATAAAATAAAACAATCTTTTAATCACGTATTTTCATACTTTTTCAAGAATTGAAAAATTTAAAAACACTTGTAAAATTTTATATATTTTTTTTAAAATGACCAAGTTTTATGCATTAGAGTTAATTGTTATACTTTAACGTAAATTCAATTGACATTCTTTTTTCTGATGTAGGTAGTTGCAACTATATGATCTTATGATAAAGTAGCACTAAATTTTACTCAGCTTTACGACTAATTTTATAAATTAATCTTTAAATACCTAAACAATGTACGAATAGATGATAAAAGACCTCCTTGCATACGAATTGTACGCATTAATGTTTGAAATTTATCAAATCCCAATAATTTGGCCATATTTTTTTATATATATATAATAAAAACAAGAACTATGGAGAAAAAGACAGACCTGGATCAAAGATCCAAGTATTTGGGCCAATGCACAATCAAACCGTTGTGCTTAAACTTTAAGGAGCTTCTACAATGGGAGCCATTGTATAGTTCAACGCACAATTGGCTCGCGAACGAGATGCATGAGATAGAAAAGGACACAAATATATCTTTGTCCTTTTCTAACTTATGCTTTGCGTTCGCAGTTGTGCTTAGGCCTTAATTTTGCACTCATGGCCCATTACCACTTGGGTAAAAATTTCCAGAACGGAAAATTTTTCATTGGAGTAAGAGAGACAGACTGTATATCTGTCTCTTTTACTCCAATGTAAAGTTTCCGTTCTGGACAATTTTTACAGAAGGTGTAAATGCTCCCTGAGGCTGATTCCAGAATAGCTAAAAATCGTCTCGACTTTCAAGACGATTCGATGCGCGTACATACATTTTTGTTTACTGCGCATCAAAATCGAGACGATTTATTTTATTGTGGACTCAAACTGACAAAAGTTAATTTTCACGTAGCTTTTTGTAGAAAAGTAACGTGAATTTTCACGACAGTGAAAATTGGGTGTTAGCCAAAAAATTTGGAAATGTGCAAGCACCTTAAGGGTGCGATCCCATGTGATGGAGCATTTAGGCTGGAGTCCCATGACAGCGTTTTGCGTTGCGTTTTGTAACTAGGCCATGAGTGTGAGAGAGATACAGATATATGTTTGCTCTATTTGCACTCATTGCCTAGTTACAAAACGCAACGCAAAACGCTACCATGGGACTCCAGCCTTACACCTTCTGTAAAAATTGTCCAGAAAGGAAAATTTGCATTGGAGTAAGAGAGTCAGATACACAGTCTGTCTCTCTTACTCCAATGAAAAATTTTCCGTTCGGGAAATTTTTACCGAAGGTGTAAATGCTCCCTGAGCAGAAAGAATACGTCGACCGAAAGCTACGGAAGCTTCTACGCGCCACCATGCGGCACTCACTCGTGTTGTGCGGCACGTAGAGAGGAACCGGCCTGTTCGTAAGTTCCTTGATGCGTGCCTCCCTACGTGCCTAGTAGCGTTCCTAGTTGTAGCAGAAGAGTTTTGAAAATATTTTGTTACTGAGTATTTTATTTATGAAATTGGAATAAATCTAATCAATTATGTTTTATTAATATTATTTCAAGTCTTTTATTTTGCATATATTACATTGGTTTGCTCGAAAATTACAAAATTTCAATTTAATACCTTGACATAAACATAACCGCAAAGTAAAAAGTGATTATTTTGAATAGCAAATAAAAGTATATAATTTAAATTTATTTCAACAATATCAATTTTTTAGAATAAATTATTGTTATTAAAAATTAGTTATTTGTGTTCTTCCTTTAATTTTAATAAATACAATTGACGTATTTAAAATCAAAAATTCTTTGATAACAAAATATTTTTTTAATTCAACAGTGACAGATCGATTTAGAAGGTCATTAATATTTTAAATCTGCTTTCATCTCAATTTTCTTTAAAAATACATTGATTTATCGACTTTTGAAAAATTGTTCTTCAATTATAAATTCAATTCAATTTTTTATAATCTTTGATACATTCGCTTGCTTCAATTCTGTTCAATTCTGCCCATAACCTAAATGAATTGTACAGTAGGTTTCAAAAATGCCTTCCTAGTATAAACGTGTCGCACTCATATGTTCCCATGGAAACATATGAGTGCGACACGTTCAAACTAAGAAGGCATAATTGAAACCTACTGTACCTAATTTTCATTTTTTATAGAAAATTACCAAAACCCCAAAACCTTAAAATTTCCTTAATTATAATTACAGATCGACTTTAAATACAAACAAAACATCTTAATTACAAGAAACATTGCAATTGATATTGTTGAAATAAATTTAAATTATATAGTTTTATTTGCTATTCAAAATAATCACTTTTTACTTTGCGGTTATGTTTATGTCAAGGTATTAAATTGAAATTTTGTAATTTTCGAGCAAACCAATGACAATATATGCAAAATAAAAGACTTGAAATAATATTAATAAAACATAATTGATTAGATTTATTCCAATTTCATAAATAAAATACTCAGTAACAAAATATTTTCAAAACTCTTCTGCTACAACTAGGAACGCTACTAGGCACGTAGGGAGGCACGCATCAAGGAACTAAGGCTGCGGTTACACCTCTGCAGGCTGCCTGCCTGCGCAGGCAGGAGCAACGAGAGTAAGGGAGAAGTTTGAAGTCACTGACTCTCTTACTCTTGTACGTTACCATGACAACCTGCAGGCAGGCAGGCTGCCTGCAGAGGTGTAACCGCAGCCTTACGAACAGGCTGGTTCCTCTCTACGTGCCGCACAACACGAGTGAGTGCCGCATGGTGGCGCGTAGAAGCTTCCGTAGAAACACCCCAGTCCGACTCCTATGTATTTTGAAGGAAAAATATGTCAGCTTAGTGGTTTGCGTTTTCATGTGCCAAAAAGTAACACGTGATGGCGCTGTTCTCAACACTCGCTCAAAATTCACTAAAGCAATAGAAAAATATCATAGAAACGAATAAATTATTTGTTTTTATAATGAAATCTTGTTGTTAGTGATGTTAAAAATACACGATAAGAAATAATATTGTATTTTTAACTCATAAAAGATGATAGAACAATTGAATAATTAGTATGAAAATACATAAATGTGTTGTACAATAAACTGATGACTTTCGTTTAAATCGTTTAAATTATCAGATAAACTGATTTATAATAAAAGTTAAAGGAAAGTCATAGATAAATAGTATATTTAAAATAAAGAAAACAAATTTAGATAATATAAATACCATTAACCCTCCGTCACACACATGAGAAAATATTCCGACCTTACACACGTTCAGAGGGAATCGCTCACCACATTGTAAAATAAGCAACATTACAACATAAACAAAGGAATCAACAAAAATTTAGTTTTAACACAAACTTACAAATATGTAGTAAATTATTCTAAATTATAAAATTAATCAAATTAATTTTCGGTCTCAAAAATAAAAATTAATTACACGAATGTACATCTTCAAAGAAATTCCACTCGACATGTAAAAATAATGTAACATTAACAAATAAGCAAAAAAATCATTAAACAATTTATTTTAATTATATTTATAATATAATTTTGTCATCAACCAACAGTGGAACAAAAAATGTTTTTAAAACTTGATTTTTTTATTTAACATAACCTCACTTTTTCGAGTTTCTTCTGGCTTTGAAGCTTCATAATTAAATATTAATTATGTTTAAACTAAATGTTTTTTTAGAAATGTGTTGAGGAGTAAATTGTCGAAAGGTATAGAAACTGATTTTATTTTGCAATGAGGAAAACAAAAGTTATTTAAAAAATACTGAAACCGTAGAGGGAATCCCTCCCTAGGTGTGTGACGGAGGGTTAACTTTAATCCATTTTTTTATTTATTATTTGAGATGAAATTTTACTCAAGACAAAAACAAACATGAACGTATACAATGAATAAAAAATATAATATTAAATAAAAATTTAAAAGTTTTAAACTTTTTTTAAAATTTTTAAACTAAGGCAAGCTTTGCCGGCTACTTATTAAAAACATTTTCACTTTTTAAACAATATGCTCTTTTTACAACATTAAAATAGTTTTTAATGTTAATACTTTTTTTACTTTCACATTTTTTTATAAAATTTAGTTGAGATTTCTAACCGATTTCAACACAACAAATACAATAATGAATGAGGTAACGAATATTGCTGACGAGTAGTGAGTACTGCGCCATCTCGAGGAACTTTTTTGCACATTAAAGTGCAAACCACTAAGCTGACTACTTTCTGGGAAAGACGGACAGGGGTGGTAGAAAGCAGAAAACCATGAGCTGTAAAGGTGTTTCTGCAACAGCTTGAAAATACATTTGTTTTGTCTGATTCAAAGTTAAATTGCATATACTGCATATAAATTTACAATAATTTGCTTTGAATGAAATATTTAATATGAATTTATATGCAGGATGTGCTGCAATTACTTTGAATCAAACAAAAGATGCATTTTCAGGCTATTGCGGAAAACACCTTTAGGGTGGAGTCCCATGACAGCGTTTTGCGTTGCGTCGTAATGGGAGAGAAAAAGATGCAAATATACGTTTGCTGCATTCTCTCTCATTACAACGCAACGCAAAACGCTCCCATGGGACTGCGGCCTTAGGGTACAGTCACACGATCAATGCATCTGCATGATGCATGCATGCACAAACATTTGACTGTTCACACCTCAATTTTTCTGGCGGGATATTTAAAATTGATTAAAATTTAAAAATAACGTATTACTAATTATTACAATAAAAAATAACAAAAATTAAACGTTTATTATAAGGAATTAATTGTAAATAAATTTCTCTTAATTTGTGGCATATTTTAATATTGTGAATTTTTATAATTTAAAATATGACACAAATTAAGAGAAATTTATTAACAATTAATTCCTTATAATAAACGTTCAATTTTTTTTTATTTTTTATTGTAATAATTAGTAATGCGTTATTTTTAAATTTTAATCAATTTTAAATATCCCGCCAGAAAAATGATTTTTTGAGAGCGAAAAATTGAGGTGTGAACAGTCAAATGTTTGTGCATGCATGCATCATGCAGATGCATTGATCGTGTGACTGTACCCTTACAGCTTCGTGTGGTGATGTGAAGTCGATTTTGACATTTTTTAAAAAAATTTTCTTTCTGCCGATAGTCGTATGAATGCACCCTAAAATTTAATTTAGTTTCGTGATTCGTTTCTATTTCTAGTCTTTTTGTTTGTGTCTGTGTTATTCAGGAAGGAAGAGTAAGGAGACCGAACTCTGCTTCTACAAATGTCTGAGAAATATGCACGAAAAGTGCCAGACTCACTGTGTTCTAGTTGATCACCAATTAAGTCGATCATGCGCATTGAACTAAAGTTCAGTGTTGACATAGATGAAAAGTGTGGTTATGTCAAGGTAAATATTACATAGTTTAAACAGTGTTAATTTTAAAAGCAAATTTATTTATTTGCAATTGTGATATTATTTAGATTTTCAAAATAATTTAATAATATATTTATGAAAAGGGAAAAATTTTGCGAAAATGGTTAAGAAGAATTGTGTTTATAACTAGAGTATATTTACATACCGTAGAAGGATAGAAGAGACTAATGTTTTTAGACTCTTTTTCTTTCTTTACATCCTGGCACACAACACGACATTTTTTTAAATAAAATAAATAAATAATTTTTAAAACGAAATGTATTATATATGTATCTCACTAAGACCGGCTAAATGTAAACATTAGATATTACATCTCACTAGCACAATTTTTACGAGAAACAGAGACACAACACAGCTTATGCGCATGATCAACTTAATTGGAGGTCGACTAGAACACAGTGAGCCTGGCACTTTTCGTGCATATTTCTCTGAGATTTTTAAAGCGCTTTCTACACAGAGTTCGGTCTCCTTACTCTTCCTTCCTGGTGTTATTGTACCTTGTTTTTGTTTGGATGCTCTGAATAAAAAATTAAATCAATTAAATACATAATATATTTATATAAATATAAACACATACTTACGGATTATATACAAGTTAATTAATTAATAACTACTAGTGTTTAATATACTGTAAGTATTCCATTTAATTAATTAAGAATGGGTTTTTTAAAAAATTGGCATTTAGATTGAATCTAAACAATTGCCTTTTGTATTTCAAATTTAAAATAGGTACACTATATTATTTTATTGTTGAAAATTAAATTAATTATAAGAAAACGGAGCAATAAATGAAATGTACAGATTACGTTATTCATTTAGACTTTTGTTTTTAAATATAAATTAATATTTAAGATTGCGGTCGTCAAACATTATTTCGAATTTATTTAACTCTAATATCAATATATTAGGGTTAAATTTTGATGGAAATACTTATCATAAATTATTTTGCAGTTTACTAAATTAAATAAACTTGTATCTACATAATTTGAAATTGTTCTTTACTTTAAAAAAATGCTGAGTTTGATTATTTATTGTTTTCAAATGCGATTCCTCAATTTTTATTTAGAGATATGTATATTTTGAAGAAAATTAATCAGGGTGTCTACTGGTCCTTGAAGTCCTGGAATTCCTGGAAATGTCCTGGAATTTGAAAAAATGTCCTGAAATGTCCTTAAATGTCCTGGATTTTAAACTTTTGTCCTTGAATTTTCTATATTTTGCTTTTCAATATTCAATAATTTAAAAATTTTACTCAAATTTAAAAAAAATAATTTTTTTGATCCATCAAAAAATAATTTCAATTTGTCATTTGATTAAAGAAACTGGTATCTACAATATTGATTTTAAATTCTTTTTATAATAAAATAAATATTTTTGTACAAGTAGGTTAATTTATATTATGTTAATCGTGATATGAAATATTATTACACGCAGGGTTGACACAAAATTTTAATTTGAACCCTTTTCAAAATTCAATTATTTCTAAAAATTCACGCTATAATATTTTTAATATTCAATTATAATTTAAAATTTTTAGTGAAATTCATTTTTATTCAATTTTTATTGGAAAATTTCCCAAAAATTCAATTATTTAAATACAAAAATAAATAATATTCAGTAATTGCATGTTCTTTAATATTGAATTTTTATGAAGAATTTTATCAAAATTTTTAATAACAATTGAATTCTTTTGGCGAATTTAAAAAAAATGGTAAGAATAAATGCAATTTTACATCATTTTATTTAAAATTTTATAAAAATAATTAAATTCTTGCAACGACTTTTATTAAAAATCTTTTTAAAGAATTGAATTCCTGTGAAGAATTTTATTTGTAAAAATAATTGAATTCCAGAGAAAAATATTATTATATATATATGAGAATATAATTAATTTCTTGTGAAGAATTTTATTCAAATTTTTTTAAATAATTGAATTTTTCAGAATTTTTAAAAACTATTTTAAAAATAATTAAATTTTATTAAAAAATTGAAAATAAATTGAAATCTGACAAAGAATTTAAAAAAAAAAAATTTTTTAAATCATTGAATTCCTGTGAAAATGTTTATTTTTAATAAAATTGAATTCTTGGGAAGAATTTTATTAAAATTTCTTAAATAATTGAATTGCTGCGAAGAATTTTATTTTTTACGAAAATAATTGAATTGTTTCAAAGAGTTTTAGAAACATTTTTGACAATAATTTTATTTGTAGAAAAATGTTGTCTTTCACGAAAATAATTATATTCTATGACCGATTTTATTATAATTTTTCAAATTAATAAAGCATTTTATCAAAATTTTTAAAAATAATTGAATTCTCAAGAAAGAAAATAATTGAATTCCCATAAAAAATGTATTATTTGTGAATATTATTGAATTCTTAAGAAGAAATGTATTGAAAACAATTAAATTGTATAGGAAAATTTTATTAAAATTGCAATTTAATTAACTAAATCTTGTAAATAGAATTATTAAAAGAATTTTATTTAAATTTTTTGAAATAATTGAATTTCTCAGACTATTTTTTTCAATTTTCTGAATATATTTGAATTCTTTCGAGAAACTTCATTGAAAAATTTAAAATAATTGAATTGATACGAAGAAATTTATAAAAGAAATTGGTAAGTAATTGAATTCCTGTTAAATTTTTATTAAAATTTTGTTTAAATAATAGAATTATTTTGGAAAATTTTGTTAAATTAGTAGATATAAAAAATAATTGAAATGAGGAAAATTTTTAAAAATAATTGAAATTTTGCCAAGAATTTTATTAAATTTTTGAAAAATAATTGAATTTTAGAGAAGAATTTTATTATTTATAAAGATAATTTAAATTTTGACGAGAATTTTTAAAAATTTTTGAACATAATTGAATTTATGCGAAGTTATTTAAAAAGAAATTATTGTCAAAAATAGAAAAAATTGAAGGGTTTGTATTAGAATTCTTGGTAATTTCATAGTTTATAAGGCAAACAAAAAAGACACCAAAATTCAGAATTTAGTCAAAATCCCTGACTTTTTCCTGAATTTCTTGACTTCCCTGACTTGTGGCAATCCTGTTACACATATAAATGTCCTGTAAAAATAAGAAATCTGTCCTGGAATGTCCTGGAATTTTAAGTCATATTTTTAGTAGACACCCTGATTAATGCTTTTTAGAGCATGAATTTTGAAAAAATGTTGTCTAAACACTTACATTTTATAGTTACGATGGCACACTATAAAGGAGCGGCCAGTGAAGCAGGACGAGCCATGCAATTAATGAAAAAGCGTGAAATCGCACAACAGGAAATTGAGTATCGGAAGAAAAAAATTGAAGATGATCTCAAAATTCATAACATTGAGAATAAATTTGCAACTCATTATAATGCTGTTGAACAGCAACTTAAATCGACAACTATTGGGCTGGTCACCTTGAATGAGATGAAAGCTAAACAAGAAAATATCGTGAGAGAAAGAGAGAGGAAACTTGCTCAAAAGGAAAGGGAGAAGGAAAAGGAAAAAGAAGAAGCTCTATTTGCTAAACAATTGGAAAAAAGTAAACAAAAGAAGCAAATTCAAGCATTGTCATTTAATCCTGACGACGACGACGATGATGATGACGATGACGATGACGATGACGAAGAACTCGAAGACTATGTGCCGAAAGTGAAAAAAATCAAGAAAAACCCTGACGTAGATACGAGCTTTTTACCAGACAGAGAGAGAGAAGAAGAAGAGAAAAGGATGAGGGAAGAATTGAGACAAGAGTGGGCAACGAAGCAACAGGCCCTTAAAGAAGAAGAGATCGAGATTATATTCAGTTACTGGGACGGCTCTGGACACAGGCGCAGTGTCACAATGAAAAAAGGTATTTGTATAAAGCGGCAACCTACTCTAGAGGCAGAAAAACGACCTAGTTATTATGTTACTATTTGGCTACTTTTTTTAGATTTCACCCACTAAAAGCTACTATTTCTGTTTTTTTACAATTTCCTCTATGTACTTTAAATTCGCTAATACTAGAAATCTCAAAACTATTCTCAAAAATTGTAATCAAATTCTTTAAAACGATTCAATTATTTTCAAAAAAATATGAGAAATTCAATTATTTTCAATACCTACTATTTTTATCAAATTTCGCAAAAGAATGCAATTATTTAGAAAAAAAATTATTAAAATTCATCAAAAATTCAATTATTTTCATAAATAATAAAACCACAGCAATTCAATTAATTTGGAATATCATTTCAAAAAAATCAATTATTTAACAAAATTTTTCTACAATTCTACACAATAATTCAATTACTTTCACTAATAATAACACTTTTCATAGAAATTTAATTTTTTTAAAAAGTTTTTGATAAAATTCTTAGCAAGAATTAAATTATTTTCATAAAAATAGGTATTAATAAAACTCATCGAAGAATTTCAATTATTTTTAATACTATTTTAAATTAATGGAAAAATTCAATTATTTTCACAAATAAAGTTTTCCACAAGAATTCAATTCTTTTTAAACATTTTAATAAAATTTTTCGACATAATTCAATTATTTTTAAAAATTTTAATAAAATTCTTAGCAACTATTCAATTATTTTCATAAATAATACAATTCATTGTAGGATTTTAATTATCTTTAATACAATTTTAAAGGAATTACTAAAAAAAAGTAAATATTCTTAAAAATTTAATTTCAATTCCTCGAGAAAATCAAATATTTAAAGAATATTTTTTTAAAATTCTTCTTCAGAATTCAATTATTTTCATAAATAACAATATTCATCACAAAAATTCAATTATTTTTAAAAGTAATAAATTTCTTCTTGTAAATTCAATTATTTAAAAAAATTTTTGTAATATTCTTCGTAAGAATTCAATTTTTTTCATGAATAATAAAAATTTCTCAAGAATTAAATTATTTTTATAAATATTTAAATTCTTTGATGAATAATAAAATTCGTTGTAGGAATTGAATTTATTGATAAGAAAGAAGTAAATATTTTTGATGAAAATTAGGAAAAAGTCAGGAAAATAAAAAAATGTGGAATCGAATTTTTGTCAGTTTTGTGAAGTGTCAAAGACGAGTTTTTTTGGTCGTAAAATTTAATTTTTCGATAGCTACTTTTTTTTAGTTTGAAAGCTACTTTTTGCTACTTATTTAAAAATTAATTATCGAGTGCGAAGTCTGTATACGAAATTTTACTACAAAATGGCACCGATAGATGCTTTATATTTAAAATCGCATTTTTTAAGAACGACAACGGCAGGACTGTTTTTTCGAAAAGTTTAAGACTTGGATCAAATGTCAATAATTTTACTTGAAGAAGAGCATCTTACCGAGTTATTAATATGACATTAATTTTAGGAAATTCCATTTACCAACTTCTGCAGAGATGTTTAGAAGTTTTGAAAAAAGAATTTAGCGAATTGAAGACAATAATGGCTGACCAATTAATGTATGTAAAAGAAGACTTGATTCTTCCGCATCATTATACTTTCTACGATTTTATAGTTGCAAAAGTACGTGTAAAATTCATCTTTTATTTTTAATTTAACGCGTTTTTACATGATGTTGACTTGCTTTAGTTAAAGTTTTATTTTTCCATAGGCAAGAGGTAAAAGTGGACCTTTATTTACTTTCGATGTTCACGATGATGTACGAGTATTACACGATGCTTCAATTGAAACAGAGGAATCACACGCTGGAAAAGTTTTATTACGGTTCGTATATCGTATATTAATCAGAATCTTATCTTAATCCTAATCTCTTGAATGTCGTAAGACGTAAGTAAAGTTATTCTATTTTTTCAGTTCATGGTATGAAAGAAATAAGCATATATTTCCTGCAAGCAGGTGGGAACCTTTCGATCCAACTAAAACCTATGACAAATATACTGTTTCCGACAAAAGTAAAAAGAAAGAAAAGATGTAAAATTTCTTAAGGAATGTTATTAATAAATGATTTAATATGTTTTGTAAATATGTACATGAAAGTAAGAAAATTTTCCTCCTAAGGAGATAATTGACGAATAAACTATACACACATACATGAATTACACGGTATTTTTAAACTTTATAATTATTTTAAGGAGACGTTTCGGATTTAAAAATATTCTATATGTACAGCATTTGTACATTTGTACTTTAAAGTATACATATTAATTTTTAAAACAGTTTTTATACTCTAATCTCGTAGAAGTTGCAATGCTAGTTCTTCATCCACGTGTAATGAATCAAACGGTGACACGTCCTGGCGAGTTTTTTTAATATTCTTCCGATCTTTGCTGGAAAGTGATTTCCTTTTTTGCGCTCTGAAAAAGTGAAATATATGAAATAAAGTGGCATAATTAATTGCAAGCAATTATAATTGCCTAAATCTTACCTAAGACTTTGAGTTTCATCTGGAGCGTTTTCGAATTTATTTTTGATACTTTTATGTTTTTTAATATCGTCTATGACTTGATTACTATCTTCACTATCATTACCATCATCTGACTGAGGTCCGTGTCCGTAAATTTCATCTGGATCAGGTAACCAAGACAAATTGGATTGAACTGACTCCCCATCACTTTCGTACTCTTCACTTCCTGAATAATCTGCATCGCTTTCCTCGTCCTTCTCTGATGTCTGCTTCTTTTGATTTTTAAGCTTCTGCTTTTCCTTTCGATGTTTTTCCTTTATTTTTTCTTTAAATCGTTTTTTGTCAAAGCTATCTTCATAAAGTAATGCTTTCTTCGCTGTTTCAATATTTATTCCAGAATCCTCCTCCTGTTCGTATTCTTTTCCTATATCTGATTGTTTTGATTTTGCTGTATCCAAGATTTCCTAAAATGAAAATTAAATTTTCATTAAAACACTTTAACAAAATGAAACAGAAGTTGTAGACGAACTTAATAAAATGAAAAAAGTAATAGCGTTAATACCTGTCCGTCTTCATCAAAATTAATTTTTTTATTTGGCACAATGTTCTTTTTAAGAATTTTCTTCGCTACAGCGGCTTTAGTGACAGATTTCTTTTTCTTTAATTGCATTTCTTCTGGTTCAATCAATGGATCAATTTGTATATTTCTTCGTTTTATAGTTAAAATTTCATCATCATCGTCGTCATCATTGTTATTAACAAGACCGTGATTACCAGCTATAAAATATAAGAATTAAATAAAGGATTTAACGGACGGAGAATTTGATATGTCATTAGTACATAATCCTATCCTATTTAATATATTAATACACAATGCATTTTCAACTTTTTCACAGTATAAATGGAAAAAGTTATTTATTATCTTTAGAATTAATTAAATTCTTGGCAAAATTTCAATTATTTTCAAACATTTTCCTCAATTCCATCATTCTTAATATGTACCTACTATTTTCATAAAATTGTCCGAAAGAATTCAATTATTTAAATAAAATTTAATAAAATTCTACCCAAACCTTTAATTATTTTCATAAAATAATTAAAATTTCACAGGAATTCAGTTACAGTAGAACCTCGATTATCCGAGGTAATGTGGGGAAGAGGTACCTCGGATAATCGAAAACTCGGATAACACGGAACCAATGAAAATTTCAAAATTTTAAATTATTTTTCATGTGTTTAAAGTGTTAGAATAATATTAAATGACAAAAATGGACGAAATTTTAAATGCAATGATCACAAATAGTGGTTTTGTAAAATTTATTTTCCAAATTTAGTCGCTCGATCCGTTTTATCCGAGTTATTCCGCATTATCCGAGCATGTTTAGTGCCTCGGATAATCCGGAATCTCGGATAATCGAGGCTCGGATAACCGAGGTTCTACTGTATTTACAAATTTTTATAAATTTCTTCGCAATCATTCAATTATTTTCATAAATAATAACATTTTTACAGGGATTCAATTAGTTTCGTAAATAATAAAACTCTTGGCAGAATTTCAATTATTTTTAATACAATTTTCATCAAATTCCTCGAAAAATGTAATTATTCTTAAAAATTTTATTAAAATTCGTCGAAAGAATTTAATTATTTAAAAATTTGTTAATCAAATTCTTTATATGAATTAAATTTTAAGGAACATCCAATTGAGGGCGTGGAACGGATAACTGCCTGTAACGCATGGTCGAAAGGGACTATATACCAGTCAGACATCAGTGAGAGGCCTAAAGGCGCTCATTATTGTCTGACTGGTATAGTCGATAATCCCTTTCGACCATGTGTTGCAGGCAGTTATCCGTTCCACGCCCTCAATTATTCAATAAATAGTTTTTGTTTGTATTTAAATAATTAAATTCTAGTAGAATTTTCTAATAAAAATAGATTTAACAATGGATTTCAGTTAAAATTTCAGATTGTAATAATTGAATATCAAAAGCGTTAGAGTGTGAATTTTTAGAGATAATTGAATTTTGAAAAGGTTTTAAATTAAAATCTTTGAAAATCTGAATTTTTAATATTTTAAACTACCAATTCTCTGGAAATAATTTTTTTGGGAAATTCTAATTGCGGATGTTTCTTTGAAATTATTTTAAGTTTTTATTTTCTAATTATATTATTTAATTGAAGAATATACGAATGATTAAAATTTTGTAAAATTGAATTGTAAACAAATGAATTTGAAAATACTTAAAGAACTTTCAAAAATTATTAAAAATAATGCATTTATAGAAGAATTTTAGTTAAAAACACGAAAAAAAATTTATTTTGGAAAAGTTACAAATTATTGCAAAAATTCAATTATTTTCAAGAGTAATATTAAATATTCTTTGTTAAATATTCTTTGCAAACATTAAATATTGTTCAAAAATAATAAAATTCTTTTTAGGGATTCAATTATTTTCACAAATAATAAAACTCATCACAGAATTTCAATTATTTGTAAATTTCTCGAAAAATGCAATTATTCTTAAAAATTTTATTAAAATTCGTCGAAAAAATTGAATTATTTAAAAATTTGTTGATAAAATTCTTTATGGGAGTTGAATTTTAAGAAACATTCAATTATTGAATAGATTATTTATTTTTGTATTTAAATAATTGAATTATAGTAGAATTTTCTAATGAAAATTTATTTAGAAATAAATTTCAGTTAGAATTTTAGGTAATAATTGAATATTAAAAGCAATCTAGCGTCAATTTTTAGAAATAATTGAATTTTGAAATTAATTTTTTTGAAAAAGGTTAATTGAATTTTTTTTTATATTATTCCAAGTTTTTTTTCTAATAGGTATATATATTTAATTGAAGAATTTATGAATAATTGAAATTTCGTAAAACTGAATATTGTAAACAAATGGATTTGAAAATTGAAAATTGTCGATATATTCATGTTTTATAGTTATGAGAAATTTAATTTGCAGTTTTAAGTGAAATATTCTCTTATTTGACTCGGACCGGTTGTATTTTTGTTATATTTTTGAATAAGATTAGGTCCGTAAAGTCCGTATTTTTAAATACTTGAACTGGTTCGAGCCCTGATTATGTGTCACGTTCTGGCATGAAATGTATTACTCTGAAGTAATGAAGGTACTTACGGTGTTTAAAGTGGCTAGTTTTTGGTTTCTCTTCAAAGTTATTTACAGACATATCATCAGAAGAATCGATTTCTTCACTTGAAACACTATGTTTCAAAAGTTGTATCGCGGAGGATTCTTTTTCCTTATTTGTTTGTGTTTTGGTGTTGGTTGAAGCATTGGTTGAAGAATCTTTAATTTTCTGTAGAAAACGAAGTTTTGGGGGCGTTATTAAACCCAGTGACCTGTTCAGAATAATAATATTTATTATACAAGAATGTTATTTCTCATGACACGGGAAATTATTAAAAAATATCTTACCTTGCAAAATCATCTATTTTTAAATTTTTGACGTTGAAGATACTCTTGTCTTGCATGAGATGAACGGATTTAACGTATGCCACAAAAGCTCTTTGCGCGCTTTCTTTCAATGCACAATCACGAGCCATTAAAGCTTCCAGTTTACGATGCGGAAATTGCAATTTGTTTGGATTGATTCTAGAACAGGTTAATATTATTTATTTAATTCACTTGAGAAAAAAAAGTTGCCGACTTATTGGTGAACCTTCTTTCAGTATGTAAATTGCTCCAGAAATTTTAAGGAAAAACGCGTAAAGACGTTCATTTAATAGAATTACTTACTTGATCATTGAGATTGGAATCTTGGAATCTTGCAATTTCTCGACTATATTTGTTTCACTAGGAAGAAGTACTAGCAAAGATTCGCCACCACTCTGAAATCTTGCAGTTCTTCCTGCTCGATGAATGTAAGAATTTGTATCTTCCGGACAATCCATTTGTACAACCCAGTCAACATCAGGAAAGTCTGTATAAATAAATAGTACTGTTTTAATTTTATAAATGAGGCATTCCATTTCAAATCGTTCCACCGACAAAAAACAATCGCAAGGAGAGCGATTTTCTAATAAATATAATTATTAAAAAATTTAATTATTTGTAACATATTATACACTGAATCAAAAGAGAATTTCATGAACTTTATAATGCTATTTTTATGAAAATTATATGAAAATAAAGCTTAACTTTTCTAGTTTCCATTCCCGTATAATATATTATGGACATTTAATGGGATTAATAGAAAAAAAATTGTTTAAAAAATGTGTTTTTGAAAAATTTGACAAATGGTACGAAGTTGAAGGTTAGTTAGGATTCAACTTCGTACCATTTGTCAAATTTTTCAAAAACATATTTTTTAAACAATTTTTTTTCTATTAATCCCATTAAATGTCCATAATATATTATACGGGAATGGAAACTAGAAAAGTTAAGCTTTATTTTCATATAATTTTGATAAAAATCGACGGGGGGGTGTTTTGAGATATTAAGAGTTTAAACTTTCAAACAGGAATTTCTCTACGAAATTGAGAAAAATTTAAAAAAATAAAAATAGCATTATAAAGTTCATGAAATTCTCTTTTGATTCAGTGTATAATATGTTACAAATAATTAAATTTTTTAATAATTATATTTATTAGAAAATCGCTCTCCTTGCGATTGTTTTTTGTCGGTGGAACGATTTGAAATGGAATGCCTCAAATACTTTCTTTTTCAAATTCTCATTCTAGACGATTAATCACGAATATTCCCCAATTGACAATTATTTTGAAGAAAGTTAAAAGAAAATTTAAAGAAATATTTTACCTAGCCCTCTCGAAGCAATGTCTGTAGCAAACAATACTGCATGTTGTTTTCTACAAAACGTTTCGTAAATATTCATTCTCTTTAGTTGATGCATCTTTCCATATAATGATAAAAGACTTGTTCCAGGTCTCATTCGGCAAAAGGCTTCATACATAAATTTAACCTAAAAATAATAAAATTTATTTCATATTTAAAATGAAAATAAAATATGAATACACATTTCAAATTTTTAAGTGTAAAAAAGTTTCATCACCTGCTTGCAAGTAGAAAAGAAAACAATAACTTTTTGCTTAAGATGATTTTTCATGAATGACCACAGCATCCCTATTTTATCTTCTAATTCACAAATTACATAACTTTGTTGAAGAAACTCAGGAGTAGTGTGTGCTGAATATTCGTGAACGGACACATAAATGGGATCTTTAAGACTTAACTTAGCCAAGTCTCGTGTGGATCTGTTAATAAAATAGAAAAAATGTCACGCGCTCTGAAGAAAGGTATATAAAAACAAATCATTTTAAGGCTATGTTTGTCTTACTTTCCCTTAATTAAGTTTCTGTTTAATTCGATACAATTAAAATCAGTGGTTTATAATCACAGTTGCTCCCCTTTGTGTTTTTGTTTCAAAAATTACAAAACATAACCTAACATTTTTTGCTTCTTTGGTACTTTTCAGTACTTTTCTTCAGTGCGCGTCATGAAAATTTTTGTAAACATTTAAAAAATTTCACAAGAATAAAATTCATCATTTACCTAGTTTGTGTAGCGGAAAATAAAAGAGTTTGACGTTCCTCTGGCAAATTTTCAATTATAGCGGTCATCGTGGCTTCAAAACCCATATCTAAACACTTGTCAGCTTCATCAAGAACTAATATCTAAATTCAAGTAATTCAAAATATTAAGAAAATGCAACAAAATTCCACGCTGTGGAAACATAAAAAAAATATATATAACATGCCTGCATATTTGAACAATCAAATAGTGGATTTTCATCCATGTGTTGTAATAAACGTCCAGGAGTGCAAATAATGATGTTACACTGATTCATTCTTTTCTTTTCAAAATGTAAATCCTTTCCACCAATAATTAAACCCGCTGAGAGATCATGATAATGTCCTACTTTTCTCAGCGTTTCATATATTTGATATGCCAATTCTCTAGTTGGTGTTATTATAAGAGCACCAATGCCATCCAATTTCGTCCATTGCTTGCAGTACAATGACTCAATAACCTGAAATTTTTATTTTCTTTCTAAATGTGAATCAACTTTGACTGAAATTTTATTTACTCTTAGTATAAAGCTATGAGTGAAATCTTGAGTCACTTAATTAAAATCAGTGATTTCTGTTAAGCTAATAAATATAGCAGTTAAAAAAATATTACAGGTATTAGGAATGCTAAGGTTTTTCCACTGCCAGTTTTAGCTGCACCAAGAATATTGAGTCCCCTTAGTGCAAGGCCAATACTTTGTCTTTGTATGTCGCTTAAAGTAATATATTGACTTTCTTTTAATCCTTTTTGCGTCTGTGATGACAATGGTAAATCAGCAAATTTCATAATTTGCCTTTCATCGATCTGTGAAAAATAATAATAATAACACTAATATTAGTGAGAAACAATTGAGGAAATGTGTTTTATTCTTCTTTGATGTTCTAATAAAAAGTAAGTCTTTCACTGTTTGGAGTTATCGAGATTAAGTTATTTTAAGTAAAGTTAATACTGACGCACTAAAGAAAAACTTAGGTAAACTACATTTATTTTAAACTGAGAAAAAGAAGAACATTTAAAACTCAGTTATAAATGCTCCAAACGCAATTCAATTGTATTTCAATCCACTTTTGATAGCCGAAGCAGATAAATATTTTTTCAATTTTAAAAAGGCTTTTTAATGGGGAACAACTGTTATTGATATTGATAAAGTGGTTCTATTATTTTCTTTATTTAATTAAAGTAAAATATTATTAATATATTTATAAAAATAAAAGTTTCTCTTCACTCAAATTGCAAATATAATTAATAAAAAGGTAAAAAATCATTATTTCATATCGTATTTTCTAAATATTCAAATAAAAATTTGCCTTGTGATTTTAACTTTATTAACTAAGGCAAAAATTGCTCTTTTTAAAAGAAACAATTGCTTTGCATGTATTGCTTTTGTTGTTGGCAAAAATTGACTAAGTAAAAAGCACATTCAGTTCAATTTTTTTCTGTGTAGGTTAACATCTATCAAAACACATAAATTCAGTAAACAATGATTATAATTGTACTTACTTTGTCATATTGAGACTGCAGATTTTTAATGATACTTTTTTCTGGTACATTTTTCTTTCTGTGATATACTTTTATCTTTTTCTTTTCATTATTAGTTGTTTTTATCATAGTTGTTAAAAAGCTGTCAATTTGACAGAATTTTCAAGAAAAACTTCCACAGTAAAAATGCAAGTGTTAATACAAATACACGTGGATTTTATTGATATGAAAGCGAGGTTAGTTATTGTTTATTCTTAGCAGAAAGGGCAGAAAGCATGGTCTCTCTGCATGTGCTCCGTTTGCTAAAGGCCAACGCACAACTGCTTCGCGAACGTCGTTCGTTATTATGGGGTATCCACACTTCGATCTAAGAAGTTAAGCGGGACGTTCTTTCGTGACGCTTCCTGTGGCATCTGGCATCAGTGCCTAGTAAATTTTCCAGGGAATTTTAAATCCTTAATAAATAAACTAAATTTTTCTATTGTAATCTTGAGAGATTAAAATTTCAATATAATTAATACATTATACAATATTAATAATAATAATATTATTATTATTATTCGTAAAATATAGGAAAACCTTAATATCGACATTTAATTTTATTTTCTCTCTCTATCGTGTAATCATTGTATTATTTAAAGATATTGTAAAATTATTATTATAAATATGTTAGGATGGTTTTGTTTTAATTAAAAGCCTCGTGTGTAAGAATAGTAATATAGGAATTAATATTTATTGACAACAAAGGTGGCTTGTGCTCAGTTTTAATATACACTTAAGAATTTGGTTAGCCGATACTATACAACGTTCACTTTAAAGTCCTCGATTACGACCCAACTTGGTCTCTATTCTCGCAATTCACACTCAACAACAAATACAATTACTATTACAAATTACGGCACGATAGCCCTTCTGCTTTACAGATACTTTTTGCGCGACGTCTCGCTTGCTAGTCTACACTGTAAAAAAATCTGGTGTAAATTTACTATGTCCGACGTTGGAAAGTTTGGTCACTATGTCCGACGTGGTATTTTTACACGCCGACTGTAATCTACATAACCTGCAAATATTTTTTGAAATAATATTTTCAGTCGTAACTTTTTGTATTTATGAAATATAGCCCAAAACTTTTTGTAATATTATTATTTACTTATAAATTAGCATATACTTTCTATAAATGTACATTATATACACTTTTTTAGAGTTATTTATAAAAACTTGAAAATTTTTTGAAAATCTTAAAGGAATAAGAAAATTACATTCGCCATGTAATTGTACAGATCGTGCGACGTAATATTACGTCAAAGTGTAGAAATACACGCAATGTAAAAATACCACGTCGGACATAGTGATCAAATTTTCCTACGTCGGACGTAGTAAATTTACACAAAACTATTAAATTACATAGTCGTATAATGTAAAATTATTAAAAATAGTAAAACTACTTTTGGAACGAAATAAATTTACTACGTACAACCTATAATTTTGATGTGTGAAATTACAAGTTTCGTGTTATTTTACACCAGATTTTTTTACAGTGTATCTAAAGGTGCTTCTATACCTCTGGTGGATTGGTCAAGCAATCGGCTCGATGAATTTTCACGGTCGGAAAATGTACTTTCATGGCGGATATTTTTGAATAAGTAAATGTTGAAAAGGTTTTTACTTGAAAATTTATTTAAAAAAATGATTTTATCATAGAAATTCTTTTGAAATTTATGTTAAAAAACATGTTTTATTTTAAAAGTTATCAAATTTTAATTCAAAATGTTTTAATTTTCCAAAGAACACTGTAAAAAAATCTGGTGTAAAATAACACGAAACTTGTAATTTCACACATCAAAATTATAGGTTGTACGTAGTAAATTTATTTCGTTCCAAAAGTAGTTTTACTATTTTAATAATTTTACATTATACGACTATGTAATTTAATAGTTTTGTGTAAATTTACTACGTCCGACGTAGGAAAATTTGATCACTATGTCCGACGTGGTATTTTTACATTGCGTGTATTTCTACACTTTGACGTAATATTACGTCGCACGATCTGTACAATTACATGGCGAATGTAATTTTCTTATTCCTTTAAGATTTTCAAAAAATTTTCAAGTTTTTATAAATAACTCTAAAAAAGTGTATATAATGTACATTTATAGAAAGTATATGCTAATTTATAAGTAAATAATAATATTACAAAAAGTTTTGGGCTATATTTCATAAATACAAAAAGTTACGACTGAATATATTATTTCAAAAAATATTTGCAGGTTATGTAGATTACAGTCGGCGTGTAAAAATACCACGTCGGACATAGTGACCAAACTTTCCAACGTCGGACATAGTAAATTTACACCAGATTTTTTTACAGTGAAGTGTAAAAAGCCTAATGTTTTTGAAATGCTAGTACAGACGGTACAGACTGTTTGTTATGAATGTACATAACCTAGCGTTGTGTTGTCTGTTCATTATTATTTAATATAATAATAATAAAATCATTAAATTTAGAATATAATATCACAAGCACGACAACACAACGCTAGGTTATGTACATTCATAACAAACAGTCTGTACCGTCTGTACTAGCATTTCAAAAACATTAGGCTTTTTACACTTCTTTGGAAAATTAAAACATTTTGAATTAAAATTTGATAACTTTTGAAATAAAACATGTTTTTTAACATAAATTTCAAAAAAATTTCTATGATAAAATCATTTTTTTAAATAAATTTTCAAGTAAAAACCTTTTCAACATTTACTTATTCAAAAATACCCGCCATGAAAGTACATTTTCCGACCGTGAAAATTCATCGAGCCGATTGCTTGACCAATCCACCAGAGGTATAGAAGCACCTTTAGACATTCTGATTCTCTCGTCCACACATGACTACCAACTTATACTTTTAAAACTCACTAATGACACCACAGTGCCGGCAACCAATTAACTCAAAGAACTATTTAAAATATGGATAACAAATAATTATATAAAACTGTAATTAGATTTAATATTAATTTAAGTTTATTATTATTAGGGTTGTGCAAAAAGCTCGAGGCTCGATCGAGCTTTTTCGAGCTTTTCATTTTTCGAGCCGAGCCGAGCATAATCAGTTCGAGCCGAGCCGAGCTGTGTAAAAAGCTCGAATAGTTTTGAGTACTCGAGTTAATTCGAGTACTCGAATTTTTAGAGCACTCGAGGGAATTCGAGTACTCGATACATCGAGCCGGCTTGGGCTCGGCGCGGCTCGGCTCGAAAAAATCTCGGCTCGGCTCGACTTTTCGAGCTTTTTGCACATCTCTAATTATTATTATTAGTGTTTAATAAATTAAGGAATATGCATTAAATATTTTACTTATAATTTAAAAATGAAACGAAATTATGATTATGAAATACTGAATTTGTACTTCTTATTATTGATAAGAAAAACTGTGAAATTATATTGTAAATCTTCGTATGACGGTTATTTTATTGCGCAGTTAAAAACTGCGCAGTAGAATATATGATAATAAGGAGTCATTTGTAGGATGCGTAATAATTTAACCTTGAGATCTGTTAAATGCGTAATAATTTAACCTTGACACGTGTCATTATTTTGGGCATTTGGTAAATGCGCAATAACTTGACCTTGAATATTCAACGCTTATTGGTCGAATGCCACGTCATCAGCGCTGTGATTGGTTAAACAAAGAGGAGAGGGTAAACCTCCCCCCTTTTAGTTAGGTATATAAAGAGAGCGCCTGAGACCCAAAGCAACTTCTTGACAGCGCATGCGCATCATAGGAATCGGGACTTACAAATTTCAGTTGGCTGCCACATCCAACTCGTTGGAAACCGTATCCAACTAAATAGATATAATGACTAATCATAAGTATAAATTTAAAATTGTCACTGGAACCAACGCCGTTTGTTTATATATGATTTTACATAGATATAACAGCTAATTTCCTTCTATCCAATAAAAATTGGATCTATTATCCAACCTTTTTTTTGCGTGTACATGAACCCGTACAAGATCATATACATTTTCTTGTACAAGTTCCAATACAAGAACTTGTTTTAAAACCTTGTACAAGAAATTGTACATTTTCTTGTACAAGTTCAGCAGCTGAACGTGTGTATTTTCTTTTAAAAGATCTTATACAGGGATTTTCAGTAGGGTTGTTGGAGGAATCTTACATACTAATAACTTAAAGTATTTGTCGTTCACCTAATTTTGAAAAGTTTAATTTTATAAACACTTTTTCTTACGAAGAATAAAACTTTAAAACTTGCACTGCAAAAACTGCTATCTCATTCGTGTCTTAAAATGAGTTGCTTTAAGTGTTTAAACCATTGAGATACAAAATCTGTTTTATATTGAGACATTTAATTTCATCTCGTGTCTCATTTTAAGACATTAAAGGTAACTCAATGCGTATAAGACACGTAAAACGTCTTCTTAGTGTGAAACGGATACTTAAAATTAGTCTTAAAATGAGACACATATCTGTTTCAAATATGTGGACTAAGACATCTTACACGGAAAAAAAAAGTTCACGAATCTCTCGTGAACTAGTATATCACTTTTGGATGGGACACAAAATTCTTGAAAATCAACAAACACAGTTCGTCAAAATTTCATCAACTCCTTCACTAGAAACATAGTACGGTTTCCGAACTTTTCGTCAAAGTTAACGAAAAATTCGTGAACTTTTAAAAAATGCTAAAAACAAGAAAAAATAATTTCCAGACACTACTTTTTTATAGTATTTCACTTTATTTGATAACTTGACGCCTATTACGCACCCAACTACACAGAATACACAATTTTATCGCCACGGCTAAATCTAGATACACTGTCCTTCGACAAACGAAACGATTAGCTTTGTCTGCTGTAAAACTCAGGACCGTGCAAAGTAGAAAAAGTCCCTTATCGTAACTTTTAATTCATTTTATGAATTATTTGTTTCACAAAGGAAATTAGCAAACAAAAATATTCACTAAGTAATAAAAAACACTGATTCTAAATAATAACTTTCATCAAAGAATTTTCCCGAATGTAAACACCGATGACACCGACTGAATGATGAATGCTTGATCAGCCATATTTGATGCGCATTACGAACTGCGCATACTACTGACACTCGCGAGTTCACGATTTTTTCGTGAACTTGTACCTCTACTTTTGACGAACTACTCTTCATTAACACAGTTCATCAAAAATTCATTAACTTTGTTTCAGTTTTTCGTTGACGTTCGCCATTTCTAATCAAAAGTGAATGAAAATTTTGAAATTTTGTGTCCCATCCAAAAGTGATATACTAGTTCACGAGAGATTCGTGAAC